ATTATATAGCAGCAATATTACCATAATATTACAAATAAATATGAATATTACCATATTATTGCAAATAAATATAGCAGGAATATTACCATAATACAAATAAACCATATTACATGTACAAACATGAGGATGCCTACACACATCCCTCCTAGGAGAAAAAGATTTTAACACAAGCGTCTGATTTTGGGCTGTCCAGGATTATTCCAATACAGAATTCTAGTGGGAATATTGTAGGGAACAAACAGGATATTCTTTATTAGTACATTTATCTACATTGTAGATCTCCAGGACTGTTCCAATAATACAGAATTCTAGTGGAAATATTGTAGGGAACATACTGGATATTCTTTATAAGCACATTTAACTAGACGTAATATATTTTTCTTATTGCACATAATGATATAAAGATACACATTTCTAAACCATAACTATATTTACTTCACTTTTACGTTGAGAATTACCACTTATAAATAAATACTGACGACACCCACGTAAATATATTTGACACAGTACTGGATGTTGTAGTTGGCACATCATTCACTGTACGATGATTCATTACTTGATACGGAGCTACCGGGTACGTGAGGATTTCCTACGTGCAAGATTTAAATCCATATCATCCGTTGACTCCGTATTATTGGTGTCTGAAGAATTTGAAGTTACTTCCTGAATGGAATCGTCCACCACTCTACCATCAACCGAAATTTCGAAATCTAAAACAATACTAGATTCATTTATATTATTAATATCGATACCATTACCCAATTCATCATTATCTGTACTGTTTATTTCATCATTTTGGGGAACATTGTCATGTTGATAACTAAAAGATAAATTTGGATGTGATTTTGGTACGAATTCGGGAGCCTCTGCTGAGAGGTTATAATCAATTGGCTCGGATTTATCGGGTAAATTTATCACAATATTTGGTGTTTTAACAAAGTCTATGTCTAGACCCTGGCAATCAGGCTCCAATTCTTTGTTTTTCTCACAAGATTTGAGAGTATGGTTTAGGGCAGTCTCAAAATCGGATTTTAATCTGTCCGTTAAATCTGATATTTACTCATGACATAGATTTACTTGATTGACACATTCCAGGGTCGGTGTCAATGCGTAGTCTACCGTGACGACCGAACATGAGATAATACGGACTGCATCCTGTGGATTCATTGACTGTGCAATTGTAGGCATGAGTAAGCGGTTTAACATTATTTCCTCCACTCAAGTTTTTGGCTATGATGAAGGGTGTCTAACATGGATAAAGAAGTTCTGTTATCACGTTCTACATTTCAAATTTTGCACAGTTCCGACATAACTTTAGATCAATCATCATTGGACTGTATATAGGGAAGACTCTGAGGACTAACTTGCAATATACAACTGGCGGTAGTTTCTTTTCTTTGATGTGCATAGCAGTTAAATCATAGGTTAATTCAATGGCTGTATTCAATATTTGCTTGTATTTGCATGTAGTTATAGAATAATACAAAGAACACAGAAATAAATTTTTATTCTTTTGACAATTACAAAATTTTATGGTACAGTTTGTAGCATTCTGCACCGAAATAGATGGCGTACTTATCGGCATACTTAGATCGGTTATCCATGTCTAAGATAATTTCGATTATTTCTCCACACACCCCAAGACTTGAAAGTACATGTATTTACAGCCCAACAGTTCCTTTGTAAAGTATTTTGGGTAGTCAGTCCACTTCACAGTCCGTCAAATCCTTCTCTGAACATACCGAAAACCTCCAAGGTTCACTGTCAGAATTATCGGAAAAGATTGATTTTGATCCAAATTTTCTTCAGCCTTTGACTCGCAACTAAGAGATCCTCGTCGGAATTTGCATTCACATCTATTCCACCGTCAATCTGTTGGCTAAAAAGAATTGATTATTCGTCTCATAACGTATTACTATCTATTTTGTTTTTGCTTTCAATTCAATTGAACCTAAATTTACTCCAAAATAGCGACAGTATAAACAGTGCATTCATGTGATTAGAGATACATTATGGGAGATTAGTTAAAGAGCTGGCAGTTCTCGCTATAATAGTTAAAAACTAGATAATGTGAAGGGAATTTGCTGAAAATTTTACTCAAATTGATCCACTCTGAATCAAGATTTTAGCGATTGAATTTTCGGCCTAGCCTCGATCATCATTACTAAAGTCGATACGATAAAAACACAGTCTCGATTATCCATTTCATGTTTACATCAAGAATGAAAGTGGAGCAGCAAATGGGACCCTAATCCAGTAAACATCGCAGGCTAGCCTTGACATTGAGACTCAGAGAGTTGATTATGGTCTGGATAAGTTAATTAATGTCTAATTAATAATTTAGATAACATTTCAGGCCTAAAGAAAGACCTGTAATAGGCATATTTAGCTCTTGCATAATGTATGTTTAATTCGGTAATTTTTGTTATTTGACGGAAACTATCGAGCAATTTTCCAATCATTGTTGACTTTTAATGGAAGAGTCCATTTAATTTAAGGGTGATTAAAACTATGACGTTGTATATGCCGGATATAAACCTTCTCTCCCTCGGATTGATATCATATCAACCTCGGGTAGGTTAATATCCTATACCTACGGCATAGTCATTGAAAACAACTTGCCATCATCATCGTCGTCATAGTTAATATCTTCCGTCTGCGCCTGTGCCCCCACCATCATCAGGATTGTGAATTGGCCTAGCTGGTACCTAATTTGTTCAGGTTTTTTGGGGTTTTTTTTTTTCTTTTTTTGGCCCAATCCTGCTTAAGATTCTTAAGCTTATTCCGACACTGGTCGTCCGTCCTTTCATATCCCTGGGCTGCCAGCCTTCTGTAAATTGACTGGTTGTGGTGCGTGCCCTGCAGCTGCACCTCTACGTCTCCTCATATTTGGAGAAGGAGAAGCCTCTCCGCCTTACTCCAAACCGTACATCGGTTGTTTGCCATATTAACATCAACAGTTCCATACACACGTTTCCCTCCATGCGATAAAACTGAAAGTTATTCGGTTCCAGTAAATATGTTGATTGAATCAAGTTCCCCACACTCAAATCTTGACAGTGAATAACCCGATTGGGAATAGTTGTTCCAGATTGAATTCGGAAAAGTAATCGGACTCGTTATTTCAGACTCAGTTCGGTCTTTAGTGAATTGAGTGTGACGCCTAAATCCGGAATAAAATTTCATTCTGAATTCCATTCAGATTAAACCGCAATTATCGCAACCTCAATCAAAAGGTGCGTTTACACTGTATGCGCATTCCGGGGGTCAGTCGCCGGTCGCCGGAATTAGCATTGGTTTGTCTGGGATTAAAAGCGGTGCGTCACATCACACGGGAACTCTGTTTTTCGTCCCATCCGCAAGACTAGGCAGCCCTCTGTCCTGCATCACTGGTATGGGGAAATCACGCCAGTCTTACTCACTGAGCCATCGTGGCTCCCATTTTATAACTAAAATTATTTCAGCATCAAACATACATAATGCAAAGAAATAAATTTTGTTGTCATGTTCATTCAGCTATTATACAATACATACTAGAAACTAGAATCTACCTGACTCAAGGCGTCTGGAACTAGCCTGCCCTGCCCCATGTTCCTGAAGCAACGACTGCGAGTTTTACAACATCTGGCCGTTGCAAGATTACTTCACAATTCCCGAACTTATAGCTACATTATCTACAGACACGTGAACAGTAGCGTCCAATCGAAGGTTATGACATAGCGACCTCCACGACAACCATGACATTAAACGAACCTTGAACTTTACAACTCGATTATCACATGTAGACATTTTAGCTTAAAAGCGCGAGACTTGGTATTCGCGACGACCGAGGACTTTGATAGGCTCACAAGCTGGGCTTGTACCCAATCCAAATTAGTGCCGAAATATGCAGGGTATTACATAAAGGCCTTGATAAGATGTACGTAGTTAAAGCGAGATCAAGCCTTCTATTGAAGATGGTCCTGCCCCTAAGGTCTAGCTAGACCGTAAATGATCGGCCGTGATCTGAACACGCCATATCTTTGGATTTGTATACGCCCACATTGAAATGTAGTTGTATATTGTCGTCGCCCCCGCCCGTCCGTCCGTTGGTCCGGCGCCCACAATTGTTGTGGAAGCTCTTCTAGATGCTAATGTTAATACCCGATTGTTTAAGGTCGTGTGACAAGGGAGGTCACAATTTATATCCGATTTTGATGAAACTTAAAATATTTGTTTATATCCCAAAGATCTCGGTTCCTTTTTATATTCACGCAATCGGACCAAAGCTGTCCAACAAAATGGCCACTCGGTTCCTTTCGATATTCTCGCATAAAGGACTTTAACTTCCTGGATTATGGCCCCTGATTGTACGAAAAATTGCATTTTGCTGTTGGTGAGCAATAAGGGGGGCTGACAAGCCCGTGTCTGTGGTGTATGCCGTGGTGGAAGTTCTGTTATAACTTTAAGATGCTCCAGGAGAATGCGTTATATATGTAAATAGGTTGAATTATGTTATTGCCAATAATTTTAACAACTGTAATGTTTTGATGGAAGCACGGAGATTTTTCTGTAACTTAGAGAAAGCCTAATATAGGTTCCCTGAGGTTTCCTGGCAAACTCCCATTTGGGCCTGTTAAGATGATACGGAAAAAGTAATTTAAACTAGGTTGACTTATTGTGTATTTCTTTTTTAACAAATGTTTTTATAGTTTGTTAGTAACATGGACGGAGACGACCATACGGTTGGTGGGAGTATAATATCGGGTTGCCTGGGATACTTTTATCTGCGTTTATATGGCCTATTGACCTGCTATTGTCAGTCCATCAGATCATAAATCTACAAAATTTATTTTCAACCGTCCATAAACAACCTACCAATAATTTATTGTTTTTATATAAAGTGGCTATAAACAGAATACTATATATCTACGTTTAACGCATTTAAATATTTTAAAGAGAGTGTTTAACAGTGTATCAATAACACCACAAACAATATACATGATAGGTATGCCTGTGAATGGCAGTAGTTAAATACTGAGCACGCCTTGCCTATAACGCTAGTCTATCAGTGTGTTACCTCAGGGAAAATGGCTTAATGTCATTCAACATTAGTTAGTTTTATCGCCATTAGGAAAAGTTTAATCGTGTCGTGTTCTGCAGTCGAGTAATATTAAAGAACAGAAGTTACTTTAGCTATCTGTTGCCTGGGGTGACATTCATTCATTTTGACCCATTGGAGTCGACGTTTGTATGCTGCTCAGAGCAGTGTATCTATAATAGGATAGGTTGAGAATCTATAACACATGAGAGTAATTTACAACCGGAGTAATAACAATAATAGCATCATTTGTTGTAAACATTATTGGAAACGTTTCTCTTATCAGTTTGATAATATAACATCTGGACTATTTAAACATGTCGTTCCTCTCCCCTGGACCACGAGTTTCACAATTTAAACGGTAAGTATAATCTTTAATATGTTCATATATGTGACCAAATTATATTCAATAGTTAATTTCCCCTTTAGTTTAAATATTTTCATTATTATGTGTAAAACATATCAAATATATAGAACATATGGCTTCATACAATAAAAACTTCTCAACCAACCAATGCACATTGACTGCTAAATATAAGTATTGTACCAGGGTATTTCTGCAAATTTGACACCATGACATACACGATGACGCTTTTTTGATTTATGACAGGGAACTGAATTATTTATGTTTATATTTTGATATTTTTTAAAACAGCTTAGCTAATAAATTATTTTTGACATGTCAAAATATTAATATTTTGTTAGACCGCAAAATGAAATAGGATCGTGTTCAGTGACGAGATGACCTACTATATCCACTGTGGCCCCTCTTATCTTTGATTAACAAAACTCCGTGTTAATATAAAAAGGGATGCTAAAAAAAACTATCCATTTCATTTATCTTCATTTTATGTTTTTACACCACATTTAACGATATCTACCATAAAGCGAATATTTTATTCGAACACCTAATGCATCCCGTCACGAACATAAAAGACCAAAATAAAATAAATATTTATGAGGAAACCCGGATTTTGTATAACTCGTTTTATGATACACTTTGTAAACGTGATAAATACGGTAAATGTAAAAGTGTTTTATCAACAGAAATCTTACATTGTTTTAAAATACCTGATGACGTGATGAATCTGTACAAAAAAAATTATATAGTTGATATTATGTTTACTTACTGTACGGGAAATAAAATTGATTTTATATCTTTTTAACCTGATTTTTTTAATAGAAAGAAACGCAATGCTGTGTATATTTCTATGTATATAAGTATAAACGTGTTCGAATATCATTTTAAAAAAAAAAACAAAAAAACAAACAAAAACAATAGTAAGACTAACTTTGAGTCTTGCTAATGAAAGATAAGAGTTGAGGGCCCCAGCGGTTATAGGTCGCTTCGCCATTGAACAAGGCCACATTTTATTTCACGACCATATAATTTATAACCCATAATATAAGCTATTTAAAATTGTATATAAGTAAAATATTAAATTAAACACTCCCCGTATATTATTTTACAATGACTGGCTACGTGAGCGTCAGGACCGGATGAAAGAGGACGGGGGCGGGGAGGGGGGCTGATTGGGCTGCAGTCAAAGGTCCCAATATAAAAGGGGTCTCCAAGTAGGTCCTAAACAAATTTGAAATTTGTTTACCGTATGTTGTAAATTGTGCCAAATAAATATATATCTATATATCTACCATATATACAGACATACACAATTAATGCTGATGCAAGGGCCCCAGCCAGTGACATTTTCAGCCAGGGGCCCCATGCAAGCTTAATTCGACTTTGTGAGAATTGGAATCCCGGAAACGTAACCTCGGAAAACAAATTGAATGCGGGTTGCAAAGAAGACACCTATGACATCTAAAAAACATAAAAAGATTGTATGTAGGTGAATGTATATTATGTTCTTTTTTATGGCTATTTATGGATTAAATAACATGTCTAAAATCGACCCTGTATATAATGTTCTTTTTTACGGCTATTAATGGATTTATGGATCAAATAACATGTCTAAAATATAGTGATAAAATACACCAACATTTTTTTTTTATCTAACACCCGGAATACGTATTTCTCAGCAAATCCATGTAAGTAGGTAGACCTCTGAACATTCAACAATGAAAACAATAGGACCTTCAGCATTAGTATATCAAGCGTATAATAGAAACTCATAAAATTTTGACATGCATATATCATATTTTAATAGCATTGTATTTACTGTAATTGCTATGAAAACCCGTTTATTGTTCACCTATATTCACAGTTTATAAATAAATAAATAAATTATGTAAACAATAAAATACAAACCCTGATAACTGCACTAACTTATGGGGTTTTTCTTTGTATGTGGTGTGGTTCTTATACACTTACTACCAGAAGAGAATTGGGTGATAATTATATATTGAGAATATGTAAAATATAATCCATGTCAACAAATATAATCCGATAATCCCACTTCTCAGACATCGATTCGTGTGTTTCGTAGAGAAAACTTGCGGGAATGATAGATGTCCTGAACATAATATAATATCAGTGACATTTTCAACAAACATTTGCAACATTCTCGATATGTTAGTGTCGATCAATCACAAATCTTCGACCTGATAATGTTCTATTACGTAAGCATTCCGCATATAAAATATACATTTCACAAATTATTATCTTGTCCAATATTACACAGGGTAATATGCTCACACTTTCTAGAACGCCTGGTACCACTTTTCATTTATAAACTATGACACAATATCTTCAGAAATAATAGCATTCCGGGGTAAAATATAATGTTTTAAGAGTATAATGGTACTATATACCTTATCAGAGACATGTTCAGCGAGTATGGTATCCTATATCAGAGACACGTTCAGAGATTATGGTATTCTTTACCTTATCAGAGACATGTTAGAGATTATGGTATCCTATACCTTCTCAGAGACACATTCAGAGAGTATGGTATCCTATACCTTATCAGAGACATGTTCAGCGTGTATAGTATCTTATATCAGAGACACGTTCAGAGAGTATGGTATTCTATACCTTATCAGAGACATGTTAGAGATTGGTATCCTATACCTTATCAGAGACACATTCAGAGAGTATGGTATCCTATACCTTATCAGAGACATGTTATAGAGTATGGTATTCTCTAACTTAACAGCTTATCAGATACTTGTTAGAGAGTATGGTATTCTATACCTTATCAGAGAAATGTTAGAGAATGGTATCCTATACCTTATCAGAGACACGTTCAGAGAGTATGGTATCCTATACCTTATCAGAGACATTTTAGCGAGTATGGTATTCTCTAACTTATCAGCTTATCAGAGACATGTTAGAGAGACATCTTCCAAGAGTATAATATCTGCACGATATTAGATACACCATTCAGAGACTATAATACTCTACACCCTGCATCATATTCACTGATAAATATTCACCAAGATATCAAAGACACCATTAGAGAGTATATACTATTCTTCACAATGCCAGGTACATCGTAATAGAGACGCCACCCAAGGTGCAACAAAACATTATTAACTGTGTGAACTACGCAAATGAAAAGTGGTACCAGGCGTTCTAGAAAGTGTGAGCATATTACCCTGTGCAATATTGGACAAGATAATAATTTGCGAAATGTATATTTTATATGCGGAATGCTTACGTAATAGAACATTATCAGGTCGAAGATTTGTGATTGATCGACACTAACATATCGAGAATGTTGCAAGTGATATAGATAATGTAGATAGGACTGTATCTCATATCAGTTATACCCTCAAGGTAAATTAATTTAGCGCACATAGCCCCGTCATTAATAATTATCTTATCTATCAAACGAAGAACAACATCATCGGTATAAACAGAGACTAGTTTGGTTACACATTAATATATATTTATAGGTTAGTGTTTAACAAGCTTCTCGAGCTATATTAATTCATTATATTATTTACTCGATTTAACAAGATTTTCTGTTTCTATCATTTTTCATAGGCGTATTAGACAAGGGGTTCAGAGGGGCACACCCCCGCCCAAACCATAATGGGTCCGGAGAACCGATTTTTAGAGTTACAAGGGTATGTCCATGGCACAGGGGGGGGGGGGGGGGGGGTATTTTCGCCCAGTAAACAGGTATGTTTATATTTTTTCGTGCAAATTGTCAGCCAATATTCCTCGATATATTTGGGCAAAACACTTACAAAACCTCTTATGATATAATACACCTATATATCAACTTATTTCGTTGTACGATGTTGGTAATATCTGATTGTTTTATATGTTGTATAATTTGGTCAGCAGGTGGTATAATTGATGTGACTGTGCACTAGAGATAGACATGCGTACATGACTAAACATTTAATATTTTTAAAAACATTTCTTTGGCTTTTAAAGAGAATAATAATATGTATTTTACTGCATGTCTTTAAAGATTCATTCTCTCCAATAAAAGTATGGCAAATTTGATATATTATATGGAAAGCATAGACGCTCAATCTTACTAGAAAAATACTGGACAATATGTGTGGTAAATGGACAGTAAGTAATGAAATATACATTTTGAAAAATGATCCCTCCCTTAATCAAGTTAGGTGACAAGCATGGCTTCTAAAAATAGATTTTTTTATAGCTTACAAAGTTTTGAGAGGGATTTGAAGCAAATTTTTGATAGATTTATTCCAAATATATCATCAAATCACACAGTTTGTACACTGGAAGGTATATATACAGCTCATCAAAGTACCATTAAGTTTCAATATTTCCAGCCGCTATTTTCAATTAATATTAAAGATGCCTTATGAAAGAGATAACTCTTTTTTGGCTTCAAATCTTAAATAAGTTATTATTTAGACATTATTCACATGACAATCCTATAATCAACTCTCCAGAACATCAGATGGTCGATATTTAAATGGATTTGAACACCCGCGAGATTTAAAGATTTAATGATCAAATGGATAATTGTGACCTAGTCTCGGTTGCTAAGTACCATTGTTACGATAAAAGTCATAACTTCGCCCAGAATAAAGTAATTTTGACTGAAATTTTCAATATATTCATTTCTCATTATCTATTTTTGAACTATTATAGGAATTATAATAAATCTTGCATAATGCATCTTTAAGCAAGTTTTAAAATCAAATATCCCAATGGTATATACAGAGGCGTAGCCGTGAAATATATATGGGGGGGGGGTCCGCAACCCTAACCCATTTTTTAAAACCCCTAAAAAATATAAACAAACACCATGTGGCCATGCTGTGTACCAAGACACCGCGTGCAAAAGCATTATGGTTACGTTGCTGGCTGAGCCCGTGGGTATATATCACCAATATGTAACATTCTTGTCATACATGCATATAGTCAATTTATCATTTAAAATATTAGTAGGGTTTTTTTGTAAATTCAAATATATTTTATATCGGATTATATATAGATATTTTTTTCTTTCTAAAAGCTGAGCTACATAAAATATCTGTGGACTGACTTATTGTGTTTGTTAATGATTAATCACGACAAAATGGTATTGATTAATAGAGATTCCATCAAGCATTATTAAATTGTATCATTAGTGCAGTTGCCTATTGATGTAAATGGATTTTTTTTTTCATTCAGCAGAAAACATAAAGATAACCAGAACAACGTCATCGCCAATAGATGATTAAAACCTTTTGGGGTTATCTTATCTTTAACATACAGCTTGATGCCAGGAAGTCTGTAATATTGAATCCTTTGTTTTATCATTATAAGTTGCTCTTGCCACAAACCTTCGTATTTAATAATTGCCAGATGAGAGTAAAAATTGTAGTTATTACAAAATACTGCGCTAATTTGGACACCCTTCAAACCCATCCCCACCCCAAGTCTTCTTTAGCAACAACTAGCAGTGGCAACGAATATGCAGTATGCATTCAAACTGGCGAATTGAGACACCATTGCATGGTCTGCATTCGCAGAACAGCGAAAATGGCAGTTAACATAAACAGAATGGGTGCAATTTTGACCAGAGAAATATTCGTTGTCGTCGAAGAGGAAACAATTTAAGGTGGAACAAACGAACGGCATGATTTCGAGATGAAGTTTTATGTCCACTCGACACAAACAAGGTCATTTCGGGACTAACATATAGTTCAATTTTATTTAAAGGAGCTAAATCACTAATATTTGGGACCTAGAAATTGACACAGATGGGTAGCAACGCATCTAATAATGTAATATGAATGTATATAAACTGATTTACATTCAAATTTCATTCAATCGTTACTCTAATTCCAAATCAGTTATGTTCGGCGAGATACACCAGAAGTCTCAATTGAATGGCAATCTCTAGCATCTGGTTATTCCAATTCTCACCGATAGTTTTATTGCGCATGCTCTCCAGATAAGAATATGGTGTCATCGTTTGGATATCAGAACTCCATCTTTTCCCTGTAAGATCACAACATCAATGTTGATTTAAATTGACAAATAATTCGCGTTTTCAATGTTGAAGACTTTGGATGATATTGAGTTAGAGACTTAGCTAAGCTTACGCGTAGGAGTCTTTAGTAGTGGGAGCAAACAGGAGGACAGGGAGAAACCCACGAGGTTGGATAAGCGACCATACTCCTTGTCACGTACAACTGGGGAAACGAAACCATGTCTGTTGACTCAATGACATACCTTATGATACAGCGCGCACGCGCTAACCATTCGGCCATTGAATAACCCGTCGAAAAATAATATGTGTAGGCCATAATAACGACTGGTTGCAGTATATCATCAGATGATGAGATAAGATAAATTTTATTGCATAAAAACGCCCACGGGCAGCAGCATGTGCGTGGGAAAAACAAGATGTGACTTTTCCTGCTTAGATACTTTATGTGTATTATATCTGCGATCGAGGGTGCCACATTAAAGGAGATCTGCGTATGTCCATAATAAAATTAATTTCTTCCTTATCTTTCAAATAAAACAAGATTATCTACTATACAATGCCCCATTTGTAACTATCGATAAATAGTATAGTCTTGTGTAATATTTTCTTAAAGTTGATGACCTATATAAATATAAAGATAAATATACATGGAGCTGGTTAAATCTGATCTTCACTTGATCTGCACTTCTCGGCATATTCCTTGATTTTATACAACTTCCGTTCAATGAAGTAATATTGAATATGTGGGCTGACTAGTAATACAATTATGTCTGGAAACATGTTGTAAGTATGATATATCTTGTGACTTGACAAAAACAAAACAACAACAGCTATAATTCTTATTTAAAAAAAGTAGAATGGTATTGGGGTGATGGAAATTTACAAAATAAGATTCTGTTGTTTAAAGGTGTATGTCTACTTTGATATGTGTCAAAAATATAATTGTCGATTTGACTGTAATTTCTATACTGACTGGATTAGGAGGATAAAAATATGTGGGTACTAATAAGATATAATCAATTTTGCGTTCAACAGTCTACAGTCTAAGCCAGAAACGAAACTGGAATTTGTAAACTCCACTGAAATAAATATTTAATTGTATGTATAAAGCTGGTTCCAACCAATAATCATCGATATTACGTATCAGACAAACCAAATTCAACATTTTGTTTTGACCCAAATCCAGGAGACTTTTCCTATTGCTGGTTCCGATGTCGTACAATCCAATATTATTATAAACATTATGAACTCGGTACTGTTCTGTCTTGACTGCTTCAATGGTGTTTACAATCCGCTGCTTACCTTCGTCTTCACCGTGGTGAGTCGGGGTGACTCAATAAGTAAGGGGAGAGAGAGAGAGAGAGAAATGGAGTTTAACGCCCACTCGACACAAACTAGGTCATTTCGGGACTAACACACGGTTCAATTTTATTTCAATCATTCGCTAGCGCGTAGGGGTATTTAGCAGTGGGATGAAACCCGAGGACCCGGAGAAACCCACGGGGCTGGACAGGCGACCCTACTCCTTGTCACGTACAACCGGGGAATCGAAACCCCGCCAGTTGACTCAATGACAGACCGTATGATACAGCGCGCGCGCGTGCTAACCATTGCCCCCCCCCCCCCAGTAATAAGGTGCTGGCTCTATTTTTAACTGAAGTTGACCGAGAAAGTTCCCCGGTATTTTCCGACAATGGTTTCTCCTTGTCAGTGGCACAGGACGCAGGATCTGGCGTGGAACAGCGTCTTGTCGTTCCGATGTACGATAAAAACTAGGTCACGTGTACGTAAATTACATAAAAGAATCCTTGACAGTTAAAATACAATTGCTGACCTGACAAAATTTCTCTTATAGCACACTGTATGACGCAAGTCCCGTTGGAGCAGAAAAGTAGGACGACAAAATCTCATTTCATCCATTCATTCTGTCTTAAAAATGTCACGGCGTTACAGCATATTAGACGTGCGTTGTAAAATACTTTCATATGACAAAGATGGGTTCATATATTACCATGAACTTACAAGCGTATCTTTTCATACAGGGCCTTTTTCGATCTCTTTCAGCCAATACAGAACCTCTCTCTAATAAAACCTCTTGATATATAATATAGAGGAGGTTATTGCAGCTGCAGTTATAACGGACATATACAATTCCAAAAATTGGAATTCAGCGTAGATAAACACTTGTTTATCTTGTCGGCCTTTAAAAGATAACGAATAAGGGATTAAAGGGTGCGGTGGACATAGGTGCCGTAATGGCCCAAGACCTAAAATAAATAAGATCCATTGATATACTGCATAATAACACATTATTTAATTATATATATTACAGACACAGTTTAGCTAATATCGACATCGGAACGAGGTTACCAAAAGGTGCAAGGCGCGGTTCAACGTTACCCACATTTCTACCAGCCCTGACTTCCTCAGATGCAGCAACACGTCAAGACTTCCTGGAAAGGTAAATGTACATTGCTCACGAGACTCAAAGCCCCATCTCGTTCGATGAAAGGGGCTTACCTTACAAGTTTGGTTATGCATGTAAGAGACCAACCCCAGTAAGTATGTTACCAATTCAGCACATTTATATAATATCATTATTTATCGGGTGGTTATTTCCAATAAAAGTATGGCAATTTTGGTATATATGGAAAGTAGAGATATCCAATCTTACTAGAAAAATACTGGATTCCCCGAAAAACACTCATGGAGCGTATACAGGACAAAAATGTAAGGGTTCCCCTAATCAACAGCCCGACGATTATGACCTTCTGCACGCACGATGTCAAAGGTCACAAGCGACTATTGAGCGCAAGTTGATAACTTTATGAAGAGTTAGACGTACAATACTTTCTGAGATAAAAATGACGGGAAAAGACGCGGGTAGTGGATAATCCGAGAATTTAATTAGGATTCGATATTTGTAATAAATAATAAGCGATTAAAAACAACATCGTCTTATGTATGCAATGATTTCTCCTCTGACTCCCAAGACGTGACGTAAACATGACCTGGTTTGATCGAATTTTAATAGCAGGGCATTCCTTTGCAATTACAATGTTTGAGAAGGATTTGAAGCATAATTATGACAAATTAATTAGTTTGAATATGTTTTTGGTCCATATATACCATTAAATCACCCAGTTTGTACGCGGGAACCCATCTTTAATATATCGTGTTATTTTATAGTATACAAGTGGCTGTTGTTCAAATATTCCAAAAGAAAACTCTTAAAGAAAATGAACTTGGGAAACTACAGAGTAACGTAAGGTAGATATAATAATTACTCTAATACAGAAGTACCGGTGATGAGAATTATTAGCTACTAGTGCATAACCCGGCGTTAACCAGGTTGTGCCCGTGACTGATCTGAAACCGGAAGTGGTAGGCCAACGCCACCTAGCCTATGTTACTCCCGGTTAAATCTAATTAATAAGGCCAACTTCAAGTTTGGTCAACAGGGCTAGCGGTAATCCCAGCCCTAACCCAATTATTGTTGGGGTTTTTGGCTTTGGTGGGAGTTGTCGGCTAGGAAGCCACTTTTAGAATCTTAATATTGGGGTATTCTGCTAGGAAGAGAGCTTTAGAGTAGGATCATTGGCAAGGGACCGAGTCTTGGTGGGGGTCAACGGCTAGGTAGGGTTATTGGTATGTGCACGACACCCCACTACTCATTATAGATAAATGTGGCATTCATTTCGAAAATAAGCGTCTAATTTCCTTTTTGGCGTAAACAAATCTGGAATCAGGTAAGTGATGTTTTCGTCTACTAGTAGGATCTATCTTAAGATACTAAAGGATGTTTGTTTTATCTTATAAAGGTGTTAAGATACTAAAGGATGTTTGTTTATCTTATAAAAGTGTTAAGATACTATAGCCGCATAGGATGTTTGTTATATCTTATTATTCTTATGAAGAAAAATTATATTATTAGTTCCATAACAAGCATCTATATAGTTCACGATATAATATATTCAAAGAAATAAAACATGCAATCATTCCAACTAACCAAGTCGAAAACATTTCAGTGTTTGAAAACAAGTCAGAAGTGTCCATGTTAATAAATGAAACACATTAATAATTTGAATATATTTTAGACAATCGGGTTAATAACCAGGGAAGACGGGGACCCAGACCCTTCCTCGTCACCACATAAACCGTTAGTGGTCTGCATGTGTGTGTATTGTAGCACTTTTTTTTTCTTTTTTTTTTAAATGACGGCTTTATTACCTGTAAGCATTATGCCAATACCGGTATTGAAGGTCTGAATAGTGTTTGGCGACATGACTTGTGTCTTTTATGAAGTAAATATGTTAATGAATTAATTAGGTATTATTTTCACGCTGTTAATATGCCTATTTGTTTGAAGAAAACATTTAACTATGTAATCAATTAGCATATCATACCTAATTTAATTTCAGATATTTAACAGATACCGAAGCTGGTCCATTAATATTTGATTATTATAAGGTTGGTTTTTGTTTTCACCATACCTAATGCATGTACTTAAATCAGTTATGATTTAGAAATCCTAAAGGTTACATCATACAGGATGTTAGGAAATCTTCGTGGAGTGGATAAATTAAGAAGGGTATTTTGATACATGCTATAATCAGTGGTAGTCTACATTCTAAAATGGTCATTTAGAAATTGGCAAGGATGGGATTTTTATACGCCCAGATTTTCATGTGGACGTATATTGTCGTCGCTCCTGTCCGTCCGTCCACAATTTGTTTGTGAGTGGACACTGTACAGGTCACAATAAAATAGCCGATTTTGACGAAACTTGAAATATAGGCCTATCTCCCACAGATCTCGGTTCCTTCATGGATTATGGCCCCTGGTTGTACGAAAAATCACGTTTTTAGATTGTGAACACTCTAATCATGGTTGAGTTCGAATTTCGTGAAAATCGGACCAAAACTGCAGTACAAAATGGCCGCCCTCGTACGCAAATAGTGTAAATATATGGTATATCAAGGTTGTGGCCCCGCTAGAGGACACAATTTAGATTCGATTTTGATCAAACTTGAAATACATGTTTATGGCCCAAAGATCTTGATTCCTTTCGATATTCGGGCATATTGGGTCGTAACTTCCTCAATTATGGCCCTTGATTGTACGAAAAATTACGTTTGTAACTTGTGGTCCTTCTAGAGGTAACAATTTTTATCCGATTAGAAAAAGTCTTTTGAATATATCACCGTTACACCCTAATGATGGTTGAGTTCGAATTTCGTGAAAATCGGACGAAACTGCCGTACAAAATGGCTGCCCTCGTACGGAAATAGTGTAAATATATGGTATATCAAGGTTGTGGACCCTCTACAGGACACAATTTAAATCCAATTTTGATGAAACTTCAAATATAACTTTATATCACAAAGATCTTGGTTCCTTTTGATATTCGTGCATATTGGATTGTAACTTACTGAATTATGGCCCTTGATTGTACGAAAAATCGCGTTTTTAGCTTGAGGTTCCTCTAGAGATCACAATTTTTATCCGACTGAAAAAAAAACTTTTGAATATATCACCGTTACACGGTAATAACGGCTGAGTTTGAATTTCGTGAAAATGGGACCAAAACTGCCGGACAAATGGCAGGCCCTTGTACGCAAAATATATGGTATATCAAGGTTGTGGACTCTCTAGAAATCACAATTTTGATCCGATTTTGATGAACCTTGAAATATTATATCTTTATAACGCAAAGAACTCGGTTCCTGTCGATATTCGCGCATATCGGGTCGTAATTTCCTGAATTATGGCCATTTATTGTACGAAAAATCTCTTTTTATTTAGCTTGTTCTCTATCCATCTCTTGCAAAATGTAGGCGTATCTGCCTGGCAGCCGCTGGTTTTTCGGGCATGTGAATGAATCCTATCGAAATCTTGCGAACAGGACCGTTTTCGATTGACTTTGTTAAAACTTGTTTGGATTTCAAAATTTTCGGATCGGGCATGTCGCTGCTTTAGCTTTTCGTCCCGTGAATTTATTGGGACATAGGATAGAACCCTGTTGAAATTTAAACTTTTCGGAATGCTGAGTTTGTGAACTTGGGGCAGAACGAAGTGAGATTGCTCATATAAGGATAAAACAATGATTACGTCTTGACTTTTAAATTTTGCTAACGTAATACAAGAGAGTTCGTAATGACAATTATCTAACATCATCTGAGAATATTTAAAAGAATCTTGACTATATTATTTTGAGGTGTTTTTGTGGTTAGAAATAAAATCATTATTCAATACACGATTTACGATATTTGCTTTATAAAGGACCAACTATTGAAAAAAGGCATGGTTATACTCAGAGAGAAAATAAAGAATGAAAGGGGTAGGTATTATATAGCAAATTATTGTTACAGTACTCCCTATTTGAATTCCATGACAGTTATATTCGATATTCTTTACGAATATGTGATAATTATAGATGAACATTATTTTGTTAATTATGTTAGTTATAGTGTGTATCTGGTCTCGCTCACGTCACACACACACACACACACACGAACTACATACTCGTCTTAAATAACTGTATGCTAGTATCAAAACGATCCATATAATGCCATTTAAGAGTGTGTGTGATAACCAATATTTTATTCCTGCTCCCCATATCACTCTATCTATAATGGGGGGGGGGGGGCTGTCATTGAGTCACAGTGGCGTCGTTTCGATTCCCGACTTGTACGTTGAATGTGATAAGGATCAGAGTCGTCTGCCCAACCTCGTGGGTTTTCTCCTGGTCATCCGGTTTTCTCCCACTGCGAATTATTGAAATACAATTGAACCATGTGTTAGTCCTGAAATTACCTAGTTTGTGTCGAGTGGACGTTAAACCCCATCTCTCTCTCTCTCTGTCTATAATGGACGCTAATGTAGAACCTTCATTGGCCCCGCTGGTGCAGAAAAGTAAGACGTTAAACCTCATTTTATTTTTTTTATAGGCTAATGAAATAAGCGTTTGGATTTGTTTCCTAGACAGATATTTCTATTTTATTAATGTGTATTTCAATTGTCAGCTATGTACATATTTGTAATTCTCTGAGTATTTCTGGTGTTATTTTCAACATTCAACACTGGATTGTTCTGAATGTTATTTTTAACTTTAGTGATCTGTTTTGACGTGCTTGACATAATAATGGCATATACTTTAAAACAGATCATTAAAGTAATCACTGCCGAGGTTGGGTCAACTTTTATTAGAGCTTGGCTTGAGACGGGGGAGGGGGGGGGGAGAGAAAACCCACGAGGTTCGACAGACGACCTCACTCCTTGTCACACAAGCTAGGAATCGAAACCACGCCACTTGAATCAATGACAAGCCTTATGATTTAAAAATGAAATGAAATGGAATGAGGTTTAACGTCCTACTGTTCTGCTCCGACTGGGCTAATAAAGACGGTCATGCGCATACAGTGTACTATGAGGGAAATTTTGCCCGAGCAGCGGCACTTTGGCCTACTCTTATATCGAATTTCAGCTGCCAAGGAATCTTTTACGTGCACGCCAATATATACAGGAGTCCTCGGGTTTTCGTCCCATTCGAACGACTAGACAGCTGTCCATGTCAGGCCCTCTGTCCTGCACCACTGACAAGGGGAAACCACGCCGGAAAAAAACGATGAACTTTCTTATGATTTAAAGCGCACGCGTTAAACCATTATGTAATAATGATTCTTTCAACCCAAATTAATTATTTTATATGCGTTTATTGCATTTTGAATATAGCATGTTTTATAGTATCTTGCTTTGATATCGAGTCCCTTGAATTTATACTGTCGTTTTTATCAAAATACAGGTGATATTTAAGTACATCTACATTATATATAGGTCTTTGGTGGGTAGCATTACTAAAAAATATAGATTTGTCAAGGGCAACTCCGCTTTAATATCATTTATTTTCTATTCGACATTATTTCGCTATACGGTTTATTTTTAAAATTTACCAAGTAGAAAGGAGGTATAAAAATAATTCCAGAAACAATTTGGATAATTACTATTCAATAGCTTTTCCAACTGTCTCGATTGAAAGTAGAAAATTAGATTTGTTTGTGTATGGCGCCTGAAACCTTTTTACATATGAAAATTATGATTCTTTTAGTTCTCGGCTGATTAATTCACATTTGTTACTTGCATATTTAATATTTTGACATGTTTTATGCTATTTTATTGTATATTATCTTGAACACTTTCGCATCCGTCAAAATATAAATAATTCTTGTAAATTAAATACATGTCTTTGATGGGTAGTATTAGTAAACAATAAAGATTTATGAAAGGGAGTCCAGCTTTTGTTTAATATCATTTTCTTTCTGTCTGGCATCTAATTCGGCACTGATTTCGCTATACGGTTTACTGCTCAATAACTTTAGTATCGAGTAAAGGCGGTATAAAACATTTCGTGTATAAGTAGTTTTCAATACGCCTTTAAGCGTTCGCCCCATCTTAATTAAAACCTGGCTTAAACTGATTGTATAGTAGCTGCCGCGGGAAATACTAAATCAAACGAAAGGTCGAGAGTAAACCAGATGGAGGTTTGGAAATTTTGAATTTTTGGGGGCAATTTTGAACCGTTTGCTGTTTATATGTCTGCCCCGGGTGTTGTAATATTGTATACTATTCTACCAAACGTGGCAATGAAGTTTGCTATGGGAAAAATTCTGCCCGGATAGCTACGTTTTCTCCTATATACTCTTCATCGAATTCTGTCAAGGGTTAACTTTACGTGCATTCGTACACGGAACCAGGGTAATTCGTCCCATCCGAAAAAATAGACACTTAACAGGCTGTCCGTTCTGCAGCTGACAAATTGGAACAAAGCTGGAAAATCCCAAGGAACTTTCTCGGCCAACACTGAATCATACCCCAGCTGTCTTCTTGATTAGTCAGCCAGTGCCTTATTCATTAATCCACGGTGGTTCCAACTTTAGAAATAGGGAGCGAAACCCCTAAGAAAATATCTTCCCTGTGTCTGATACTAAAACGGTAATATGTCGAATAATTTTAACCAGATTGTTGTGAGTTTGCCGTAAATTGTATATAGTGACCACTGGCTATGAATACAGAAAATATCGTCTGATGACCTTATGTGCAATTTAAATTCTATCACCCATTGACAACTCGTATTTTGCGGGAATACCACGCCACTGAGTATAGATAATACCGGTATTGACGGGGTTGATTTAGCACGGTGCTACACCAATGCTACACGACTCTAACTTTTGTTTAACACTACGCCACCGTAACCATATAAACTAGGTGTATAGGATCGTTCATCATTTCATTTGACAGCCTACAGGGGCTTGTAATATTTGATAGACATTGATTGATAGCAAAATGGGTTGATGTTCGTTGAACTTAAAAAAAAACTAAGGGACATGTTGTACACAGTTACCTGTAATTATATAATTGCTGACTATTCAATATAACCATTGTCATAATTTACAGGTGCTGATTTATTACGGTTGTTAGGAGATACATGGGAAGGTTTTTTCAAAGAAATGCTACCATATCTACAAGCTATACTTCATCCATTAAAGGTACATCACCAGTGTATTTTCGCCGGCTAGGAGTGTGGTTCCTACCCTTTTAGATCAAGTGTTTTGGAAAGTATATGTCAAAAGTTGCTCATATAAATCTTTCTGTTATTGTTTTGATATAGTGTTGCAGATTTTTTATATTTTATTCTTGTCTAGTATAATTTCAACACCGTATGTGATGGCATAAGATGCACTGAGAGTCAGTGTACACACACATACCAAATTTAATTACCAAAAGCACGCAGGTACTAACTACAATTGCCTTCGATCCAACGACTTTTCTTAATGTGTATTCATCTGTAGCCAGACGAGTGGATACATAGGACAGTTCTTCTCAAGACTTCATTTTTTTCATTTACGTCGTTTCATCAACTTTCCGAAAACCCGCCAAATGCCATGTAAATTAAACATATAATTATTAGCACTAGCATGCGCGAAACGTGCTTAAGCCACGGAAACACACACGGATAGTAACCCTGCTTATATATTCTGTATAAAGACCAGAAAGGACAGCATTTTCTCTAGAGAGGACAGGAAGAAAGCGCCAGATTTTGCTTTCGTTGTACGTTATATTCTTATACAGTACTATAAACCGGGCATTCACTAGAATTTCTTGAAAAACCTCTCACTAGACTCAATACATGTTTTAACTATTGGAGAATCACATAGCGGTTTATACCTAGTCCCATCGCCCACCCCACCCCACCTCACCTCACCTCAATCCTCCCCACTCCTATTCAAATACCACTACGAGCTTATTGGAAAGCTTACACATCAAACAAACGCCGAGTTTGGATATAAACATTTTTTTGGCGTTGCTGACGTCAACAAAGTTGACGGGGGATCTTTACGTTAATGCTGGATATTGAATAACATATTAAACCCTTTGAAACTGTCGAAGTATGATTTTATATCAGTCGTCAGTATATTTATTGAGCCGTAATTTTGAGATAGAAAAACATCTTATTAAACAGTTAGTCTGTATTTTAAGAGAAATGTTATATGTACTTAATCAAAAGAAGTCTGCGTGTGTCATGTATAAATCCTAGAAGAATTAACTATACGTTTTGATATAGACATTGATCGGCATGTCTTCCTCTAAAATCCCCCGGGGGTTTAACTTTATTCATATCTAGACATTTATACTTAAATGAAATCAGATTCATAGACCTTAGGTAATTATTTTAAGAAATAAAGTATCTTTGTTGGAAATTTTGAGCATCCTACTTTCATCCATACACATCGACATTTTTTTTTTTACTTCAGAATACGGAAATGTCTATTCGAGACGTCACTTTACTGGAATTTAGAAATATTGTTTTATTAAAGGTTAGTGTGCATGGTAAGTATCACCACTTTATTATAGCGCCGTGTAATCACGCTTAAAAAAACTTGAAGTTGAACGAAATAGACAATTTACAATGTAATATAGCACATGTACAGCCAGGGAACGGAAATACATCAACCAGCCATCTTTGTGAAGGTAGGCAGCAAGGGCGTCACATGATGGTGCAAAATAGCAAAAATCAATTTCAACGGTCTCGGTGACAGGGGATGGAGTTACGAATGTGGGAGTATATGGATATAGCGAATCCTAATTTCTGACAAAACTGATTTATCTATGAAACGACTGCTTATTGTTCAAAGTTCAAAGTTTATTGTTCTTTGAGACATATGACTCATCAGATACAAAATACATAAATTATTTACAATATACAAATTGTCACATTTATACAATATGGAGAGATGAACAATGTATGTTAAATAAATCCGATTAATTAATACTTTAACTACGAGATAATTATCTTGTAAGTACGAGATAGTTATCTTGTAATTACGAGATGATTATCTTGTAAGTACGAGATAGTTATCTTGTAATTACGACATAGTTATCCTGTAATTACATTTGATTGACCGTAATGGTCTTCTCCGTATATCCGTCTCAATTACGAGATAATTATGTCGCAATTACGAGATCATCAGAATTGTTTTGGGTTTTTTTCATAGTGGTCTTCCGTATAATGATATGGTTACTTCATCTTGATAATCAAACACATTTTTTGTAGAATCTCTCGGCTATTATCCTAGATATATTTAATTGGCACGTATACTATTACTATCTCCCTGATAATGTCTACTACGTCGTTAACACATTTCATCGCGTGCATTTTGCATACCGATAGTTCATTGGCCAATCACGCTATTTTACCGACATTTCGCCTAATAGTTTGGATGGAGCTATGGCGGGTGTGGCGCCAGGCAGGGTAAGCTTACTCTTCCGGACACCTGTTACCACTGTCTGTCATGTATTTTGTACACGAGGAGCAGTCCATTTGCTGATTACACTATTTAGCTCGAATACACTATTTTGCCAATAACGTTTTTTAGGACTTCGAATTCTGTCTTATGGTTTGGATTGTTCGTACTTGGTTTTATTTTATTTCATCACGTGATACATTAGCAGAAACCATCTGGGAAGACGACAAACACACATACTTATATAAATTACATCTACGCTCAAGAGTTCCTCCGTGTATTGGCAATAGACCGAAACCTCCGAAATAAAAATAATATAATAATCCCCCAATGTAGATCTAAGTTATATAACACACCATTTATACCAACTGCAATATCTGAATAGAATAACCTCTCAGGAGAAATAAGGACTGATCTGTTAATATCGCATTTCAAACGTTATTAATACAACTTACAGGAGTTAAATCTCTATTCTTTGGCAACTTGAAATGGACACAAATGGGTCGCAACGCATATAATAATGTAATATGAATGTATATAAACTGATTTACATTCAATCGTTTCTCTTTTTACTCTAAATTGTATGGCAGACTTTGGCGCCTGGTTATTACAGTCTACACCGGTACTATTCTCCTGTGGGATAAGTTTAGCCTCGTTCGTCGAGTCGCCTCATTACAAATGGCGCTCGAAAGCATTCTGGCACGCGATTCCTCTCCGAATTTTAAAATTTCCATTTTGTCTTAAATATTGTATATCAGAAACCCATCTTTTCACGGTAAGATAACAATATCAATGTTGATTTAAACTGGCCAATAAGACGGCATACTCTGGGTGATATTGAGCTAGCGACTTGCCTCCTTTAAACAAAATCCCAAAAATACCACTCTTCGGGTCCATTTAATAACAAGTATGTCTTTGGAAAAATTGAAACACTGGAAAATCTGGTAACATCTGATAACATTAACCACAATATTAACAGAATTTGATAATAACTTTATGGAGTTTAATAATTAAAAATAAAGTATGCTCTATATGCATTTGTTCATAGCATCAGTAACTGCACCCTTATTCATACGAGCGTATAATATCATAATAGGTAATGTTTATGGAAGAAGGGCTTATTGCGAGATCTAATGTTCGTGTCGACTCTCCAGTGTTGTAACATTTCATGAATAAATATAGTTTGAACCAATATAACATAGTTTGAGTTAACAGAAAAAAAGGAATATCTGGATTCAACATTTTATTATAACATATACAATAGTATCATAATATGAGAAACCCTTCTCTGGTGAGCAACCCAAGCTCGTCTGATTTGTATCATGTTGTTGTTGTTTTTGTTTATTAAACATTTAACGTCCAATACATTAATATGATATTATGGACCAGTTGATTTAGTTAAATTATGTACACTTAATGGGTTGAAAATTGGTAAAAATACAAAATAAAAACGTCCGTGTATATCAAAAGTCATCTTAAAATTGGTAAAAACACAAAAGAGTCCTTGTATATCAAAAGTCATCTTCTCCCTCTTTCATAATTGATTTGTATCAAAAACCATGGCCAATTTATAGTAAATTCAGTGGTGATATAAAGTCAATTAAATATAATTGTACATACATTAATGATATTGAATAAAGAACTACACAATGATAGATTATCTCACTATAATCATGTGGCAGGCTACAGAAAAACTGAACACTAGGTAAACGTAATTAGCGATCAGCGGATTATCTAACTTGATCATTTACCCATGGCAGCTGCTGGACCATTGTTAAATGGAAACAATAGTGTGGTCAATTAGGAAACAGCGGAGATTGTATTACGCATGCTGCCATAGGATGATTATAATCGTTTACCTATTACTGTCTCTCACACTATATAGGGTCCTTGCTCTTTTTTATCCCGGCATTATTAATATTTGAAACTTTAAAACTGTATTTCAGAAGCACTACAGTCAGCGACATTTATACCTCCAAACGTAAAACAGATGCTTTTAGTTCTTCAGAGTGTGTCTGATGGAAGTTTCTCGTCAGAAAACACCTATAAACTGGAAAAATTAGTGGCCATAGCCGTGGTACCCTATTTAGGACTACGTGGTTTGTATGCGGGTTCACCAGATCCAATAATAAAAGCTAAAAGTCGTTCAACGCCTCGCCTTGTTGTTACAGGTAGGATTCATTAGTCATCGTTTGCCTTCTTCCGTGGAACTATATCCAACCCCCGAGTGCGTTGTGCATGTCTTCTTGATCCCCCATTGGCTATATTTTTCCGCTATCTATATATTTTGGGTCAGTAAACAATAAAAATAAATTTTCATTCCTTTGTCGTGCAAATATCTACCCCTGGAAACTCTTCCCGCACTGCTGCAATATACACAACACACTCCTCGATACAGTGAAAGCTTTATTTGATTGTGAGAAAAAACGGTGCAGTAGACTACCAGAAAATCTAGCAAGTGATTTAGTTTCCCCAATCTGCGCAAAACATGCGATTCCTTGCATGTGCGCGATTTGCGTTAGCCATGGCTATTTCTGTAATATCACAATTCTCTTTGCAGAAGCGGTAGACTCTGAATCCGAAGAGCCGGAAGAAGAAGTGAAGGTATCGCTATATTCTACATGGTCTCCAGCAACAGTCAATAAATTCTCTAGTCGACTTAATAGTATATTTAACAACAAAAAGTTAGCACCGGTGTTAGAACATGGAGATGGTGGGCGAAGACACAGTTTGTTTTCATAGTGATTATTAACTGATACATTTGTAAAAATAATTGTGATAAAAAAAAAAACTTGTTGCCAATAACATTTCGCTGTTTTTAAGTACCCGGTGCTTTGTATAACACTCAGTTTTCAAAAGACAGTTAATGTTAAAAACAGAAGAATATGTAGATATATTTAATTCATTCTGCTCTGATACTGAAAAGATGTGGCTTATTGGTAAAACCTATTATGCATAACTGTTAAATGCAGGCGAATTGCGGGTAAAAAAAATACCGAAACCAAACGATACAGAAACAGACAAATCAATCAGATAGATATAACTATACATGGTGTATACGGTCCTCGTGTCGATTAATAATACATTTAGTTTTATTGTCGTTTCCTTGATGATGTCAATCATTATGGAAAATTCCACATAAAATGTGATTTCTGGTCCTCTAATCAAGTCTATGGAGATATTATAACAGTGTCATGACATAAAATAATAAAAATAATAGTCTATTCATGATACATGGGCTTATGTATGCAGCAGATTATTAAATTATTTTGTATTATTGAAAATAAAAATACTTTTTGTTAAGTTAATGTTAAATTAATTATTTTAGCCACATTTTTTGTCACTGGTAGATTATTATGCCATAGCGAAAAGTTGTGGGCATGTTATCGGTTATTGTACAGTTGACTTATACATTACAATAGCCATTTTTCAACATATATTTTTGACAAAATGGCAGCATTCATACGTAGATAATTCCAATGAATGGCACATTAGGCTAACCTGCTCAATTTCTCATCTCATGGAGGGACATGGAAGTCCACGGAAATTAGCACACTACTGACAGAAAAAATATTTTTTTTAGTCTTTTTTATGGCTGCTATAACAATAAAAAAAAAACGAGATCATTTTTATTTATTTTTTTTTTTTTGAGAATTTATTTTCATTTCTGTTGGTTTTTAGGCGTATAAACTTATATACTGATCTGTGCACTTACAGGGTCGGATTCACACTGATCCGCAGTGAATATTTGCTAGGCCGCGACAATCACTGATAAGGATGACATCGATGCGGCTTAATGAGCCAGTAATATTAACTTTTTTCCTGAGACAAATTAAATTCTAAAACATTTTTTGTATGTATTGGAAAAATAAATAAAGGCGTTTGACGTATTTGTAGGTAAAAATTATTTCCTATTTAGTGTAAATGGGTATTAAAATGACTAAAATGCAGCATTCTCTCCGAAGCAGTAACGTGTTATGTAAACAATGCACGCGCCATTCAGCCAATGATTGACGCCGCGTGCTGTGACGGCACGTGTTAAGGCAGTCATCTTTGACAGAGATATATTACTAGGCTCGTAATTCTCTGTGAAACAGATTGGGTCGGATTAAGCTTGCATGGGGCCTCTGGTTGAAAACGTGTCACCGTGGCCCCATATCCGTGAAGCAACGACCGCTGGTTTCACAAGATCTAGCCGTTGCTAGATTAGTCTGAAATTCACGAACTTTTATCATTTCCCCGCTTTACCACAGACACGAGAAAAATAACGTTGTCCAGTCAGCCTTTGAAACCTTTTTATTTTTAATTTAGTCGAAAGTCGCATGGACAAGATAAAAAAAAAGAAGCAAACTTACTAGCATAATGGAAGAACAGAAAAGTAAATTAAAAAGGTTTGGACTAAAATGTGAAGTGGTCAATAGCATATTCATAGCGGAATAGCTGGGGTTGAAGTGAAAAACATCCGGCAACCTTGGTATTGAACATTCCAACTCGATTACCACAGGTAGACATAGCATTTGAAAAGCACGTGACTTGGTATTCGCGATATTTACTATCGAGGAATCTGAGAGGTCTAGAGCTGGGTCCTAGACAAATCAAACTTAGTGACGAAAATGTAGAGTAAAGCAAAATCAAGCCTTCTATTGAAGATACCGGGGACCTAAATTACATCAACAATAAAAAGGAAGCATATTCTGGTCATTGTCCGGCACACTAACAATAAAGCAATTTGCATGTCAGTATGGTAGATAGATTTGTTTGGCACAGATAATGACATAATATATTTATTTATGGTACAATATTTATGGTAATTTATTTGAGGGCTCCTTTAACATGAGGACCCTAGCTGCAGTCCAGTCACTCCCCCACCCTTTAATCCGGACCTAAGGTCTAAGCTCTAACGCGTCATCCCTAATCCCATGCCCTGTGAGATATTTCAATTGATATTAAAATTAAAAAGATGTTGCTCTTCTTCCAACATCACTGTTATTACAATATATGACGACACAGATCTAACTTTACAGATGGTGAGATTCGAACCAAAATGTAGTCCCCTAATTGGTTAAAGGTTCAATACCACTTTTGTTGTAACTGAATAATATGTCCCAATCTTTATTCTGGTCAACAAATTGTACTATTTTACAATATTCCAATTAATTGATGATACAAATTTCATCTTAACACACCTAATTTAAAAAATTGGAAAAATTCAACTAAATGATTTGAAAAGCCTGACGTAAAGCTTTTCAAATGTGACTTGGATTTAAAAATATTTTTGAACCCTATGGACAAGTAAAATAGGATTCAATGGATAATTTACACAACAGGTAGGACACTAACACATCTAGTACTTAGAATAAGGTTATTTTTTTATTTTCTGGAGTTATCAAGCCAGCTAGAGTGTTATTGTCCCTTTAAAGGTTCAGCGAAATAATAATCAGTACCCACACCACTTAACGTATTTTCCAATAATTCTGTTGGCGAAATGTAAGGGTTTAAGTATATTAAATTTATGAAACCCTTGAGTTGACAATAAAAAAAATTATCATTATTATTATTATTATTATTACAGCATATTTATAGTGCGCCCTTTCATATAACATGTTCAGGGACACTTTTCAAAGTGACAATGTAAATCATACATAAACAACAAGATTATGGACATGTTAACAATTGTATACAGAGTCAGTTAAAAGCCTGATTAAATAAATGTGTTTTAAGTTGTTTTTGAAAAGAATATAGAGATGTACAACATCTTAAACTAAATGGTAGATTATTCCATAAAACAGGTGCTTGATAACTAAAAGAGCGCTGACCATAAGAGACTAGTTGAACAGTTTTGGGCTTTAAAAGTAGTTTATCTGATGTACGTAATGTTCGGCCAGGTGTATAAAGTTCTAAAAGATCTGAGAGGTAAACAGGAGCTAAATTATTTAAACATTTAAAAGTAAGTAATAAAATCAATTCGATGGTTAACAGGTAACCAGTGTAAAGTATAAAGTCTGTTTTCGCCATTTTCTATTTTATCAGAGTAAAATTTAATTTTAGCGTCTTCAATTAATTTATTCACACTGTTTTTTTCAAAGATTTATAAATCTGTTTAGGACATGTAGATTTGTTTTCCGCCACAGATGTTCAGCCTTATTACGGTCCCTTTTGGCTTCTAAAATAGAATCATTAAACCACTGCGTATTGAGACGAATAGTGGACGGGATCTAATTAGACACCTTTCTGATTGCAACGAGCTTCCGTAAACACAACCAGGCGGTCCAGGGTTCGATACCGGTGTCGACTGAGAATATTCCTCGGTATTTTCCTGAGCGGTTTCAACTTGTCACTGGTACAGTACGGAGGGCTTGGCAAGGAACAGCATCTCCTCGGGGTGGACGAAGCACCGAGGTCCCGTGTACACGTTGGACGGTTGAATGCTCGTAAAAGTACCCTTAATAGTTGGAATAAGAGTACTGAGTCGGCCCTGGCGCCGCTGAGTGGTCAAAATTTCCCTCATACATTGCGTGGTGCATGCCTGTCTTCATTAGCCCGGACGGTGCAGAAAAGTAAGAAGTTTAACCCCATTCCAAGTATGTATATTATAAGAAGGTTTCCACGGGGAATCGATTTGTATACAATTAAATTATGGGTAGTTTAAATTACCCTTTGCGGACTTCGATGATTTTCAAAATTTGCGCTGTAAAAATAAAATAAAATAAGTACTCTACATGGCAGTTTTTATGATACGAAACGTTAGTGAAAATACTTAAATTAAATGAAATGGAGTTAACATCCTATACTTTTCTGCACCAACTGGGATAATGAATGCGGGTATACGTCATGATCTGTGGTATCAGGGAATTGCCCTGACAGTGGCGTTTCAGCATTCTCCAACTGCCACGGGACCTCGATCGGTTTATCGTCCCATCCGAACGACAGCCGTTATTCATCGCATAGTCATCTACCCAGTAACACTGACAAGGGGATCACCGGCCAACTCACAGTTAGTGGCGAATCCTTAAAAGATACTTGTTGACAGCCCCTAATTTTAAATAATTGATAGAAGTGGTTAAACATAGAAATCTTTGTCTTGGTTGATCTGTATCAATATCAACGATTTGAATATTCCGGACAAAAGGTCTTTTTTTTTCATTACCATTTATTTTTCTCTTTCAAAATAGTTTCTCCGGGCCTGCTTTGTAAGATATAAGACAATGCCTATTCCTGTCTGGTATACCAATCACAAATAGATGGAAGCGGGAGTTAAATAAATTTATATAGTTAATAGTAGGCCTATACAGGTTTACGAATGTTCACTATTTCGCCAACAGTTTTTATCGATTGTTTCATTCATTTCACTCAGCCAACAATTTATAATTTAGGCTAATATGGCAATTATAAAGCCCATATATGTCATAACTATATTTATAATTTAGGCATTATTTGGATAGACGAAAAGCCATATAAACTATGCCACAGTCTGTTCATCTTCATTGCATAAGGGGACAAGACTCTTGTTTGAGTTAACGACAACTTGCAAATCCTACAATTTAATCTGTTGTTTTCTTATAATTAGAAACTGTTTGGTTATTTGTTTAACCATTATTTAGAGTTCGTCCATTCTGGTGTGTTATTTTGTATTTTATAAAGACAATAAATTGCTACAGATGATTTTATATTTTGAACGGAAGAAAAAGATGCTTGACAACCATGACTAAAGTTGCATTGACAGAGTTAGCTACCCCTGTTCCAAATTCTGTCAGTTGCCATTAAAAGTGAAAAATAAAACCGACACAAATGACTTCGGGAGTCGCGACAGCCAGAATTTCTTCCAAAAAACAAACATTAGAGGATGCCTACTCTCCTCCAGCTAATTTTTTAGAAATAGATGTAGGCGATCCACAAACTCATGGTGTTGGGAAGAAGAGATACACGGATTACGAAGTTAGAATGAGGGTATGACTGTTGAAATGTCGACTCAATAATAAGGAGTTATTGTATTTACTCCAGACGGAAGTGAATGTCCTCTGAAGCTTTAAGTGTTATGATTATGCCAGTGACTAAATTAAACTTATATATTTTGAAATTATAGTATTTAAAATGTAATTAATTATGTCAAATAACTACTGGGTCAATGGCATTGGTTCATGATTAGGCCAAGGAGACTGATAATTGTGAGAGGTCTCCACCCCCTTTTTGGCTTAGATTGTGTGTTGTACAGTACTAAAACTACTATATTAAGCCAGGCTAATCATATGTTGTAATACAACATGTTAACCTACTGACTCATTGTTACTAATATAGTAACAATTGCCTTAGTAAATTTGATGCTTCCAAAAAAATTCTATAATTTTTTTTTTAAAGTAAGTAAGCTTTAAGGCTACATGTAATGCTAATGTTCATATAATAAGAACGGTTGAAACAGATGCAGACATAGGAAATCTCTACCATTTGAAACCTTCCCTTTTAAAACCCTTTTTGACTGTAGCACATCATTTCGGTCCCGTGTCATTTCGGACTCAACCCAGACGACCTTTCGGACTCAGTTTGACGACGGTTCGGACTTACTTGACGGCTTTTCGGACTCGGTCTGGCAACCTTTCGGACTCGGATGAATAATTAAAAGACTGTTGAAAATTTGTGTGATATATTTGTAATATATTTGTTTTTGTTTTCGTTTTATGTGAGTCCGATAGTTGTTTTGTTTTAAATTTAATTGATCAGCGATTCTTGAAACTGCTAATAAAAAGATAACACTGATTTTACGCTGCTTGTTCTATTTTGTTTTGTTTCATTGGCAAGTATTGAACTTAACAATAAAATATTGTTGAATATTTGTGTATATTTAGTAATGCTGCTAATGTTTTTATAATTGTGAAAGCCTAAATGTCTTTTACGTGAGCCCGAATAATCGAATCAACACACGGCCGCCATTATCGCTGATTGACAACTCACGATTTTCCTTGTCCACAAAAGAACTGTAAGGTTTCTTTGGGCGTACTAGTACTGCAATTACATAGGGATTATCGGTTAATCAGAATTATCCCAGTTTGATCGTTGCCATTTCTAATATTTTCACAAAAGAGTTTTCTTTGTACGCACTAATTTATCGATTGGTACTGCTGTCTATTGCAAGCTTGTCGAGATATGCATGTCAACGTGTAGCTTATGGATTATCTTATGGATTATCGTTAAAAAATTCTAGAGGCTTGTAAAAACAGTGCAGCATGTCGTGTAAATATTTACTTTTATTTTTTGTGTAGGTCATTTTGAAATAAATTCTACAGCACATTAATGTTTTTTAAAAAAATAAATTACGTTTACGGGAAACGATGATAAAGAACCGTAAGTGCAACTATGTTTTATCGTTTGGTAGAGTCTTTTAATAACCACATGTTTCATGTTAATATTTTCTTTCGTGTTTTGAATTGGCCTAATAAATTCATCAGCTACTTAATTTATATACATATTACAGATATAAAGAAATAAAACATATGTTTCACAAACATTCAACATTGAAAATTTTGCAGTTCCTTGAGAGATCTATGCGGTGCGTGATCCACGATTGTACTTGATTGCGAGCGGTAAATTTTACCTGCATGTCATTTTTTGTAAAATCGCTTTTGGTTTATTATAGATTGATTTGAGAGTTGTGTTCAACCTCTCCGTTCAACTTATTCCCAAGTCCGAAACGTCACATGCCCGAATCTGAAACGTCGGGGCCATATTTTTTTTAGTCCGAAATGACAGGGGACCGAAATGACATGTAATCTTTTCTATGACTTCCACCTACTTGAACACCACATAAAAGCACAAATGCATGTAGGTCTTATATTATTTTAATTATATGTAATATTGACTTTGTATTATTTTTCTTTTGAATAGACAAATTTACCAGTTTTTAAGTTGAAAGAATCTATAACAAGAAGAAGATACAGTGATTTTGAATGGTTACGAAATGAGTTAGAAAGAGACAGCAAGGTATGCTTAGTACAATCTGTAATCAGTTTCTTAATATGAATAAATCTGTGAGGCGTTGATTTGGGTAAAAAAAACAAAACTAATTGTCAATTTCATTGGATTTTATGGTTTCATTTGTGGCATGACAATCTGTCTTCCTTTAAAATTTTATGTAAATAAAGTCAGTTTTGAGATATAAGTTATAACCGATTTTGTATTCCACTACTGTTGACAGAGTAAGCCAAAATTCAAACTAAGTTGACTTCTGATTAATTTTTTGAAACAAAAAATTTAATTTTATAAGCATAGAGCTTGAGGCCTGTCACTCACCAAAATAACACATCAGATCAACCCAATTCAATAAATTACAGAAGTTTAGGTCTTGTCAAGATATATTTCCTTGGCAGTGTATATCTTAAAGGAGCTAAGTTGCTAATATTTGGGACCTAGAAATTGACACAAATGGGTCGAAACGCATACAATAATGTAATATCAATGTATATAAATTGATTTACATTCAATCGTTTCTGTTTTTACTGTAAATTCTAATCAGTTAGGTTCGGCGAAATATGCCAGTATTATGAATAGAATTTCAATCTGTAGCATTTGGTAATTCCAGTCTAGACCGATAGTATTTATTGGGCATGCTCTCCAGATAAGAATAAAGCGTCACCGTTTGACATAACTTGTGGAATATGCCTAGCCTCGTTTTTCGAGTCCCTTATTACAAATAGCATTGAAATGCATTATTTATGGTACACGATTCGTGTACCAATTGTTAAATGTTTATTTTGTCTTTAAATATTGGATATCAGAAAGCCATCTTTTTCCATTAAGATCACAACATCATTGTTGATTTAAACCGACAAATAAATCATGTTTTCAATGTCGAAGATTTTGGATGATATTGAGTTAGAGACTTAGCTACTTTAAGTTTAATTAGAAAATACAGTGTATTCAAACTGCTGAGGAAATAAATATTTATTGCCGAGAAAAATGTTAGGCTGACCTCTATTTCTTGCGAGGTATATTGAGGTATTTGTAGAGCGATATATAACTAAGCACTAATATTCAAACGGCTAAATAGTTGTTGACAGTTCGTAATAGTTATCTTTATTAATATATTGCTGTGGGACTCTAATTTAGCCTATTCCAATCTGATTAAAATACAGATCTATATTTCGTTTCTATGAAGATCTGACCAGTTCTTTTGGGAGGTCCCGTCAGAGGTCATAAGAGCGGCTTTTGACACTATGATGTCAGACATTTGATTAACCAATCAACATTGGTGTGTCTAGTGGATTACCCACAGTTCCATGCACCCAACACCAAACTATAGCTGTAACAGACCGTTTCATTGGCTAATCCTCACCTCAAACAAAACGCGGGTTATATAACAACTCTTCCAGATCCTAGTATAGTGTAGTAAATACAAGTAAAACGAAATTTTGAACTATAAAAAAATGAAATGGAATCTGTGTTTTAAAGAGATTTAGCCTATTCAATCCAACACATTTTATAAATTACCCATGGTGCCTTATTTTATGACTACCAGGTACAGCAAGATGTGTTGTTCTTTCCTAGGTAGTAATTCATATTGAAAAAATTTTGTTACATTATTTTTAGATTGTTGTTCCACCTCTTCCCGGTAAAGCTCTTAAGAGACAATTACCTTTCCGAGGAGATGATGGAATATTTGAAAAAGAGTTTATAGTAGACAGACAGAAGGGTTTGGAACAATTTGTTAACAAGTAAGTTGGATTGTTTACTAAGAATATGGGAGTGGGGGGCGAATGATTTAACGCTTGTGCTTTGCATCATAAGATCTGTATTGAGTGGCATGGTTTTGATCACCTGCTTGTAGTAAGACTGCCTGTCCAACCTCGTGGGTTTTCTCCAGTTTCCTGCCACTGCTAAAGAATCCTACACACAATCAAATTATTGAAATGAAATAGAACAGTGTTAATCCCACTCTCTCTCTTTTATTAAGAATAAACATAAAACACCAGGGATATTGCATTTATTGGTATGTGTATAATTATGAATGTAATAAATATTAATATGTCCCTTTAACACAAGCAGCCTTGTATGCATTTACATCAAATTACAAGAATAGACCTTGACCAACTTTCATAAGTTTTTCTATACGGTATGCTATGGTCTACATCAGATCAGTCTGTTTGATGTTGTGGTATTTAAATTTATGATGTTGTTTTGTTCTGTTATTACATTTTGACATTTTACCTTTCAGAGTTGCTGGACATCCTTTGGCCCAAAATGAGAAATGCTTACATATGTTTCTACAAGAACCTGTGATTGATAAAAATTATGTACCTGGCAAAATCCGAACAACTTAGACTGTCCCGTCATCTTTGATATGCTTGCACATTACAATATGGTTTTACTTATGGCAATTATTTATAATAATATTGTGTCAGGTGATGTAATGAGATTCATCATTGTTCCTCATATGTTTCTGGATAACAGCTTGGAAAATAAAACCTTTTTCTTGTCTTATACACTGTCGTTTATAATTTTTCTTACTCAAAAATAAACTAAATCCCCAAATTCTCAGTGAATAATAAAGATATCAATATTAATTGTGTGTATATTAAATAACATTAATGACTTAACTCAAACAAAAATATGCTTTATTAACATCTTATAGTTTGAAATCAACAACAAAATTGTAAATATTATTCAAATACCTGTAACCAGAAGACAAGGGAATAATTTAAAGGTTCTTTTTTTAAGTTTTAATTATCTGTCTGTAAATTGTTAATATTTGTTGTTTTATATTTTCATTGATAGTCATAAATATACTTCCATAGCTATACACAATCTGTGTGTATTGTTGGTTGAAACAGATGCTATTGAACTTTTAATCCCAAACTTCTTCGAAAGACTAAGAGTTTGTGTCAGTTGTTCTCTCCCCATTAATTCATCACTGGGTGAGACAGTAAAATATTGAGTTTCCTTGCCCTATTCAATAACACACCCACCTATATTATATAGATGTATATATATATATATTTATCAGTTTCAATGATTTATGTCATATAACAAGACCCATATATATTCATGCTTGTTTAACAAATTGAAATTTAAACATTTTTTTTGTGAGAAATTATGAATACAGTTATGTCATCAGTTCCTTTGTCATTTATGAAATGGACTTTGGAAACAAACTTGCTACTGATTAATTTATACATATTTGTTATTATCATTTTGAATGTTCCATCGTTTAAACTTCAAATTATAAATTGGACTCTATGTATTGCTGTCAAAAAAAAACTAGATAAAGCTCAATTTCTAAGAATATAAATTCCTGAAAATGACATATGGTTAAAAATGATAAATTTATTTAGTGGCGATAAATCAAATGTATTTTGTTCTTGTTTAATGTGTATTGCATGCTATAATTATATAGTAGAGAACCAATATGTGTACATGCGTAACATGTATATTGAAACCATCAATATTTAGAATAAAAACAGTAAATAATAAAATGTATTGGAATGTAAAGCAAAAGTAATATTATATTGATAATATGAGGTTTGAAGAAAATATTTTTACACAATTTAATTATTTTTTGTATGTACATGTAGTTGTATATGTTGTGTAGTATTGAATGTATTTTCATTACAGACTTTCATTAATGAATTACAATGAATATAATGCTCATTCATTATTTAAATCCTTTTGATAAATTATTTTATTGGACAGCTAAATTTTTAAGTCATCAAAATGGTAAAACATATTTCAATAAACAGGATATTAGTTATTTTTAGTTGGTTTTCACATATTAATATTAATGAAGTGACTTTTCTGGCAAAAATATATTTAAAACCTATGAAAGAAATAATAAGATTGTAGAATTGGCAGGCTTATTATGACCAGGTTAGCTCCAAAATACAGTGAGAATGAAATTATCAATTATCTACTGTTATATTGCTGTATAGATATATATTCAACCAAATAAGCACACATCCATCAATACACCTAGTGAAAATTCCAGCACTTGATCAAATTTTTATTATCTCTATTGCTCTTGAATTTGGAATTAGGTCCATTTGCTGTAATGTTCATTTGTCTCATATAGCCCCCGTGCAGTATTGGGACTAATTGAGTGAATGATGATTTTTTTATGCTATTCAGATAACATGGGTGTTTATTTGGTTGTGTATTTTTTTATTGTAAATTATTAATGTGTGCTATTTCTTTAATCTAAATATTATACCAATACGGTTTATAATATAGACTGCAGAACAAAGACAAAGGATGCTTTATGTTTTAAAAGTTAACTGTATGGCACTGTAGGCTATATGTAGCAAACCCTACAGTAGAATAATATAGTATGAATGAATATAAATATAAATGAAGTTCATAATTAATGTAATGATTAGATTGAAGTCAGTTTAGGGTTATTGATAACAAGTTTTAGAATGTATCTAATGTACCTTAGTTTCTGTCATGACTGTATGTCGATCATTGCTTAATATTTAATAAATGTACATGTATCCTTGACATAATTTCTCTTATTATTTAACAATTGAGAGGGAACTAAAAGCAAATGTCCTCCAAACACAATGTGTACTAGAAACATGGTTTCAAAATTGAAGTGGGTAAGGTTTGTGTTTATGTTTGTGATGCATTTATGATGTTATCTGTGTCATGGACATGGATTCATAAATTGCGAAGTTGTTGTAGACATCAACCTTCAATTTTGCATTTTCATACAAACGATGATTCTTTCAGTGTTTTGAAAATGAGGAAAGATAGACTATTTGAAGTAAAATCAGTTAACTTTTATTAAAAGACAACCTAGAATGTTACTAGTTGTTTTCAGTTGACTAATTCAAATGTCAAAGGATAATTTTACCATAAATACTAATCAATTCCAATGAATCCAGATCTAAATAATACATATTCATTTATTTGTCAAAATTTTATATTTTCAAACAATGACTGATAAATTTTATTATTTGAATTTCCAAACAACTGAATTTCTGTGTACAATTAAGTAAACCATGGTTTATGGACTAGTAATTGATTCCCCTGATCCCATGATAGTCAAATGCAGTTCCTCTATGAAGTGGCCCATTTATTTTAGATCATAAAGCAATAGGATCGCCTGTCCAACCACATGTGTTTCTCCTGTTTCCTCCCACTGCTAAAAACCCATATATACAAGCACATTACTGAAATAAAATTGAACCATATCTTTGTCCCAAAATGACCTAGTTTGTGTCTAGTGGACATAAAACTGTCCAACCTCATGTGTTTCTCTTGTTTCCTCCCACTGCTAAAAACCCATATGTACAACTGCAGTATTGAAATAAAGTTGAACCATGTTTGTCCCAAAATGACCTAGTTTGTGTCTAGTGGACATACCCCCCTCTCTCTCTCTCTCTCTCTCTCTCTCTCTCAAACAATACTCTCTTTCTCCCTTTCACCATTCACCCCTTTAAATGGCAATATTTATTGACTTTTTGGTCTAGAATTGAAGAAGACTATTTGAATTTACATTTTCTGCCAGGTTTGTGTGAATAATATTCATGATTTTGAGGCCAAAGGATCAGGAAGTAAACAGACATGAATTAGGGAAATCGCTACTAAATGACATCACTGTCTAGCAAAAAAGGCATAGCAAACAAAATGAACGGGTTAACCCCCTTTCATATTTAGATGAATGCTGGGCTGTTTGTCTATATAAGTATATTAGACTATTAGGTTCATCAGAAATCGGAATGTTCAAAAATGTTATGGGCCAGGAATGTCATGGGTTTAACACTGATGCCAAGTAGGAGAGATTAACTAGTCTGAACCCTAATAAAAAAAAAATTAATAGTCATTACCTCCCTTAAAAGTATTTTTTATTATTGAAAATAAAATTAGTTCTTACATGGGAAGATAACTCTAACAGTAATATTTTATTTTGTCAACAAACTTGACATTGAACTGGCATGAGACGAAAAAATGCGAAAAATAGTTCTGTTTATATCAAAATATATTTCGAACCCAATATTTATAAATTCTAAGTTTTCGACCGTGTCTTGGAGATCAGGTATAAATTTTCTTTTATGATTCCTACCTAGCTAGACCAGTTAGTTCAACACTGGTCTGATAATAAATTAGTTACTTTAACTTTAGTAACGAAAATATGAGAGCCCTACCTGCTCTCTTCCAGGTAGGGCTCTCATATTTTCGTTACTAAAGTAACTAATAATAAACCAAACAAACTGCCGAAATGGATATATTTTATAATATCCAATATTTAAGACACAATGAACATTTTAAAATCAGTAAACGAGGTCATTTACTCTATGGACATGATGATTTCAAGCGCAATTTGTAATAAAAAACCCCCCAACATATCCCAGAAGACAATTCGAAAATAATAAAAACTGTACATGTATGATTCACAAACGACAAAATAATAACAATGTAAAATGGACTAAGTAGTGGCAAATGACTGCTGTTCAATTTGGACTGTTCGCGTATTTGGTATTTTTTTTTTTTGTTTAAATACATTGCTAAAACAGTAGGCTATTTCAGTGAAGTCATAGGCCTATATCAAGCAGTGTCATAATAACTTAAGCACAATACCCCAACTACATGTGCTAATTATCTTTCAGGAGTTCTTTGTCAGAAATCTTATATCCAACAAGAGCAAGTTCAAGTAGATATTAATGGACCACTGGAAGCTTACAACAAAAAAATAAATAGAGGAGAGCTTCATGAAGATAAACATCAAAGAGAAATTGTTGAAGATTTAGAGAGGCTAAATGAAGAGTTAATAAATTACAAACCACATTCACAATCACAAACATCATGGCTTTCTCAGGTTGAAAATTTATGTATTGTCACTGTCCAAATTACCTGTAGTTGAATTTAAAAACAGAAAACAAATTTAATAGGATGTAAAAATATACCTATCTGTTGAAATTATTGTTGAGCATCTATACAACCTTTTGACTCCACCTCAGCAACAATATTTGTTAGACAATGCTTAATCTTAAAAAAAAAGTAACAGTAAGCTTACAGTGCAACATTCAGCTTTACTTCCCTAGAGAATCTATGTTGTTCATTTGAGAATTGTTAAGATCACATTGTTTTTACCTTCCTTAAGAAAGACAGTTTTAATTCTCACATGTACATGATCCGTCATAGGTACAAATAACTTATTTATATTTTTTATTTTCAGGCATTTGGTGGGGGAAGGAATTCAGAAAGTCAGCCACCTCAGGGTCTCTATTTATATGGAAGTGTTGGTAAGCAAATATTTTCAGCTGTAAAAGTTTTTACTAGACAAAAACAGATTGCATCAACTTTTTTTAAAGGTATGAAATAGGAAACTTTGAACAAGTTGCCACATACATGTAAGAATCTAGAAGAAGCATTTAGCTCAATGTTTATCCGGTTAAATCTAATGTTATTTCTTTAATACATGCAGGTTGTGGAAAAACTATGCTTATGGACATGTTTCATGAAAACTGTCACATTGAAAAGAAACAAAGAGTTCATTTTAACAAATTTATGTTAGATGTACATAAAAGTAAGTATCCTCTGTATTAAACATTTCCTCTAAAACTATTCTTTTTCTCGAATTGAAAAGTGGGGACCCAACCTTGATTATGTATGTTATCAGCAGTATCCCTCGTAGACAGTGAAGGATGAATGAAATAGGTTACACTCGTTAAAACAACATGGTATGTAGAGTGTATGTTAAAATAACCCGTTCAGTGTTGTCATAGTGGTGGATACTGCTGTGTGGTATACTGTATTGTTTTATTGGCATTTAGTAATTGAACCGTAAATAAACAGGACACAATTTGAGTAAAACAGTTATAATTAAGAGATACAGCAATTCAATTTTGTCAGAATACCCTTAAAGATACATTATGGGAGATTAGATAAAAAGCTGGCAGTTCTCACTATAATAGTTAAAAACTAGATAATATAATTGCAGTCAAATTGATCCACTCTGAACCGAGAATTTAGCGATAGAATTTTCGGCCTAGCCTCGATCATCACTAAATTCGGTACGATAAAAAACATTATCTCGATTAAATCATGAATGAAAGTTGAGCAGCAATTCAGATCGTAATCCAGTAACTATTGCAGGCTAGCGATGACATCAAAAGTTGATTATGGTCTGGATAAGTTAATTAATGTCTAATTAATAATTTAGATAACATTTCATTCCTAAAGAAAGACCTGCAATTTGCAGATTTAGCTATTGCATAATGTATGTTTAGATACTTAGATTTCATCAAAAATACTATGTATCTACAACAGGGTACTTTTAAGTAGTGAATAAAAGTCTAAAATATGACATTAGTTAGTGTACATGTACATATACTTATAATTAAGTGTTTTGCCCAGAATTAATTGAACAATTTAATTTGAGCCCAGAATACATGTAGTACAGTGTACATTGCTTCCAAAACAATCATCTGGGTATGCGCTCATTTGGAGTAATTTCCTTACATTCAGGAATACATGCACTAAAGAAAAAAGCACCTAAAGTTACCAATGTAAGAAAATCAAATGCATTTGACCCAATCCCGCCAGTTGCTCAGGAAATTAGTGAAGAAGCTTGGTTACTCTGTTTTGATGAATTTCAGGTATGTAATTGTCTTCTCTTTTTTTAAAAATTCTTTTGTCTTTACAAAGTTCACAGCTAAAAGATAGTAATGTTAAAGGGACAATAATCCACATTGCCTATAAAATAACTAATTTCAAATCACAAAAATTGACAATTCTTTTTTGGTTAGAAGGACTGCCATGATAAATCTTGTATTAAGAATGGGTTGTCTTGTACGGAAAGCAATGATTTGAATTATTACTGTTTTTGTTTTATAAAGGGGTCAAAACTATCACTGGATCTTTCTAAAAATTTTAATTTTATTAGGCATGGTAAGAAAAAAGATCCATAATGATGTTTGAGTATTTTTAAGGGTAACGGTAACTCACAAAGCTAGATACATAAAGCAACTATAAGATAAGTTTCTTTTATAAAACAGGGTTCAACATGGCTCCCGGCAGCGTAGTAAGGTTTTTACAAGGCCTTAGTTTAATATAAAGGAGACTCGCTATAATGTGAGTTTTATCAGTGGACCCCAAATTATAAATATATACCACCAGTACATAAACAACCATTTGGACAGTATGTAAATACTAAACTATTACAAGAATTCCCTGATTTCAGATACATTTGTTGATTTTTACTTGTAATACATGTGTATCTATATTGTGTGTCTTATATATTGTCCTCCTGCCCTTACTATAAGAATACAAGGAACAGAAATGAGAAATATGGATATTTTAGGTGATATATATCACCGGGTGTATACATTGTAATAGAAAAAAGACAAAAGATAAGTCATCTGTACATAAACAAAGGTTAGACAATAGTTATTTCCATGATTTTGAAACATTGTTAAAGGACAATATTGGTGTCAGTCATTATAAAATATATTATAGAGCTCGTTAAATACATCTCAAATATAATTTTAACATAGAGATCATTGCTACGATAGCTGAGTAACAAGCACGTGAAGAAACGGGAAGTGACGTCAAACATGACAAACACGAGTTGTCCTTCTATATAACAGACTGAAGTAACGAGCGGTAACAGACAAACGATCGAATTTCATTTCACTGATAATTCAGTTGAAGATGAAAAGTTGTTATATGAGACGATGAGAGGATATCTGACAATTCAAAAAAAGAATTGGCTGTCAGTAGATAAAAGATAACGAACAAATTAGAAAAAGTCTGTGCATTACCATGTTTTTATTAAGAACAGAATGAATAAAAACGGGGGAATGCACGGGATTTTTCTATTTTTCTCGTGTCCCTTATCTAGTGACAGCCAATTCTATTTTTGAATTGTGAGATACCCTCTCACCGTCCCATATAATAACTTTTCAACTTCAACTGAATTATCAGTGAAATGAAATTCGATCGTTTGTCTGTTACCGCTCAATACTTCAGTCTGTTATATAGAAGGACAACTCGTGTTTGTCATGTTTGACGTCACTTCCCGTTTCTTCACGTGCTTGTTACTCAGCTATCGTAGCAATGATCTCTGTGTTAAAATTATATTTGGGATGTATTTAATGAGCTCTATCACATATTTTATAATGACTGACACCAACATGTATGTTTTTATATCTTTAAGGTTACTGATATTGCTGATGCAGTTATTTTGAGAAAACTCTTTACAGAATTATTTGAAAATGGTGTAATAGTTGTTGCCACATCCAATAGATCCCCAGATGGTAATATGAATAATTATTTTCATATAGTATGATATTCTAATTTGCACTTGATGCTTCATTTAGCACTATGGGAATCTCTAGCAAACTACAACATTGTGAAAGTTTAATCTCTAATAGGAATATTAGTCCAATAATGGTTCAATTCCGTTCAGTATTTACAGAGTTATGACAAATTGTATTTACATCGATCTATGCTGCTTGAGTGTAACAAGATGCCACCAACTTTTATTGGTACCAGAGAAACCTTATGGACCTAGTTTAGATCCGATTGAATCCAAACCGTGAGGTTACCTAGCGTTGGTGTTTTGATTTTGTATTCTTAATTACCGGTAAATGTTAAATTATTAATCTGAGTACATATTTAGCATGTATTAATCCATGCGAAAATCAAAATGGCCCATCAGGTCTTTAAATAATTATATCAGGTAGATTTAATCATAAACATAATTTGGGTCTTTTTACTTTGAGTTAAGTACAAATTTTGTGGACATGATGTAACTTTAGGATGAAAAATGATCCCACACAATAATCAGAAACCCCATTCTGTTTGTATTATTGTCACAGGGTTATTATGAAGAACACGCCAAAGACATGTAAGATTCTTTATTTCAGGTTACTCAATATAATAAATATATGATCTTAAATGACCTGCAAAACAACAATTTACACAAATGCAGATAAACAATATTACAAAATAATATTATACATAACACAAATACACCACTTTAAATTATAGCTGTATAAATTATATGTACTGTATACGAATATAGATCGAACAGGTCATACTTAAACTAATCAACAACTGTAAAGCTATTGATGATAAATATATTGATTAACCCTTAACCGGTCAACGTCATTTTGACGTTATGACGTCAAGTGGTCAGGCTAAATAAAGGCTGACGTGAAATATTTTGTTTGCCTATTTCAACCGACTACTGCCGAATAGTGATAGACTCTTGACACCAATAAAAAAGTTGCTGGGGATAAGTTGATCTATAATTTGCAAATCATTCTAAATCCTTTTCATCACAAATATCGTCTTCAGAATCGGTGTTATCGATATAATCCGATTCTGAATAATTCATAAGTATTTCAACCACTTCGAGCGTCTTTAACGTTCCCGACACCGTTAAATTACGTTTTTCGTCAAAAAATGTTGAACAAAGACATGTTTTTCTCAATGCCCTTGACAAGACAAGTTCCTGTCTGACACGCATGCGTGGCCATATCAATTAAATATGAAACTAAATACTCAAATGCGGCTTATAAAAAAGGTTCTTGCTGTGGTCGACTTTAGTTGACCGTGACCACTTAGCTGTGTAACATTGTGGTAACTATAGTCGACAATGACCGGTTAAGGGTTAAAAGATATTGAATATAATCTTACCATTCAACGTGTGGTCTAATACTGTTAATACATAATATGTTATCTAAATACATACACATGTAAATGTATTTATTCCACATGTCTACCCTATATGATGTTCTATAGTGGAGTGCAATTAAATATCCGTGCATTTTGCGGCTGGAGTTAAAAAACAATCAAATCATTCAAACATTCACACATGACGGACACACCCAAGCTTACCGACAAAGAACAAACTATGGACAACCTCAACACACAAAAATAAAATACGCTAGCGCAATATCAATATAAGTATTAACACTACAACATTAAATTGACTAAATTAAAGTCCACATTTTTGTCTTGATTATTCAATTTAATGTATGTGGTGTATGCTTAGACCTGACCTATAGAATAGACTTATAATTTTTAAAAACTTTGTAATTCTTTTTTTAAATGATTTTCAGATCTATATAAAAATGGTCTTCAGAGAGGAAATTTTGTTCCTTTTATACCAATTCTTAAGGTAATTAGAGTTCAGTAAAACATTGGTATATGATTTTAAATTTAAAAAGTAATAGAATCTGTAATCCACCTATATTTATCCCTTATTTCATATAATATTGTTATTGTAACTGTTATATTTTGACTGTTTCAGAAATATTGTAAAAGTATATGTTTAGATTCTGGTATAGATTATAGAATGAGGACATTACCATCAGAAGGAAAAGTTTATTTTGTGTAAGTAAATTTATTTTGGCATAAAACTTAATAATTGACTTAGAAACTATGGTCAAACCCATACCGGTAAAGGGAGCTCACATTTGTGAATTGACAAGTAAATGAATTAATGAACTGTCTCCGCTTTCGAGTTCTGAAACGGATTTGAAAGAATCGAAAAATCGATCCATAACCAAAGGAAAAGCAGGTTTTTGCAATTCCGTGAAATACTCTGTTTCCCCGTTGGGAGCCACAGTGGCTAAGTGGGTAAGACGGTGGCTCGTTAGCCTGGAGGTTGCGTGTTCGAATCCCTGCATTGGTCAAAAAAGTTAATTGAGATTTTCCGACGTTGTTTCCCATTGTCATTGGTGCAGGGCGGAGGGCCTGACAAGGACAGTTGTCTTGTCGTTCGGATGGGATGAAAAATCAAGGTCCCATGTATACATTGGTATGCACGTAAAAGAAGGCCATAGCTATCATAGTGCCACTGCCCGGACAAAATTTCCCTCATAGCACACGGTATGGTGTACACCCATCTTCATTAGCCCAGTCAGAGCAGAACAGTAGGACATTAAACCCCATTTCATTTCATACCATTTCTGTTTCCTGTTAATGACATACCGGTAAGTTTTATGTCAATGTAGAAGTCTACAGCTAGTTAAATAAGCCATTTTTTAAAAAATGATATCACACAAGTGTAATGGAATGTAAATCCTGTACTTCAATTATAAAATAGAATGAACAGCTACAGACAACTTACAAATATTCAAAAGTCCATTGTGAAGTTTACTTTATTATTGCTAAATTGGGATCAGGATATCTTATTAATTACAATTTAAGATGAAAATAAACAAACAATAATTATATTTACAGATCTAGTGATTGTGATAGTAGTAAAGAATTAGATAGATTATTTAATGAATTCTGTATCAATCAGAAGCAGGGTAAGCAAGACATATACAGTTACCTTTATTAAAACTTGATATAACCCAAATATAGTGAAATTAGCATGTAATTAATTAATAGATATGTATAACTGTAGTTCAATATATGCATCCACTGATGTGATTTGCAAAAAACAATGAAACTGAGTAAATTAACACAGATTTTTCCGAACTTTATATTTTCAGATGTGGTATCAAGAGAATTAATTGTATTAGGAAGATACTTGAAACTTCCAGTTACATGTGGTAAAGTTTTAGATGCAACATTTTCTGATTTATGTATGCAGGTAATAATACTTTTATTATTTAACTGAGCATTTCACACCAGTGGGGGTGTGGATGGTCATGTAGTTTAATAAGTGCACTTTAGATCATGAGATCTGTCATTGAGTCAAGTGGTGTGGTTTTGATCCCAAGTTTTGATGACAAAGGAATAGCACTGCCTGCTCAACCTTGTGGTTTTTTTTATCTGGATCCTCCAGTTTCCTCAAAGTGCTTAAAAGAGTTAAGCCTCTAATGTTTGAAATTACAAATACAAAATGAAAATTCAATGTTGGTCCATTTCAATCAATATTGATGTTGTTGTCAATTGAGTGGCCAAATGGTTTAACATGTGCGCTTTGAATCATAAGGTCTGTCATTGTGTCAAGTGACTTGGTTTCGATTCCCTGCTTTGTATGTGACATGAAGGGTTTTCTCCATGCCCTAAAGACTCCTATGCATAAGCCAATTATTGAAATAAAATTAAATATGTTAGTACTGAAATGACATAGTTTGGGTTAAGTGGATGTTAATTCTGATTCTAAGTGGATGTTAATTCTGATTCTCTCTCTCTTTATATACACTCATATTGCATTAATTTGTGCTTTTAGACTCATTTTTGTCTATTTTAAGATTCCAAAGAATACAGCTACCGGTATATTCCATTTAAGCTCCATTTCCCTGTGGGGGGGTGGATGGCCGAATGGTTAGCACGTGTATCATAAAGCCTGTCATTGAGTCAACTGGTGGGGTTTCGATTCCCCGGTTGTACGTGACAAGGAGTAGGGTCGCCTGTCCAACCTCGTTGGTTTTCTCCAGGTCCTCCGGTTTCCTCCCACTGCTAAAGACCCCTACGCGCAAGTGAATTATTGAAATAAAATTGAACCATGACCTAGTTTGTTTCGAGTGGATGTTAAACCTTATTTCTCTCACTCTCCATTTCCCTGTCTCACCATTGTCAGTAGGTGTAGATCTACATTTTCCCAAACCACTTGGAAGGATTTGTTGGTGCAGAAAAGTAGAATGTCAAATCTCATTTTATTTACTAATTGAAGAATTTCAACAAAATTTTGTAAGAATGTTGCTTGAGAGGTACATGGACCTCTACAGATTTCTTCAAGTAAACTGTTTAGCCTAAGATATATGGTGTATCAACCCCATAATGTGAAAGTGGATTAATTTCAACTTAAATAGAAATTATACACTGTGCCAACCTGTATGGCCAGGCTATAGTACATTATGTATAGATATTATTAATGCCTTGAATAACATGGAGAAATTATGTCCACTTGTGTGTTTGTTTTACTTCATCTTACTTATTCATCCTCGATATTCATATTGGCATCGTTCTGTTCACTCCACCAACCCCTGGGTCCAATAAAGCAGGAGGGAGACATATAGTCCAATTATCCGCCCTTGATAATTATGCTATTTTTATCGATCAATCAAAATATTTGATAATACATAGTAACACGCATTTTGTTGCGATTAAGATCACCTATTAGATGTTGTAAACTTTGTCAACATACTTTAGGGCATCTTTTTGTGTACATGTCACTTCTTGGATAATCAAGTGTAAAAGCTGCTGTATTGTGGTGAACGTAAACATTGACGCTAAGACTAGTATGTAAACTGTTTTGTGATTGGTTTGCAGAATTAAACTGTGACAAGTAATGCTTGGTAATTTGAATTCATGGAATACCCCATAAATGGACCAAGCGGTTAGTGGAGTAGACATTGGCTTAGTGAATAAAACATTGACTCGCTAACCTGGAGGTCTCGGCCGAGAAAGTTCATTGTGTTTTTCCGACATGGTTCCCCCTTGTCAATGGTACAGGACTGATAGACTGGCTCTGGACAACATAATATAGTCATTTGGATGGGATGAAAAACAAAGGTCCTGTGTACAAATTGTAGTGCATGTAAAAGATCCATTGACAGTTGGTATTCGATATAAGAGTAGACCTTAGTGCCGCTGTCAGCACACTGTATGATGTATTTCCATCATCAGTACCAACTACTTAAGTACAGTTCAGTTGGATGAAAACAGTAGGACGTTAAACCCTATTTCATTTTATTTTATATGTTTGATACTACCAGTAATACTTAACTAATACATGTATTATTTGATTGAAACCAGGCTTTAGGGGCTGTAGATTATCTAGAGATAAGTAAAGAGTTTGATGTAGTTATAATTAGAGATATACCAACTATGAATTTAAGTAGAAAAACTGAAGCCAGAAGATTTATTACTTTAATAGATACTCTTTATGATAATAAGGTATTAAATCTTTCATTAATATCTTATATTTAATAATTGATTCTGATAATTTTACTAACTGATGTCCTGGGTTTGAATCCCATGGTTGGTCAAGTAGAACTTTCATTATTGTTGACGTACTATTTGTCCTCTGCACGTCTTGCAGCACAATAACACAGATTCCAATTGAGTTGATTGATTTGATGAGCATTTTATGTTTAGGTTAAGGAGGGATAATCAAATCTTATTTCATTACATCATTAATTTGACTAAGTCTGATAGTGAACATTTTGTGCTCGGGTTATGCCAAGTGATAATTTGATTGCCAAGTGATAATTTGATTGCACGATTCGTTTTTAAAGGTAAATGTGCTCATGAGTCAGTCTCGCTTTTGGCTTGACATCAAATCTGAATAATGACTTACAATGAGATCATAATTAACAATGAAATTATTATTATATTTGAATACCAGGTTAAACTTGTATGTTCAGCTGATGCTCAACCTAAATTATTATTTTCTACGGGTTCATTAAGTCACAAGGATGAACAAAACAACAGAGCTTTAATGGATGATTTAGGAATAACACCAGTAAGTAGACATTATATTTGGTATAAATTTAAAGGAATAAAACAATGTTTGTAATTATGTGACTGAGCAAGGAGCAGATCTTGTCTTTAAAGATGGTAAAATGGGTTTAAGAATAAATAGAATTATTCTAACTTTAATTAAAATGTGACTATTTATAATTTAGGAGACTGCTACAGCAAGTGTATTTACTGGGGACGAAGAGTTATTTGCCTTTGAAAGAACGATATCTAGACTAACAGAGATGCAGACAGAAGAATATTGGAATTTAGACAGAGAAAAATCTAAATCATGATGATAGTTAAATCTAGGTAATAACATAATTAATATAGAGGCATCTGTGATTAATATATTATTAGTAAGTTAAGACATATGAACATATGAAAGAGTGTACTACTAAATAATAAATGCATAATTAAATCCTAATAGAATTGAGGAAATTTCAAGACTAACACTAATAGAGAAAACAAATATAATAGATTTTATGTTTCATGCAGTGAAAATGTATTTTGTATTGTTTTTCTGTTAAAATTAATTCAGGGTTAAATGGCCAATACTCTTTGATTTTTCTTTCCTTGTTATATTTATTTAAATGCACAAAATGATCCTACAGTTTCGCGGCTATTTTTTCTCAACATGAGAAATTATGTTATGTTTATTTTAGTATTTTATATACCATAGTGTACAAGTTTAATAAAAGGAGCCGTCCCAGGTTTTACAGAGTATGCATTCATTAAAATGGGTTTAAGTATGCTTTCAGGGTAGGCCTATGTACTTATTAAAATGGGTTTAAGTATGCAATATGTTACCCTGTGTGGGAAAGTTTCAAATTTGAGTATTGACCCCTTTTGGAAATGACTGCTTTTTTTTCTTAATGGGGTAACATACGAAAATTAAGCAATTTCATTGTTCAGTTAAATATGAGTGACCTGATAATTGCACTATAATTTCAACAAGTATAAAGAAATAGTTATCTGGGCACTTATATCTAGCATAGAAAGTTGTGACCAGAAACTTTATATATCTTTGAGAAAGATTTGCAGACCTTCATATAATTGCACAGGACAAGGATATCATTATTAATAAAGTGTCTGTCATGAAGAATAATTTATTTTATTTACTGAAACATGTCTGAGACTGCTCCTTTTAAGTAGATATATTTTATTATATTAATATTGTTGATTATTGGTAGAGAATAAAGCTGTTTGTAAGTTTTTTCAGCATTTGTATTTATGTGTAAAAGTATAAATAATGTTAGGTATGGTTTAACTAGGTCAATCAGTGTCTGGAGCAGGGCTTCCACTTCAATATTTTCACTGTCGGTTATTTTTTTTAAAACCTTTGCAAATCAAATTCATATTTTTTTTATTTATGGTAGGGTATGGTATCCTGAATTCACGTGTCTATACCACTTTGTGAGCATGGTGTACACAAAATAAATAAAATAGTAGTAGGGCGTATAATAATTATTTATTAATAAAATATTCCCTTTTTATATGCCCCTCCCCAAAACAGTTATTATTTTAAATACTCTTCTTATCTTCTAGGAAGATATGAAAATAGATGCAAACTAATCCACGCTCCCTCTAGGATGACAAGACAAAAGAACTAAGTTTTTGTAAAAACAATTTATTGAAGATAAAATTTAATATCACAACTAAATATCACAGTGTAATAGTAAAAATATGTATTAACTTAAAAAGCTCCATAATATCTACTTCTCACTTTCTTCATCTGGATCAAGAGCAGCCTTCTCTTCTTTTGTTTTATCTGCCAGTTCTTGCCAACTTTCAGCGTTAGACCTTTTAAATATTATATTTACATTATTTTTAACATAAGGCTCTCTTACAAGTAATGTTTTAAATTGATTATATATTTGATTAGTGACAGTACATCCCAGTCATTAAATATAACTAAAGTATAACTGTACAGAAATAGGCCTCTTAGTTCCTACTAATTACTAGAGAAAATAAAATGTTCATTATTCTCCTTCAAAATTTCACATTTGAAACTTTTAATGAGCAGTATTCTATAGTAAACAGAGGATAATTGGGTTTCTACAGAACACTATTCCAACTCTCTAAAAGGCATCCAGTTCACTTGGTTCAAGAAAACCAACCAATGCTTTATTGATTGTATATAATTTCAACAATAAATGCATAATCTGATAAACCTATTTCATCAAAAACACACAAGAATTATAATTTTAATTCAGCTGGTATCCTGGTTAACCAAGATGAACAAAGCCCCTGAGTACCATTATCCCCATTCAAGCCAAATTGAATTTTAAATAAACAATGCAAGTACTTACAATGCCCCTTCCAGTAGACATGATGTAGCAGGTAATATGTGACTGAGTGTTGTATATAATGGTACACAAATAAATCTTATAAATCCAACCTAAAAATACACAGTATATAACATTATAAAATACCACATGTATAACAAATATAAATGATTTTCAAGATGTGTCCAATTATATCACTAAAAACATGACTAAATGACTAAGAGAGAGAGAGAAAAATGTGGTTTAACATCCACTCAATACAAACCAGGTCATTTCGGGGCTAACATATGGTTCAATTTTATGTTAATACTTCAGTTGTGCGTAGGGATTTTTAGCGAACCCGGAGAAAACCCATGGGGTTGTACAGGTAACAACACTCCTTGTCACATAAAAACAGGGAATGTAAACCACACCACATCTATTATTGGTATACCTGACTGAACTAAATATATCTAAATTTAATAATACAAATTATGTATTTACTTGTTGTTGAGGTATTTCATCTTTTTTATCTCTATCCATCATAGGAATAGGAACTAATCCTTGTTTCTTCTCCGCGTCACCCTGTCAAATTTATAATAATATATCATTGTAAAATACTACTAGTAGTGGGCAGTAAAATAATGATTAATTGGAATATTCTATAAGTGATATCAGATATTAAAATTCATTACATACCTGACAATAAAACTCTTCATAAATTTCAGCAGCAGTTTCGTGTTGAGTTTTCCATGGTTTAGACACAGCACATAAATCAGCCCCTGTCATCATTAATGACAACAGTTGGGATCTTTAATAAAATATATTGAATATTAATGAAATAGAATGGGGGCTTAAGGTCTTCTGCCACCAAATAAGTTAATGAAGATTGGCATATACCAAGCTGTTGCCTATGAGGGAGATTTTACTTGGATAGTATAACCTGCTCTTAGTCATTATTCAATCTCAACTATAAGGAGATCTTTAATGTGCTTCTTTTTCATATGAATTTAAACACTGTTTAAACAGAGTATCCATAAGACTGTTTAAAGTAATCAATGGACATAACTCTGACAGTAACTATCAGAAAATGATGAAAATCCATAGACTTCTTTGTCTCATAAACTTAAAACACTGTTTTACTTTAGCCTCTATAGTATTAGACCACCCAAAAGACTTTACAAGTGATCAAGGTCATAACTTTGGGAGTAATTATTTGTATTTGTGGAAAATAAATAGGATTCTTTGTCTCATGACCTTAAACAATGTGTATAAAACTATCGGATGATAACGTTATCCTCTTGTGGATGGATGACTCTAACAACTGTAACGATGACAATATACAACCTCATAATATTTCAATGAGGCCATATAACAAGCGGTTGCCATGCAACATATAGTCACATATTGATAGAGATGGACAAAGAACATGCTAAAAAAAAGAAAAAAAAAAGGTGATTTTACATGCAATCAGGGGTCATAATCCAGGAGGGTATGGTCCAATATGCGCTTGGGATATAAACATATATTTTAAGTTTCATCAAAATTGGATAAAAATTGTGACCTCTTTGCAACTTGCGTACGTGGAGTGGCCATTTTCTTGGGCAGATTTTCATGAAATTCAAACTCAGCTGTCATTATGGATTAACAGTGATAAATTTGAATGGTTTTACTTTTAAATCAGATAAAAATTGTAACCTTAGAGGGTCCACAAGCTAAAAACCCAATTTTTCAAACAATCAGGGAAAATAATCCAGGAATTTACGGTCCGATATGTGCCAATATCCAAAGGAACCGAGATCTTTAGAGTTATATAAACATACAATTTAAGTTTCATCAAAATTTGCCCTCTTAGAGTGTCCACAAGCTAAAAACACGATTTTCGTATTATCAGGGGCCATATTTGGCATAATCCATGAAGTTATGGTCTGTTACATGCCAATATCGAATAGAACCGAGATCTTGTGCATATAAACATCTATTTCAAGTTTCGTCAAAATCAGATAAAAATTGTGTTCTGTAGAGAGAGAGAGAGAGAAAAATGGGGTTAAACGTCCACTCGACACAAACTAGGTCATTTTCGGAACTAACACATGATTCAATTTTATCAATAATTCGCTTGCGTGTAGGGGTCTTTAGCAGTGGGAGGAAACCGGAGGACCCGGAGAAAACCCACGAGGTTGGACAGGCGACCCTACTCTTTGTCACGTACATCAGGACCGACGGGGGGGTATAAAAGTCATATAATTAAGTACTAAAGGAAAACTTTATTAATAAGTTGTTCAGAAGGTTATATTAAATGCTGGAATCCAGTTCTGGATTAGATGATAAATTAGGAAAACTACCTTGAACAGAAAAGAAGACATGATGGTTCAAAGTTGTAAACTGATTTTACAAAAATAACTTGCCTCATTTCTGGGACTGTGATATCAAATGTCTCTGCTTCAATTAAACCTGCTAGTTCTTTCTGGTTTGAGAAATACAGTGCTAAATCTGTAGCTATTATAAACTGTTGTATTCTCTCTAACATCTCTTTATATTCATCAGCTCTCAAAAACGACAAAATATCATGATCTTTACTCTGAAGACAGAATAGGGGTGGGTTGTCAGTGTCAGTCATATTTTATTATTAGTCAGGTATGGTATATATATATATATATATCAGTTCTATGGAGTGGTGTTAATTTTGGTCGCCTGACTATCTACTACATCTAAATCACATGGCAAAATGGTAATGTGTGCAGATATATAACTAATAATTTGGCTTGTTTGGGGAGATGGATTGAAGCTTCAATACTGCCACTTGGTACTTGGGTAAGTGAAATTATTGACTTTGGTGTCTTGGGTTTTATGCAGGTCTACTGTCATTACCCTTCTCCCCAAACAAGCCACATTAGGTATTTGTAATGAGCAATGTAAAATAAACTATACCTGTAGAATCATGACTGTTTGTTTATAATGATGTTGTTCCATCACTGATGTGGAATATAAAGCAGCTAAAGGAAGATGAAGTTTTTGGAAATAGGCATTATTAAATCCTCTATGATCCAGATCATGACATATACCCGCTAACACTAAGGCCATAGCCTGAAACAAATCAATGAAAATAAAGATATTATTATTATTATGATCATTATTATTATTAAATATATAAAATATATTAATCCATAATTTGTAATCATGAGTCATGACAAGTTAAAAGGTATGGAAATTTATTTCATTAAATTGGCGAAAACACAGGTCTAGTTTTGACTTCTCTTGAATTCTGATAATTTCTTTTTCAGTTCTACTACTGGTATATGTATGAATGAACATTAACATTGTAGTATAAAATTTCACCAATGTGCACAAAGCCTCAACTTGAAAACTAAATATTAAATAAAGTAAAATGAAGTACCTCATTTGTAGTAAATAGTCCATTAGATGTTTTAACCATCATATAGAGTGAGTGAGCTACATGAAAGCCATGTTTCCAGTTATGATACATAACATGTCTATAATTCTTTCTTACTGTCAATATAAAATGCACCAGTTTGTTTACATCAAACCTATAAATAAAATAGTGTTCATGTTTGAAGAACTTGTCATAAATTTACAAAGTCTGGCAAGAATGATTATGGTGAACACTCAGCTCTTCCTTCTTGACAAGGTTTTAATCGTATAAAATAAATTTCTTGACAAGGTTTTAATCGTATAAAATAATTTTTTTTTATAACATGCTGTAAATATTTATTTTAGATATAATCCTTGTCAGAGTGTTTATGCTTACATTGTTTTTAAGAATTTCAAATCTCACAGCTCTTGCTTTAAAAATGAAACCATGGAAAGAGATAAATTGTAATTTATTATCACAAGCCCTTTCTCTTCTTGAATAACTTAAGTGAATTCCATTAATTATTTGTATTCAGAGATCTATTATGATGCTTTATCCAAGATAAAAATGTATAAAGTGAGAAGAGGCATTAACACTTTGGTGGTCTTGGCTGATAGGAAAAAAAAGATTTTATATGTTACTAAATTACACTATACAGTTACTTCCAGCATGTTCAAATTAGATTAATTGAATTTAAAATTAGAGACAAATCTGCCAAACCAGTGATGAAATAAAGAGAGTCTTAATGAGTTTATCTTAACCAGCGGCTGCCAGGCAGGATACGCCCACATTTTCGAGAGATGGATAGAGAACAAGCTAACAAGAAAGTGATTTTTCCTACAATCAAGGGCCATAATTCAGGAAATTATAATTCGATATGCGCAAATATTGAAAGGAACTGAGATCTTTGTGTTATAAACTTACATTTCAAGTTTCAACAAAATCGGATAAAAATTGTGACCTCTATAGGGTCCACAACCTTGATATACCATATTTTTACGCTATTTGAGAACGAACGGCGGCCATTTTGTCTGTCAATTTTGGGCCGATTTTCACGAAATTCAAACTCAACCGTCCTTAGGGTGTAACGGTGATATAATAATACGTTTTTTTTAATCGGATAAAAATTATTACCTCTATAGGGTTTACAAGCTAAAAACGTGATTTTTCGTACAATCAGGGGCCATAATTCAGGAAGTTACGGTCCAATATGTGCGAATATCGAAAGCAGCCGAGATCTTTTGGAGATAAACCTATATTTCAAGTTTCGTCAAAATCAGATAAGAATTGTGACCTGTAGAGTGTCCACAAACAATTGTGGACGGATGGACAGGGGCGACGGCATAATACGTCCACATGAAAATGTGGGCGTATAAAAATGATATTAATTATTTTTCAAAATTAGTAACATTTATTTTCTTGGTCAGAGTTATGCCTCTTTAAATATAGGACTGCACTTATTAAAACTTACATTGAAAATCCAAACAGATCTTCTATGATATGAAGAAAGAATTTTGGTAACAAATCCATGTACGGTCCTCCGTAGAAATCAAACCTAGAAAATGAATTTAAAAAACATAATGAGCATTGTGTGTTAAAAATGCAATCATTAATATCAGTAATTCTTGTTTTTTTAGTCCAAAGACCAAAAGGTCTATGTTATATTCCTGTAGTCGGTCCTGTCCTGTAACTTTTTACGTTTTCAAATTTTGTCTCATAAACCACTTGATGGATTTCAACCAAATTTGGTATGGTTGGTGATTGGGTGCTACTCCAGAACAGGCAAATGTGCATATTTTCTTGTAGACGAGAAATTATGATCATCATATTGATAGCTTCAACTGCCTAATCTAAAACCCAACTGATCGATGGACAATTTAGCCCACTTGGGCTCTTGCTGTATAAATTATAAACATAATACCATTTCAAATTAATATTACTCTTAAAGATGAAAGTTTTCAGCCATTACAAAAGACCTGGCCCCAAGTTCACAAAGCATTCTTAACTCAGGGCGTGATCGTATGATCTAGCCTCGGATACAAACTTACATGTGAAGTTCCTTGGGTATTTGTTCTATAGTAGGTAATGGGTGTTTTATAACTTCTTCAATTTCTTCTTCACTGGCTAGAATATGATAATGCAGAACTTCCATAGCCACTTTATATTGATCTTGCGAAGATTGTAATAAAGTATATAACTGTTAAAATAAAAACAAGTATGGTAGAATGTACATTGCAAGATTAATTACTTGTGATCTTTGTATTATACCAAGTTCCCCTGTGTGTATAATAGTTGATGTAAAGCATTTTTGAATTATATTTATTTACCTTTGAGTAATGAAGAGCCAGTGCACAATAAACAGCAAACATTTTGAATGCATTTTCATCTGAAAAAGAAGATAAGAAGAATTGTTTTCATAGATTTTAAGGATTAAAAACAACAAGGTATGTCACATCACATCATGTCATGTCACGCCTTGTCACGTCAACATTCAAGTTACACCATGAATTATTGAGTATATTATATATATTAACATCAAATACCTATTAAAGTGGAAAAACCTGTCATTTTGAATTCTAAATAAAACTGGAAGTTATATTTCATGACCAAACTTTTTTATGTTATTTGTTAATAGATATTGGGGTCATGGAAAGGTTAGGTCACCATCTTGAAGGTGAAAAGTTGAACAAACTTCAAAGTGAAACTGGAAATAAACAAAATTGAAATTAAAAAATCGGCTCCATAAGAATTGTTGCCATTTGAAGTAGGTTCAATACAAAAAGAAGTTTTCGAAAATCGGAATTAAAATGGCGACTGAATATCAATTTGAATGTTTTTTTGTAAAATCCAATATTTTGGCCAAGCGGTTAAAAATGTTATAGAACAAGGTCTTTGAAAATGAAAGATAATATCTGGGGCTAACACCACCATGTGTCATTTTTTTGTCTATTTTTAAAATAGAGAAAATTATTCATGTTCGGGAAAAATCGAAAGGCCTCGTTAATTTCCAGAAGCTGTCACAAAATTTTTTAATATGCCATTTTGAAGGCATCGATGTGTTTCTTATTCCTACCAAGTTTAAACTTGTTACCTCAAATAGTGACGGAGATACGCCATCTTGAATGTCAAAAAAATCATGAAGAAAACTTTTGCAAATCTTTGATGCTATTTGATGCTAATATTAATCAATCGAACTTCCGAATTTCGAAAAAAATTGTCAGTCAGAGCCCATAATATGGGGTTCGTCCAAAGAATCCAAAAATGAAAACCCAAAGAAGATCCATTGAGAAATAACTGAGATATGGGCAAACTGAGATTATTTTTTGTCCCATATGTAAAACACTTCCTGTTTGTCAAAAATGACCCAATTTATATTTAATAAATCGATCCATGGGGGTCAATTACATCTACGTTGGCAGAATGTTTGCACCATTTACAGTTTTAGCTGCACAAACTGACTAAATTCCAAAAAAATAATAATAATTTTTTTTTTTATTGAAATATGGCCTTTGAGTATTTATAAGGTATTTATTACCTGCTTTAGTAAAATGATCAAAAGCCAAACTGTTGATTAATTCTACTACACCAATAACCTTATTTTTACCAATAATTGGCATACAAAGTATATTTCTAGTTTTATAACCAGTTTCTTTATCTACATTCCTATAAATAATTAGAAATATTCAATAGTCAATTCTAATATTCAAGTAGATCACATTGAATAAAGAAGAGGTTGCCATGCAAGATACGCCCACATTTTGCGTGTAGGGGTCTTTAGCAGTGGGAGGAAACCGGAGGACCCAGAGAAAACCCACGAGGTTGGACAGGCGACCCTACTCCTTGTCACGTGAATATTGAAAGAAATCAAGATCTTTGGGTTATAAACATGCATTTCAAGTTTCATCAAAATCAGATGAAAATTGTGACCTCGAGTATCTACAAGCTAAAAACGTGATTTTCGTACAATCAGGGGCCATAATCCACAAAGTTATGGTCTGATATATGCCAATATCGAAAGGAACCAAGATCTTTGGGAGATAGACCTATATTTTAAGTCTCCTTGTCACGTGAATATTGAAAGAAATCAAGATCTTTGGGTTATAAACATGCATTTCATGTTTCATCAAAATCAGATGAAAATTATGACCTCGAATTTCTACAAGCTAAAAACGTGATTTTCGTACAATCAGGGGCCATAATCCACGAAGTTATGGTCTGATATATGCCAATATCGAAAGGAACCAAGATCTTTGGGAGATAGACCTATATTTTAAGTTTCGTCAAAATCGAATAAAAATTGTGACCTGTAGAGTGTCCACAAACAAATTGTGGACGACAATATATGCCACATGAAAATATAGGCATATAAAAATGTATATTTATTTTTTTCAAAAATATCCATGATGGATAAGAATTAAACTGAATAAAAGACTCAACAAGTTCCTGTTGATATGAAAAAGCATGTTTTGATCAGACTTATTTCTTTGTCATGATAATAAATTGTATCTTTTCGTAACAAAATAATCTAAAAATAAGAGTTATTAATAGTATACCTAGTAAATCTATCATCTTTTTGGGCATCAGTGACATTAACAACAACTCCTGTCTTAGCAACCAAACTAACTATTCCTTCATCATAGGGAATCCTGTCAATAAAAAAGTGAAATATACTGTTACTTATAAATACACGTAGTTAGAAAAATATAGTTTGCCAGGCAACAAAACACCCAGAAAAATCTTTATAACATCAATTGCCCATTGACAAGATTCTAAGACACACTAAAGGGCAATAATTATGAGAATTTGTTGCAGTGATTCATCGCAATAATAATCAATCATGATGACTATCAATATAGTGAGCAAGGGCAATAACTAATGCAAATTGGATAAGCTTATTCATTTCACTAATCTAAACAATGCATTAAAATTTCAAGCAGATCGAATGATAACTTTAGTCATTAGAAAATTTACAAGATTTTACAAAATAATCAAGGATAAGAAGTCTGGAATCAGAAATCACAGAAATTCAATAAGCTTCCCTGTCTTACTAATGTAAACAACATGTGCGCATATAAAAAATAACATTAATGTGAAAGACACATTGTCTTAAGATGGCACTCATGTCAGAAGATATACTGGCCATAGATTTTTATGTATGACCAGATTAATACATGAGAATCTATTCCAGAACAAAATGCAACAGTTTTTTTTTTCTCATATAATGAATTTACCTTAGTTGTGTCTTTGTAAAAACTTGTTTACCATCTTCAATGGTGCCTTCATCAAAAAAATCAGCTAACAATTGTTTTTTATCATGATCAATAAGAAACAAAGCACAACGCTCAGCACTTACTAAATCCTTAGTATGAAACTATAAAATATCAAAAATATAATTATAATTATGTTTGACCAGTACATAAATTCAATACAAATCAGTGCTGTTCGGGTGAGACCTATATTAGCACAATATGGTATATAGAATAAACAGAATAGATGTATGTACCTGACCCCCCGCCTCTCAAAGAGTTCTCCACGAAAATACATTATAGCAATTCAACTGAGCCATTTAAAGATGCATGCAAATTGTCAATGGTACTGACAAGCGTTCAATACATGAATATGTTCCATCTGAAGTCTGGTCAGCCTGCTACACTACATGAAACAGCACACAGCTGTACTGCTATTCTGTAAACACAGAGTGCCCAATTTTTGTCGATAATAATGTACCAACTTGATGCGTAGAATGATACATGAAGACCAGAAATGGTCAGTGTTGGTTTACTGTATAAGGCCATTCACCATAATCAGTAGACTGGTACGAAAATACAGTTTATCACCCAATAATACATTCTACAGTAGATATCGCTTGTGTGATATATTTCATAATCTCCTAAGGAGATATCGCTTTACATGAATTTGATTGGTCAGTTGAAAAGGAACTACTTTTTTTATTTTCAAAGAACAGTTCATTTCTTATTAAAAGTACCTTTTTTTTTATTAAAATGAACTATTGTTATTCAATTGACCTTGATGGAAACACTGGGTCAATATAAAGGACTTTGCAATGGTTGAATTGCAGTCAAAAAATGATGTATCACTACGCCGTAATGTTCAGTAAAAGTGAAATCTACAGCAAAGAATTATATTTATCTATTTGTGCATGTAAGAAGGGATTGGGTGATAAATAAAATCTCCTACTCGTCTTTTTTGATATCAAAAATATCAACACTCATTGATAAAGTAAAAAAAACTCGGCTGAGCCTCGTTTTTTGTTACTTTATCAACTTGTGTTGATATTTTTTGATATCAAAAAAGACTGGTAGGAGATTCTCTATATATATACCGGTACTTAATAATACGGAAAAGTAAGAATTTATATAATCTTGAATTAACTTGAATATTGGTTGAACTTGATTTTTGATCAAAAACTAATAAAGTGCATCCATTTTATGATATTAATAAGATATAAACCTATAAAGAAACAAATTATATCAAAATAATTTTTCTCACCATAATATTCTGTAATAGTGTATCAATACTGATAACATCATCAAACAATATCCTACATTAAAATATATTAAAATTAATAATTTGCCAGCTTGGTTTGTCTTAACATTAGTATGATACAGGTATAAAGACAGTGATTTACTGTATATGGAGGTGGCTAGAAGGTAGCTTTTATAGACCTTTTGAAATGTGACACTTGACACATAGTTGCCATAGTGTTTTTTCTCTCTTCTTGCAATGAGAAAATCACTAAAATAGTAAAATTATGTCTCTGAACAGTAATTAATCAAAATAAAATGAATAATAATTATAAAAATTTACTTTGTTGTCTCTAAAAGGAAATCATTCATTTCTTGCTGTGTCTCCAGACACTTGTTCATCTGAAAGAGAACAAGCCAATAGTTAGACTGATGTCCATCGTCTCGATCCCCCCCCCCCAAAAAAAAACATTGAGCATTTATCTTCTTACAAAGCATAAAACAATCAATTTAACTGCCTATCACTCTGCTTAACCCGAGTAGTCACAGTATTGATGTAATAAAGCTATATCACTTTCACTTTCACTGAATTAGAATCAGAGTTATCTTGTCCGAAAGCATCAACAAGTCAAACTGTTTATCTCTGCAGAAAATGATGATCATCGAACTCTGTCAAGACATTCATCTGAGAACATCTATTTTCTACACCAAGTTTAACATCCTATCTCAATTAGTTTTTGTGTTCCATAACATGTGAAGGAAGAACACATTTTAATATTCCCCTACTTTCTCCGAAAGACCCAAGACAAAATGCTAAAACTTTATTTTGCAAGAGATGGACAGAGAACAAGCTAAAAAAGTGACTTTTGTACAATAAGGAGCCATAAACATACATTATAAGTTTCATCAAAATCGGACAAAAATTGTGACCTCTTGAGGGTCCACAACCTTGGTATAACATGTGTCAACACTATTTGGGAGGCGGAGGCGATGGCAATATACGACCTTTTTTAATCAATAGAAACAGGTAACACAAACGACACCAATTACAGACCGTTTGATGGGATCAACTTTGACTATGTCAAAATGATGCATTTGATATTCAGATAAGTTGATATACAATGATCAATAGAATTCAATTTAAAAAAAAAACCATTGTTTTATCCAACTTCTGGGATAAAGAACTAAATATCAAAAGCGACATCCATACAATCAGGAGCCATAATCCTGGAGGTTACGATCTGATATATGTCAATATCAAGAGGAACCAAGATCTTTGGAGTATAAACATGTATTTCAAGTTTCATCAAAATCGGATAAAATATGTGATCTATAGAGGGTCTACAACCTGCTATCAGAAAACATTGTAAAAATTATTATCACTATCTTACAACTCTTTACCATAAACTAGATTGACAGAGCACCGATCTGTCATAAATAAAGAACAATTAGTTAAAAGCTAATTACCTGACTAAGATGAAGAGAACACAAGTTCCAGGTTAACATGGCATTGGCAATCTAGAATTCAAAGAATATTTAATAATAATACTGTATTTAATATAGGTATCTTTTTTATCTAAATGTTTGCAAAGACATATTATATAGGTATTAAAAAAAGAAGGGTAAGTTACACTGATTGTGTGTTTTAATTTCTCAATTTGAACATTATAATGTTAGACTGTCCGCATCAATGTAAAACTGTAACTAACGTATTCAAAGTAATCTTAACCTGAAAGTCATTTTCATTATATGGATCCTTGAAACCATCTCTATAGATTTCACCAATAGCTGGAAAAAAATACACGAAATCTAGCAATAGAAACACTTCAGATTTTTAGATAGTATGAAAATTTTTCCAAGTGTAACACCTAAAGGAAAAGACTTCAAAGGAAATGTGCTGATTCTAGACATTCATCCAATTACAAACAAAATCTGGCTTCAGATGTATTTATTAAAATGAATCTATTTTTCCTTATCCTCAGACTTTAATAACTGAGTCCCATGATTTTAAAATATCTACTTTAAAGACTTTATCTCTTATGGAATTATTCACTAACCAATAAGATCTCCTTGAGGTAGAACCAATGGGATACATATCACAGTGTAGATTTCATTACCAGGCTTGATTCCTTTAGGAAAACGGGTATCCTATATCCAAAGTAAACAAATGGTTGCCATGCAAGATATGCCCACATTTTGCAAGAGATGGACAGAGAACAAGCTAATAGATAGGTTACCAGGCAACAAAACATACGTCCACTGCAGTTATATCGTCCAAGCAGTTGACAAGGGTTGTCACATATTTATGCTCTACAAGACACTAACATCAATTTCATACAGATCGAATGTTTAATAAAGCGAAATGAAATGGGGTTTAACGTCCTACTGTTCTGCTTCAACAACGCGAAACAAGGGCCATAACTGTAGATGTTATTGACAGAAATTATATAGATCTGATCTGACAATAACTTTTGTCATTAGCACATTCACAAGGGTTTCAACAAAGTGGAACAAGGGCCATAACTCTATAAGTAAATTAACGGAAATTTGCTGAAATTCAATAGGTTTCTTCGTTTTACTAATCTCAATAATGCATGTAAATTTAATATAGATCTGATCTGACGATAACTTTTGTCATTAGCACATTCACATGGGTTTCAACAAAGTGGAACAAGGGCCATAACTCTATAAGTAAATTAACAGAGATTTGCTGAAATTCAATAGGCTTCTTCGTTTTACTAATTTAAATAATGCATATAAATTTCATACAGATCATTTCATAACTGTTGTCGATAAAGCATTCACAAGTGAAACAAGGACCATAACTCTAGAAGTAATAAACGGAAATTGTTGAAATTAAATAGGCTTTTTCATGTCACTGATGTAAACAATATATGTAAATTTCAAACTGATCACATAATAAATGTGATATAAACATGCATGTTAAGTTTCATCAAGATCGAAATTGAGGATCAACAATCTTGGTATTACATGCTTCAGGGACGGTACACAGATTTTTGTCAAAAATTTATATTTTTATGAAAGCTTCTAGTGTAATTTTATAATTTTTCAGATTTTTTTGTCAACTTTTATGATAATTTTATAATGTTTTTATCACATTTCATGAATTTTTATGTTCTTATCATTATCAAATATTATGATTTTTTTTTTATATAACTGCACTGACAGTAAAAAACTTATCTCTGGTCCATGAAGTAGTGTTCAACCAGTGTTATGCAGATAAGGACGTCCCACCTGTAGCACTGGTAGTATTATTGGTCGCAGTCATCTTCTCCTATGTTCATACAGGGCCCTCACAAGCCTATGTGGCACTTAAGTGGTAAAAGTTTCAGTGATATCCCTCTCCTCCTTTGCATACTGTAAGTGTTTTGTTCAGTACCTGTGCTCAGTTGATGTGTTATGATTAAAGAAATTCTAAAATACAATTTTTACATTCCCACATTGAAATGTGGTCGTATATTGTTGTTGGTCCGTTCGGTGTCCACAAGAGGCTCAAGTTAATATACAATTGACTTTAAATTTATACGCAGTGTTTAAGGTCATGAGACAAAGGAGCCTATTGGTTTTCAAAGATTTCCGATAATTACTGCTAAAGTTATGGCCTGTGGTCCCGCTGTGAAATATCTTGTGGGCGTTCTAGCTAGAGGCTAAGAAGCCTATCAATTTTGAACGATAATTATGGCAATTGATATTAAACGTTTTGTATGCTAAATGTTAGAATCGCTTAGAACTAGAAGCCAAATGGGGTATTACTCGTAATCATATTTTAGTGTGTTGTATATGTTTTCATGCCTGACAACAGAAAATAAGAACATCGCTAACGCTGCAATATACGCCCACATTCCTGCTTTGATTGATATGGTACTTTTTAAAATGAAGAGAATGAAATATGAAATAGTTGGAATGACTGTAATATTATGACAAGAGACAAAGTTAAGGCTAGGCGTTGGGTTTGTTCTGCCAAATTTACAGACTAAATATTAAAAAATGTACCATCCATAGTAAATAGATGCTGTCTATATTTTCTGTGGGTGCAATATATACTATTCAAAAAAAGTAGGGGATATTTGATTTTTAAGTGTTATTATAGTCACCTAATGAAACTGATGAAGAAACAAATGACAAAATGAAATGAAGTTCACATTCATCGATTTATTCCAAATGATCGTTAGACTAAGTAAGGCACAGACTGACCATTATAAGGGTAAAATGATACCCGGGGTCAAACAGCAAAGTTACCACAGCATCACAACCAAGTCAGTAACGGGTAAATCCTCCTCTGTTTGCCAAACAAGCATTGATCCGACGTGGCATACTCCTAATGAGACGTCTAAGGTCATTTTGGTCCAGATTGTCCCATTCCTGTTGCAACGCAGCAGCAAGTTCTTTGACATTGGCAGGACGTTGTTGACGTTGACGTAACCTCTGTCCAAGCATGTCCCAGACATGCTCGATGGGGGAGAGGTCGGGACTCAGTGCTGGCCAAGGTAATGTGGTGATGTTCTGTTGTTGGAGGTAACCTGTAACGATCCTGGCCCTGTGACATCTTGCGTTGTCATCCTGGAAGATGAAACGGCGGCCATGACGTCGTGCGAACGGCACAACATGGACTGCCAAGATGTTGTCCCGGTAGTACTGGCCTGTAACACGCCCTGCAACAACATGTAAAGCCGTTCTTCCAGCAACAGTGATGCCTCCCCACACCATAACAGAACCACCCCCAAATCGATGATGTCTGATGACATTAACGTCTTGGAAGCGCTCGTTTCGACGACGCCACACCCTCCTACGTCTGTCCAAAAAATCAACAGTGAACCTTGACTCATCTGAAAACATCACATTGCTCCAGCGTCGATTATCCCAGTGTTGACGATCCCTACACCAACGACGTCTTGCCTGAATGTGATGATCTCTCAAACAAGGGATCACGTGAGGACGTCGGGCGCGAAGGTGACCCCTATGCAGTCGATTCCGAATCGTCTGGCCACTCACTCTCACACCAGTGTCTGTTTGAAGACGAGCGCTGATCTGATTTGCTGTGATGACACGATTTCTCAAGGCCAAGGTACGGATAAATCGATCCTGGGCTTGAGTTGTCGCCCTTGGTCGACCTGAGCGTGGTCTGTCCTGTACAGATTGTGTATCACGGTATCTGGACCATAGCCTGCTTATGACAGACTGAGAAACATTCATCGTCCGCGCCACAACCGCCTGTGTTGTGCCGATCTGTAGCATGCCAAGGGCACGTAACCTTTCATTTTGGGTAAGCCGACGCATATCAAAATTTGTTTTCTGGTCACTAAAACAATTAAACTGATGTTTCCACCCTGGAATTCAATGCCACAATGACTGTAATATTCAAAGTCAGAGTCGTGCAAATCTTGGGTTGGACCCCCATGATGATCCCAAGCATCACCTGCATTCCATGCGGTAGCTATTGGTGCGTTTGGGCGTCACTTGTAACTGGAAATGTTTCTTCTGTTAGGTTCTATAGTGACTTTTTTCGTAGTCATTTGCATATTTTAGTATTATGCCCCCAAAATCAAATATCCCCTACTTTTTTTGAATAGTATAATAATGATCATTTGATTTGGGTTTTTAGATTGAGCCAATCTGATTAAATTACAGATCCATATTTTGTTTCTTTTTTTTTTTATACTTTCGATGGCCTACACTACATGAAGATCTTGACCGGTTGTATTGGAAGTTCGCGTACCAAGGGTCGTACGAGCAGCTTTTGACCCTATGACGTCAGACATTGATTAATCGATCAACGTTGGTGTTTCTAGTGGTTTACCCACAGTTCTGTGCATCAAACGTCAAGAACTTGCCGTAACAGACCATTTCATTGGCTAATCCCTTACTTCAACCAAAACGTCGGTAATAGAACAACTCTTTCGGATCCTAGTGTAGTAAAGACAAGTAGAACAAAATTTTGAAATATAAATCTAATCCATGACCCCATAAATATAAGCCTAACTATTTACTGCACAATATGGAAATATAAACTTCAATACATATCCCAATATTTCACAGAAATATAGGATCACAAATAATGTCTGAGCAATGAGCTTCCAATTCAATCGTTATAGTTCATACCTGTACAATATTTTTAATAAGTAAACTCTTTTTTTCAAGAGCTGCATGTGCTGCTACTGTCATACAGTATCCTATTGGTCCATATGGTGTTCTAAAAATATTGAAATGTATATACTTATGTTATAAGAGATAAAATTATAAGAGTTAAAAATGTTTTTTAAGGCCTGGTTATCCTGAGTATCAGTGATTAATTTCCTTCGTATAGAACTCTTCAGACTGGTTGGACATATGTTACGGGTATCTATTGATACTATTCCTGCACTAGATTGTTAGTAGAGGGCAAGAATATACTGTACAATATCGTCTAATATGTCCTGGTTATCCTGAGTATCAGCGACTAGTTTCATTTGTATTGCACTCTTCCAACTGATAGAACTCTCGCTGGGGTCTTCTGTCTATACTATTCCTGTACCCTGTCCAGGTTGCCAGGGTCACAAATTACCAAGACGCTATGTTAATTAAGTTACACTGTATTACAAATTTACAAACCTTACCACATCACTGAATCAACAACAAAATGTAAACTTGAGCAGACCAACTTTATTTTGCTTTGTTATATAACTACATGTAACTTTGTTATAAGAGATCAGGAAAGTTGAAATATTATGAGCCCTATCTTTGATTAATTTTCAGTGTAAAAATGAACACTGTGACAATGAATGTAAAAACTAACACTTTTTTTCATTTTATTCAAACACTGAAATTATATTTATATTCATGTGTTTAGGATTACAAACATATGCCAATAACTACAAACAAATCCAAAAACACACAAACTGTGTCAAAAATAATTTTTGAAAAAGAAAATCAAACAGTAATTTTTCATCAATTAATAAACAACCAAACACTTGTTTAACACATGCAGAATATAAGGCCATACAAAAACAATATTCTGGTTCTCTGACAATCCTTACCAAAAATCTGATGCAAGGGAGGTTTTTATTTTTGTGTTTTTATTGTCAAAGGATCACTACTTGTTTAAATGATTTCTCATACACATCAAATTTCAAGGCACTACATTTATCTCATCATGTTGTTTATAATTTATAGGCATGTATGATTATCCAGGCTCAGTTATGATGGATATTAACATTTATTACGGTTGTGTACATGATAAATGAGCCTATGCATTCATTAATTTTTTTTCACAGATTTCCTTCCTGTAACCTGGGTAAAATATTCTAATATTTATGTGTGGTAATTAATGTGACTGTTTTTCCTGCGGCCCTTTTGAAGTGATTTTGGATTATCTGAGAACCAGAATATTTTTTTTTATATGGCCTAACAAAAATACTTTGTCTTATCTGCTTCAAAAATATCCAGATCCTAGATAATCAAATTAATACTACTTATTAATAATCATTGAAAACTACCAAATTATTATTAATTCAAATAAATCTAATCTTTGATGACCCATATATCGACTAGTTTTGTTACTTACGTTTCTGTGTTATATAAGCTTATGGATTCAGACAGTTAACTGAACTGCTGCAATTTATGAAAGCTGAATAAATGCAGTCTTCATTTAAACATACATTATGCACGAGCTAAATCTGCCTAGTGCAGGTCTTTCTTTAGGCCTGAAATGTTATCTAAATTATTAATTAGAAATTAATTAACTTATCCAGACCATAATCAACTCTCGATGTCATCGCTAGCCTGCAATGTTTATTGGATTAGGTTCTGATTTGCTGTTCAACTTCCATTCATGATTTAATCATGAAATGGATAATCGAGACTATGTATTTTATCATAACGACTTTTGTAATGATAATCGAGGCTAGGCAGAAAATCCAATTGCTAAAATCTTGGTTCAGAGTGGATCAATTTGACTGAAATTTTCAGCAAATTCCCTTTACATTATCTAGTTTTTAACTATTATAGTGAGAACTACCAGCTCTTTATCTAATCTCCCATAATGTATCTTTAAGAAACAAATTCTTATCTGTTAACTAATCATGGCTATTAATTTCAATGATTAGGTATATTTTATCGCATATTACAAAATATGAGGCTAGAGTGATCTACATGTAGCTGCTTATTAACTGCTTCAGCTTTCTAATTGTAGGTGGAATTTTCACCCAAGTCTCATACAATAAGACACCAATTTGCAGAAATTAATTCTAAAATGGGGAAACCCAACTAAACAAAAAGATATTATATTTCGCCTCCTGCATTCATATATACTAAATTTCTCTTCTTACCTTATCATTGTGGGTTGGAACATACAGGGTAAAACCATCAGCACCCAATACTAAAAAAGAAGAAAAATATTATTTGTATACACAACCTTTATATAGAGTAGACGTTCCCACATTTTCATTCACTTTTAATCAAAATGTTCTGATTTATTTTATGAATTATTGAAATCCTGAATCATTTACTATATTTGTTTTACCAAATTGCACACATTTTTTTTATGGCATTTTTGACTTCATTAGATCAAACCTATCACTGACATGTTATGGGGAGCCACGGTAGCTCAGTGAGGATGGCTCACTAGTCAAAAGATTCTAGGTTTGATTCCAGTTTTGGCTGGGAAAGCTCTTTAGGATTTTCCAGCCTGGTTTCAGCTTATCGGTGGTGCCGAAAGGAGGGTCTGGCAAGGAAAAGTGTAGTCATTCAGATAGAATGAAAAAACATGTACTTGTTGGCATGCTTGTAAAAGAACACTTGACAGTTGGAATTCGTTGGTGTATGCTTGTCTTCATTAGCCCAGTTCGTGCAGAAAAGTATGACATATTAAATGCCAATTCATATCATTTTCGACATGTTTTAATTAGATTGTGAGCAAAATCTGTTGGCTTTCAACAATTCATTCTTCACCATATGGGATGACATCAATTCAAATCTGTAGCACCATTATTGAAAGCTCCAAGATATAGAAATAAACTAATTGGTACATTACCATTTGCGACAGTCTGAACAGCTTGTCTCAACAGAGTAAAAGGACATGTTAGTTTTGAGAATTCATTCAGGTACTTCTCAACTATGAGCTGAATATTATCACCTTTATACTGTAATGGACAGGTAATAAAATAACATACAAACAAGCAAATTATTAAAGTTTTTATCTACTTTTGGGTAATCTGATAATAAATATAAATGTTAGTCCATGCTTTCTATGCTGAAATTTTCTTATGAAAAATTACCAAGATTTCAAATATTTTACACTGCTATGATCATGACCTGACCACATGAACCACAATTAAACATCATTTTTGTGCATGATTTCAGATCAAGACTTGGAATATAAAATGTTATATCCTGTTGTGTTTTTTTTTTTACTTCTCTTTACTAAAAATTGTCTGTATGCATGTTTTGGCCATAAATATTTTATTCTACATTATTTCACAAATTGAACATGGGTAAGGCAATAAATTGTTTGTTTTTTTATTCGAATGAAATTAGAACTGTGCAATTAGAATAAATGATCTGCAATCAAATAAAGCAAAACTGTTTTCTCATGTATTTTAAGTCTAATATTGGAACTGATTTATGAATCTTACCCTTTTATCCACAATAGGCATAGCTTTTGGACTTGTGCACCAGCTTAAAGCTATAATAAATGAAAATTAATAAACACAGGTTGCAAGATAACAGCATAGATATAAGCTTAAATAACTTGCCAATGCTGTTCTCAAATATAGTAATTACCATAAATTGCTGGAATCAATATGCTTCCAGGTCTCACTAAATGTAAACAACACAGAACTAAAATGATTGGATTATAACTTAAAATTAAACATACATTATGCAAGAGCTAAATCTTCATATTGCAGGTCTTTCTTTAGGCCTGATATGTTATCTAAACTATTAATTAGACATTAATTAACTTATCCAGACCATAATCAACTCTCGGTGTCATTGCTAGCCTGCAATGTTTATTGGATTAGGTTCCAATTTGCTGTTCGACTTCCATTCATGATTTAATCATGAAATGTATAATCGAGACTATGTTTTTTATCGTACCGACATTAGTAATGATGATCAAGGCTAGGCTGACAATTCAATCACTAAAATCTTGGTTCAGAGTGGATCAATTTGACTTAAATTCTCAGTAAAATTCCCTTTACATTATCTAGTTTTTAACTATTATAATGAGAACTGCCAGCTCTTTATCTAATCTCCCATAATGTATCTTTAATTCTCTGCAGTGATTTGCGGACAACTACTGGAAAGTGGTGAGGATACAGAATTAGTTAAAACTTTAGCCCCCTTCATCAGTGCATCAATACCAATAATATTGGATCATCAATTTAAATTAATTCTCTGCAGTGTACACAGTGATTTGTGGAAAACTACTGGAAAGTGGTGAGGATACAAAATTAGTTAAAACGTTGCTCCCCTTCATGAGTGCATCAATATCAATAAGGTTATAACGTTGTACCCTTTGTTCCAGCATCTTTTTCTATTTTTCTGTTCAGAATTTCCTTGAGTTTGTCAGTAGGTATCTCTTCTATCAGAAATTGTTCAAGAACAGCCGGATTTTTCATCAAAAATTTCTTTACCATATCTCCATTCATGTCTGAAAACAATTTTTTTTAATGATAGTTTCAGAATTGAGTGTGATCTGATCCAGAATGTGAATGTGGGGCCCAAGGCCCCCCAATCTGCTAAATAGAGAGAGGGAGAAATAGGGTTTAACATCCACTTGACACAAACTTAGTGAAACTAGGTAATTTCTGGACTAACATATGGTTTAATTTTATTTCAATAATTCGCTTGCACGTAGTAGGGGTCTTTTAGCAGTGGGAGGAAACCAGAGGACCTGGAGAAAACCCACAAGGTTGGACAGGCGACCCTACAGGGGAATCAAAACCATGCCAGTTGACTCAATGACAGACCTTATATTAGTATTAGGCTATACAACGCGCTAACCAATCGGCCAACCAACCCGGCCCCCAAACCGCCAAATAACAATTTTTCGTTAATCTAGATCACTGACTATTTATTATTTATTTGATAAAAATAACAATACTAAACATGGTTTCAAAAAAATAATCAACACAATGGTGACAATAAATAAATTTGATTTTGATTTTGAAATTTATTGCTCACAACTGACGTCAGCCTTCATCTTCTCTAGCGATACCGACCCTGGAAATGGTGCCATTTTTCGCCCAGCTAACATCTTTTTTCCACTTGACATTTTCACAAATTAAGAAGTTTATAATATGAGCTTAAAAGGAAAGAATGTCATAAATAAATGAAACATCTCCAGATCAACATGATCAGTCACATCTGTGACAAAATATCAACACGAAAGCGTCTGCCAGTGACGTCACATCCGGTGAGATGTGGGGAGATATTTTTATGTTTCATCACCTTCATATGAATCCCGAAACATGGGCAATCAAAAGAATAAACCAGCAAACGAATCCATCAGATAAATTATCATATTGTCGAGACTAGAAATTTATATTCATTGATTGTAATAAAAATATTTTCATAGTAAAGAATTGTATTGGTTACTAATTACTCCCAAAGATGGCGGGAAATGGCTGTCAAAAGTGGAAGTAGAGAAAAGTTGAGTTTGGCCTGAATAAAAAGACAAAACAATATTTATGATAGAGGCATTTCTAGGTACCGTTTGTTTACAGAAAATGAAAATCCAGTAAATACTTACACAGTTTTGTCCAAGAACTACATTTTAGTAAGTTTACAAAAAAACAAATTTATTTAGATCTAGTAGATCTAAATAACTTATATTCAAAATTATTCATATTTGTATAATTTAGGTATGTGACTATCCGGCTCTGAGAACCAGCCGTGCTGGCACTAATTAGTTGTGACGTAATTAAGTGTTTTCCCCAGGGCGGCATTTCTGACCACGCTATATAGGGCGCTTTTTGATTGGCTGGGTGTGGGAAATCCTTGTGGAAAATACCCTCTGACGTAGCCGAATATATTAATATATTACCTCGTTTTCGATTTTTTACAATCGCTTGAAAATTGACGATATTACGAGTTGTTTTGTTACGAAGTGAGAATTTTAGTCGTGGAACGGTGCAAATTGCGGTATCAAGGTGAGTTTGAATAACTTATTAATGCATATGAATTGATTCTATGTATAGTTGTGCATATATGTGTGTAATATCAATGACGAAACTATGTTCCAAGGATACCTACGAAGCTGCGAAAAAAAGTTAGTCGTATCAAAGAATTTCCAAGATGGCGGCGAATTTCTTCGATTTTCACTGTGTCGTCACACATTTCAATTCAAAATCACATGAACATGGCTATACTTATAAGTTATATGCATCAAAGCACACAAATAATGCAAAATAATAGTCAATTAATATGTTGTATGTCTGGATTGTGATAAAAATACATAGTTATCGAGGATTAAATGTCTCATAATTATGATAATATACGGCTCCTCCCCTGACTTTGTTTACAAAACAAACGCACATGGTCTTATGTTGGGGCTTTTTTTTCTTACTTTAAATGTATTTTGAGTCAGCAATACCTTATGTAAACAATCAACGTTGCTTTAAAAAAAAAAAAAAAAAAAAATATATATATTAAATATTTTTTTTTGTTATTTTTCAGTAATAAATAAACCCTAGAATATCATAATACGAGTTATTTTGTTACGAAGTGAGAATTTTAGTCGTGGAACGGTGCAAATTGCGGTATCAAGGTGAGTTTGAATAACTTATTAATGCATATGAATTGATTCTATGTATAGTTGTGCATATATGTGTGTAATATCAATGACGAAACTATGTTCCAAGGATACCTACGAAGCTGCGAAAAAAAGTTAGTCGTATCAAAGAATTTCCAAGATGGCGGCGAATTTCTTCGATTTTCACTGTGTCGTCACACATTTCAATTCAAAATCACATGAACATGGCTATACTTATATGCATCAAAGCACACAAATAATGCAAAATAATAGTCAATTAATATGTTGTATGTCTGGATTGTGATAAAAATACATAGTTATCGAGGATTAAATGTCTCATAATTATGATAATATACGGCTCCTCCCCTGACTTTGTTTACAAAACAAACGCACATGGTCTTATGTTGGGGCTTTTTTTTCTTACTTTAAATGTATTTTGAGTCAGCAATACCTTATGTAAACAATCAACGTTGCTTTAAAAAAAAAAAAAAAAAAAAATATCTATATTAAATATTTTTTTTTGTTATTTTTCAGTAATAAATAAACCCTAGAATATCATAATATAATGCCTCCATCAAAGAAGAAAAGAAAGCTGAACCCAGACGCTGAACCTGGAATAGCAAGGTCTTATCTGAATGAGACATTTTGTGTTATCCCTGCTGGGAATAAACTTCAAAATGGACATGTCTTGTATATTTTTTTGCTACATGACTCGAGCGTGTCAAACGCTGAACGTGCAGTAAAGGAGACATTCAGTGAAGAAGAGCGTTCTGCCATTCCAATTTTAAAGGGGAAAATCACTTCTTTAGTGCAGCGGACAATAAAGAAATATAAGAGGCTAACAAATGAGAGTGAGATGCAGAAATTCAAGGATTGTTGTTGGGAAGAATTTTCAACAGAAGTAATATGTAGAAAACGTTTACAACCAGAACCACCAGGCACACCTAAAACTCCGAATTCAAGTTCCAGTTCCTCGTCTCACAAGAACTGTTCAAACTGTGTGAAACTTCGTGGGCGTCTGTACAAGGCTATTCAACGTCAAAAAGAGATGCAGGAAGCGCACTCTGCTCAAATTGAAGAATTCAGAAGAAAGTTGAGTAAGAAGAATGCTATCAGGGTCATTAATCAGAAATTAAAAAGAAAACTTAACCGTGTTAAGGAACTTGATGAATCAGATTCTTCTGGTTTGGGAGCAAAACTGAAAAAATTGAGAGATGTCGTGAAACAGAAGAAAAAACAGTGTAAAAGATTAAAGATAGAGCTCAGTGAAAAAACTAGTTTTATTGTTGATGAATCTGCCAAAGAAATCTCAGTACTTAAGAATAAGGTAAAAGCGCAAGATGAAGAGATTAGTTTTCTGCAAAACGACGTAGCTGTGCTTGAAGAGCAGATTGAAGACAGCGAAGATTCCTCCACCTCAGACATTTTTGAGAAACAAGGAAAGATGTACTCTTTACAAACACGTCTCTTTGTATATGACGCCATTACAAATCAAGTACCAACTGCTAATGTGCCTAAACTTTTAGATAAGTTTGTACAGAGGACTGGTGCCCAACTTGACAAAGTTCCCCACCGCAATACGGTAGAAATGATGGTGCGAGAAATGGGGTTGATATCTCAGCTTCAAGCAGCCGAAACTATCTTGGCCAATCCAGATTCAACCTTGGGATTCGATGCAACGACCCAGCAAGGCATTCACATCAACAGCATCCATATGACTTTTAAAAAAAATTCAGACAGTTGCCTTGTCATTGCAGTAGACCACCTACCAGGTGGGACGGCTGAGGATTATTCCCAGCACATAATTTCTTCCATTAATGAACTGGCAGTTGTTTACGCCGACTTTTACCAAAAGGACTATCAAACAGTTTCAAAATCTTTGACAGCAAATATTGCCAACAGTATGACCGACAGGTGTGCTTCTAATCATGCTGCTATTCGTCTTATTAATGCAGCATGGAACACTTCACTAAACGAACTGAACTGCCATCTTCACCCACTTGACACTGTTGCATCAAAAGTTAGAGCGGCGTTGAAATCACTTCAACAAGAAAAGGGCCACGAGAAGGGAAAGCTGTTTGGACAAGATTGTCTTGCCGCAAATGTCATTTTGCAATTGAATAAAGTTCGTTTTAAGGATGGGAAAGGCGACCCAATGGGTTTTAAAATATTTCTTGAGGAAATGGGACTAGGGAAGGGATTTATCCCCCGATACAGGGGAAATCGCCTTCATGTACTTTTCCATCTTGCTGGCAAATACTTCGTTTATCATGCTGATTTCCTCAAGTTTTTGAATTCCCGTACTTCTCTTGGTGGCTTGCGATCGAGTTTGATGCTAGATTTTGAAAATTCAGTTACAAAGTTGGAGCTGCAGGTTCTGGGGTTGATTGGGAAGTTGTTCTCTGGACCCTGGATGAAGATGTTTTACACTTCGGCAGACACAGAAATACATCACATCAGAGGGATTAAGACTGTAGAAGAGGTCTTAAAGCGTGTTAAACTCCAGGAAAAGAACCCCACCACCATTCTTTCTCGTGAGAATGATTTCTTTGATAATATCCTAGAAAAAGACCCGATACTGTGTGCTTTACAACAAGAGGTACCATCCGACACAACCTTGTTTGCTGAAATGGTGAAAGTTTGTTTAGGGGCAATCGTGATAGTGCTAGAGAGACAATATGAGAAGTATTTTAACCTCGACATCACAGACGAATTGGAGAAGCAAACAGAGTCGGCCAGGTCGCACAATATAGATGCAGAGGAGGTAATGGGGATGTTTTCGGCAGCAAAACAGAAAGCTCAGAATGCGACTCTGTGTTTCCTCTCATCCAAAATCAGGGCGCAGAAAAACCGTGTAATTGATTTTCTAGACAACATGGGTGGTGATAAAAGAGAGAAGGTTGTTCAGTTTGCGGTGACGTATTCGAGAAAACAGAGAGAAAGAAAGAAAACTAAGCAGAAGGATGTGATGGTGGAAATAAAAAGAAGAAATGCCTTACAACAAGAGAAAAAAAACATGACAGAACTAAGAAAAATGGAAAAGAAATTAAAAACCACTGATACAGATCCAATTTCTCTGGCTGAAGCATTTCCTGGCACTGATAAAGGGATTCTGGATGATTTGGGGGATATATTGGAGGGTAAAGTCGTTGGCAAAGACCTTTGTCACTACTGGTTTGACACAGACAAGGGCGTTAAAGAACTGTATTATGGAAGAATAGAGAAACTCCGGAAGAATGGCATCGTTTATCGTGTGTGTTACTGGGCTGAGGGGGAGACTTTCGATGATGGAGAGTCGTACGACATTTCGAAATATTCCCTTGCTTCTGATCTAATCTTAAGTGACTTGATTTTGTGTTAAGACTAGACAACAGACTCATCTGAGTACTAAATTTCATCTTATTATATGGTACGACTGGTGATATTTATCTGTAACTGTGCATGTATTAGTGTTTTTGAACAGCTATCTTTTAGTAGAAATTTCAATGAAAAAGACCAAGTATTAAGGAAGTTATGACATTTCGAAATATTCCCTTGCTTCTGATCTAATCTTAAGTGACTTGATTTTGTGTTAAGACTAGACAACAGACTCATCTGAGTGCTAAATTTCATCTTATTATATGGTACGACTGGTGATATTTATCTGTAACTGTGCATGTATCAGTGTTTTTGAACAGCTATCTTTTAGTGGAAATTTCAATGAAAAAGACCAAGGAAGTTATGAGCATTTTTATGACCTGGTTAAGACTGGATAACGGACTCATCTGAGTGCTAAATTTCATCTTATTATATGGTACGACTGGTGATATTTATCTGTAACTGTGCATGTATTTGTGTTTTTGAACAGCTATCTTTTAGTAGAAATTTCAATGAAAAAGACCAAGTATTAAGGAAGTTATGAGCATTTTTATGATTTGGTTAAGACTAGACTACGGACTCATCTGTGTGTAGGAATTCATCTTATTATATGGTATGACTGGTGATATTTATCTGTAATTAAGAGATTAACTGTGCATGTATTAGTGGTTTTGAACAGCTATCTTTTAGTGAAAATTTCAATTAAAAAGACCAAATATTAAGGAAGTTATGAGCATTTTTGTGATTTGGTCAGTCGTCAATTAATCTCCACGAATTGGCGAATTGATTCATTAATTGGCGAATTGATTCATTAATTGATAATTAATTAATAATTGATCAAATTAATCAATCAATTAATTAATGTAATTGTATTGTGGTTTCAAATAGCTCTCCAACGATGCAAAAGTCATTGATATCTGTTGACTTTTGGGGGAACTGTGATGTTTTAAAGTGCGTACTTATTATTTTCACCCGAAAAGTGATCACGCTCAAGTCTTTGTATTCTAATTAAAACAAAGGGTCAATATTGACCCGATTTTCTATTTTTCAAAATGATGTAACTTTTTTTCTATTTGGAGTAGAACCAAAATTTAAAGACCATAGTAATGCATATTCAAGGCCCTTTCCAATGATGCCAGTTTTATTAAATTTGCAAAATTTTCATTTTTTTAGTCACATACCTATATAATTTGACAGGAATGAGAACTAAACTTTAACTAGCCTACCTCTCACTGAGTCACTGTCAGCATGGATAACGTCCAACTTAGACTGAATAATCTAGCCTCTGGCAGGGTTGGAAAAAAACAGGGGTTTTTTTAAAAAAAGAAAAACAACGTTTTTTTTTGTTTAAAACAATGTTTTTTATGTCAAACCATACAGATATTCACTCTCCTGAGGTATCAACTGTTTCCACAACAAAAGTCTTTCCTAATTCATCCGTTACAGATATGCAAACTATAGGCTCATTACGGATGTTGCTTCATCCATCTAAAGACATGTTGACTGGCTTGCCACTTAAAATCTCTGCACATTTTTGTTGCAAATCCTCATGTACTTGATCCAACAAAGATTCAGCAACATCTTTTCTAGATGGTGGTTTATACCCTGGTCTCAACATTTCTATAAATTGCTTAAATTCTCTATGCCTCACAGTTAAAAATGATGAATTAGTGGCATAAATAAATTTACTAAATTAGTACATTGTTTGTCCAATGCTGCTTTTTCTGTATCTGATGTAGAGTACACAAATTTATCAATTAATGACAACTTCTCACTCTCAGAATTATATACAACTCACAACCCACACACTGCACCTTTAAACTAAAAATAACTAAATAACTGTTTCCATCCCTTTGATCTTTACTACTGTGGTTTACGTAATATTTATTAATACAGTACAATTTAAATACATAGAAATACACAAATGAACACTAGAATTTCGAAAAGAAAATTATTCACCAAATTATTTCATAATTTGACGATTACTTGACGATTTTCTAAGTTTCAGGTAATTTTTTTTTATAAAAAAAACCACAAATCAGCGTTTTTTGGGGTTTTTTTTCAATTGTTTTAAACGTTTAAAACAAGTTGTTTAAAACAACCCAACCCTGGCCTCTGGTAGCTCTCGTTCACTGATATGTTGCATAGAGCTAGTTAAATCAAATTTAGTGCAATGGAGGTACACGAAAATCAAATTGTAGACCATTAAATAATGATTAATGAAATCAACAACATATCTTTGTTGCATATATAGTACATTAGATAACACATCTCATCTCTCAAACATCAGTATATCTCAACGTTTTTAGCTACGTTCTCGTAGCTAATAGTAGGCCCTACATATTCATAAATCTTTACCACTTCAATTAAGTTCAATTTACGTAGCTGACATTACTGACTTCCTTCCTTACGCGACATAACAGTGGCAAGTTACTTTATAAAAGGTGTCTGATTATGATAGAGGATCTCAACCTTTTTTCGCCAACGGCACACCTTAAAACACATGAAAAAATAGCGGCACACCTGGCTAAATATATATGAAAAATATTTAAGTTTGCAAAAAAAACCAAAAACATGGCTTAAGTCATAGAAGGCATACAACTGTAGACACAGACTATAGTCAAAGACACATAGAATGACTTAAACTTAAAGGAGCTAAGTCTCTAACTCAATATCATCCAAAATCTTCGACATTGAAAACACGATTTATTTGTCAAATTAAATCAACATTCATGTTGTGATCTTACCGGAAAAAGATGGGCTTTTGATATCCAATATTTAAGACAAAATAAACATTTTACCATTGGTACATGAATCGTGTACCATAATGCGCTTCAGCCCCAGTTGTATCAAGAGGGACGAGGCTAGACACATTGCACCAAATCAAACGGCGTATGTAGACTGGAATAACCAGACGCTAGAAATTTGCACTCGCTTGAGACTGCTCGCTTATTTCGCCGAACATAACTGATTTGAAATTGGAGTAAAAACGGAAACCATTGAATGTAAATCAGTTTATATACATTCATATTACAGTATTATATGCGTTGCGACCCACTTTTGTCAATTTCTAGGTCCAAAATGTTAGCGATTTAGCTCCTTTAAACTTAATAAAGAAAAACACAGCTCTAAACTCACTCTATTGCAGTGTTTCAAATTTTATCAGTCAAATAGCTGGCTTCTTTGGTGACATTTTTTTTAGTGAGCTGTTAAAAATTTCGTGGCACACTTAGGAATGGTTGAGAATCACTGCCTTATTTATACACGTATGTAATATGAAAATAACGCTTAACAGCACCTCGGTTCTAACTAAGGCTGTTTTGGAATCCTTACCGTCTATTTTTCACTGTGATTCTTCTTTGTTCGTCAAAAGGAATTATTTCTCGACACATCTGACTCCAATTTATAATAATCCAACATTATTTTACAGATTCTCTCACTGAAACGGCCGATATTATACACTGTATTATTCACGTGACCAAAGATGCATGCCAGTACTTTCTATGATTTGTATCAAAATTAAGATCTGTCCATACCATATACCACCTATCACTATTGTATATATCAGCAAAAAATTTAAAAGATATTGACTGCTTCCATCAAGGAAGCAGTGTCAGAATCTTTGAGAAAAATCTTTTGGGACAATTTAATTTTAATAACTGTTATCAGGGTTTGTTAAAATAATAAAGTTGACAGATTTCAGTTTCAAGGCTAGATGCACCTATATAGATTTATCTTAGGAACTATGGGTATATCTATGTAATCAAAAACACAGCCACATGTTGATATATAAAGATGTGCTATTAAAATTGTATCTTTCAGGATTCACAGATTTCTATATATTTCTAGACACAATGATTGCTGGCCAAAAAGATTGTATTAAAGCATGGATGTTACAGACTCACAGAATAGATGTACAAAATGATTGGTTGCAAGCTTGCTTAGACTGGATACAAGAAGAACAACAGGTGCAATAATGCTGTTATCTGCTATGCATATTTTGAATTTTAATGTATAAATCAATTTGACATTTTCAGATTGTTTCTTGACATAAATATAATGAGAGAGAGAGAGAGAAATGGGTTTTAATGTCCACTCGACACAAACTAGGTCATTTCGGGACTAACATATGGTTTTTAAATTTTATTTCAATAATTCGCTTGCGCATAGGGGTCTTTAGCAGTGGGAGGAAATCGGAGGACCCGGAGAAAACCCACGAGGTTGGACAGGCGACTCTACTCCTTGTCACGTACAACCGGGGATTCTAAATATATGAGTAGAGCATTAGTTATAAACTAATTGCAATAGACAAACAACATATATGCTTAAAGATACAAATCACTCAGTTTGTATGCGGGAATGTATCTTTATGATATTTCCAGGAGCTCTTTTTACAAAAATTGTTTATTTAAATACAACAGAAAGAAAGTACTAAATCTATAATACTCATTAAAACTGATGCGTGCCCTGAATACAGTGTATATAATGAAGATTGATATAGGCTGTCTATCCCATTGAAATAAAGAGACGTTTTGATTTGAACAATGCTCAATAATCACCTCCAGATTATAACTTTAGACTGCAGTTATTACCTCATGTTCCTTTAATTTCTATTGGTTATCTATCTATCCTATTGAAAAGAAGCATGCTATTTATTGACTTACAATAATTTTCAATGATAACTTCCAGAGCTGTTTCCCATTGTTACAAAATCTTGGCAGCACACAAGTATTTAATTATGATCTGACCTTTTGAATTTGTTATGTGTTGTTTAGCTCATGACTGTGCAAAAGCTGATGGTGGGTGGGTGTTTTGTTGCCTGACAACCTATGTTTATGTGTATTTGAACATTTTCCAATAGATTGTGTCATGAATGATTATATATCAGTACTGATAATTTGATTTTGTAGGAAAGTAATACTGCTAACAATGCTGACAGTGTGAAAAATTTAGTGTTCGAGCAATGGCTGATGTCAGATCTGCGAGAACTTCATAGTTGCTGTCTCCCAGATAACTTACAAGAAAACATCAAAACTACTATTTCTGGAAGTTTTCCATTACAAGTAAGGGGATATCATTTCGTACTTGTAAGCTTATATTTTAAAACTAAAAATAACAACAAATGTTTTCGGATACGAACAAACGAAACTTAGATACATTCTTATATGCACACATTTTTATGGTTTTGGTACAATAATCTTTACTTTGTTCATATATAGATCGAGTCAATAATAGACGTAGGATCGTCATGCTATTCGCAACTACAGAAAGTAAAGGGAACAGAAAATGCTAATGTTGGAGTTTCAGCTGATACTAGTATACAGCCTGGTTATGTAAGTAGATTGATAGTACCGGTATGTAATGATAATAAATCAAAACAGTTTATGACTACTGTTGAATTATTACTTACAATTCTATCAAAGTAATGATGTCTTTAATCGATTAATGTTAAATGGTCCAATTACAACAAGCTTTTTTAAAACAATTTCTTCTACATATATTTTACAGTGGGAGCCCAAACCAAGTAAAATGTTATATTTCAAACTAACTGATGGTACCAATGATATACAAGCAATGGAATATAAACCTATTTCTTCTATAGGTATTGACACGGTTCTAGGTACAAAAGTAAGTAGGAATAAAAGTAAAAGAAAACTATTTTATTCATGTATTTTTGAATGCTGATTTGAATACTTAGTGTAACTTAGGTTGGTACTGATTATCAGACAGTGTTTAATTGTTAGGTAGATTTTGAAATAAGACCTCTTACCTAGTGCATATTTATTATAGAAAATACTGACTCATACAAATGTATTATTGCATTTGTATTTCAAGGTGTTAGTGCACGGTGATGTTGTATGTAGAAGAGGTGTTTTATTATTAACATCTAATAATACTCATGTTTATGGTGGAGAAGTTGATACTTTGATAGAAGATAACCCACCAGAACATCTTCTTCAACAAGCTTTGTAAGTGGACTGACAATTTTGAATTCAATAGAAATAGAATACATATTATGCTAAACATATACGATTCAGCAGTTGGTAGAAATCAAATTAAAAAGGAAAATTGTGATTTTGTATATAGTAAAAATCGTTGTAGGACATTGCGTGTCAATCATCTCAGTCCTAATAGAATTTAAGTTTGTGCAATAATGTACATGAAAATTCAGATATTATTTTAACAACTATTTGTTCTATGTTATTATTTTTTTCAGAGAGGAAAATATGCAGCATTCTGGTAAAGGAGATTCCAGACAATTTTCTGGAAAGTTTATTGAAAGGGGAGATAATTCATTGAAGAAAAAAGAAAGTCAGTCAAAATGTTCAACAAGCAGAAATCAGTCAAGTTCCCAATTCAGTCAAATAAAAGAAGAATCTAGCAGTATCAATCCATCTATTAAATTAGAAACAACAACCAATCCATCAGAACTAAGAAACAATACCAGTTCTAGATCACAAACATCATATTTTAACCAACAACAGTCATCAAGACTTCAAAATCAACCAAGTAAGAGTTCTAGTGGATAGATTGTCTGATATTTTTCTTTCTCTAGTAGAATAAACTTTATATTTCCAGAAGATGTGACTTCTCTATCTATTGTAATGTGGTGAGGTCACATAGGGAAAAGTCTTATTCACTTTGACATTGTATTTAGTTCAGTTACCATTTACTTTATTTTGTGTTTACTGTACTAATGTTATCATATGTAACTTTATTATGTTTACTTATAGAGCCACATGTTGTGCAGCAATCACAGAACCTGTTGGATTCTGGGGTATGTTTTTATTCATAATTTCAAAACATCAGGAAAAATCTGTAAAACCCATACCTAATATTATCTGTATTTATTGTATTTTGAGCTTAAAGTCTTTGAAATTTTAATTTTATGGCATGTAAATTGACTGACAGGAGGTAAATTTTGTAAAGATCATTTTCCCTGCCAGAGTGCCAATAATTGAGCAAAATATCTGAATATTTCATGTCCAATGTAAAAACATGATTTTAAACTGAAATTTTATTTTTCATGACAGTGGGGTGATGATTTCGAAGATGATATGTTTATGGATGATATCGATGATAATATTTTACTGTCCATTGAAACACCTCCGGTTTACCCACCTTCAAATCCATCACGGTCAATTTCTAATATTACAAATAGAACTGCTATAAATTCTAATCAACAAACAGAAACCATTTCTTTTAATCGCAGTAAAATTGGTTCCACTGGCAACTCATCTCATTCTGTTCAACAAACAATCTTTAATAATGGTAGTGCTCAGACTTTTTCGGAGAGAACTCAAGGTACCAAATGCCAGCGTGAATCCACAGACACTCCTCAATCACGAAATAAAAGACAAAAAGTGGAAAAACAACAAAAAATGGAGAATATATTTACGTCTATTAAACGTGAAGTACATGTCACAAAACCTGCACCTACGAAGAGTTTAAATTTTAACGATAATCAACTAACTGCTTTTGCTGAGAACAATGACCATTTTGAACAATTCGATGATGATTTTGACTGTCTGAATGAGGATGATTTTGATCTACCTGATGTCAATGTTAGTGCTGTCAAACCAGAAGTGCCGAAAGCTGTGATTCATCCATTTAATTCATCGTGCCACAGACAGAACTCAGTTAATATTGAACCTATTGTTGAGAATACAGGTAATTATTTGGCTAGATATATCTGTCTCAATTATTGTATTTTATTTCAAAATTAATCAAAGCCTTGGTTAATCAAAGCCTTGCATATTTAGAATTATTTGCAGTTTTTTCGCCTCTGTTGCACTTTTGGGCATTTCTTTGTTGAAATTATTCAATTTGTCATGAGTCAGAACCATATTGAAATTCATTATGTCATTAAAAACTTAATTCACAGATCGTTCGTTCATTTCTGGAGTTTTACGTCCACTTCCACCTAAGGTGATATCGTAGACAATTCACAGATAGAGACAAGCTTTATTTATACATTTAGTGTTTTGGCAACCTATGATCAGAAAGAGATTTTGATTATTACATCTTTAGTATATATGATGTTACACTAAGTTTGCTGCATTCATCAAAATATATCGAACCGGAATTGCAGCCAAAATGATGTCATCTACCACAGTGCGACCTTTATTAATGAAGTCCTCCTTTTCATTTATATATACCCATATGAAAATGTGGACGTATATTGCCGTTGCTCCTGTCAGTCTGTCCGTCGGTTCGTCTGTCCTTTGTCCAATCTGATTGTTTTAAAATTGATGTTATACATTAGTGAGATAAAGAATCCTATTTCATTTCTTTAATTTATTTGCCTTGTTTCACTTTGTTGCACCTTGTGAATGCTCGAACATGAAAAGTTATCTGCTGATCTGCATGAAATTTATATGCGTCATTTAAATTAGTAAAAAGAAGAATCCTATTTAATTTCAGCAATTTATGGCCCTTGTTTTACTTTTTTGAACCTTGTGAATGATCCAACGCCAAAGTTATCATCTGCCGAGCTGTATGAAATTTACATGCGTCATTTAAATTAGTAAAAAAAGAATCCTATTGAATTTCAGCAATTTCCGTTTATTATGTCAAAAGTTATCATCCAATCTTTGTGAAATTTATATCCATTATTTAAATTAGTGAAACGAAGAATCTTTGTGAAATTTATATCCATTATTTACATTAGTGAAACGAAGAATCCTATTCAATTTCAGCAATTTCTGTTTATTTACGTCTTGAGTTATGGCCCTTGTTTCACTTTCTTGAACCTTGTCAATGCTTGACCGACAAATAATATCATTTGATCTGTATGAAATTTATATGCATCATTTAGATTAGTGAAACAAAGAAGTCTATTTAATTTCAGCAATTTCCGTCTGTTACTTCTAGATTTATGGCTCTTGTTTTACTTTGTGAACCCTGTGAACGTTCGAATGACAAAAGTTATCATCCGATCTGTATGAAATTTATATGCATTATTTAAATTAGTAAAACGAAAAAGCCTGTCAAAGTTCAACAATTTCTGTAAATTACTTCCAGAATAAAGGCCATTGTTTCAGTTTGTAGAACCTTGTGAACCCTCAAACGACGGAAATTATAATCTGATCTGTATGAAATTGTCTTTTAAATGCCCCCAATTACCTACTAAAGAATAAATATGCGACAACCCTTGTCGACCCCTCGAATGATTTAGCTGCTGTGGGAGTATGTTTCATTGCCTGGCAACCTATCTTTTTTCCAGTTGAAGAAATTGAACCCTTTACTTATATATCATGTATTTCATCTCAGATGCCTTTTATGGAGGAAAGGTGTTTTAAAATTAAGGTATGTTTTCTTAGTTTTCTTACTAATTATTAAAAGAAATTGTTTATTTATGTTCTTAGCTATTATCTGACATTTGTAGTTAAATTACGTATACACAAAATTTTCTTTTGATTTAGGCCTATATATCAACACTAACGAGTAAACTGACCAGTGGTCAAGGTGAAGCATGGACATTAGCATGTAAAATAAATGATGGTAGTATGGCCATGGATGTTGATCTTTCTAACATGGTACAGTATGTTTATCTGCAAAAGAAATTATTTGCAAAATGAGATGATATCTATTTCAGAATTGGAAATATAAACAGCAAAATTATTTCATTTATACTTTTTGTGGAAAGAACAATCAATTGAACTAGAATTGCACTCAATGCTTAAGACTTTCACACTGCCTAAACGTTACGGTGAGCGGATACATGTACAAGACAAACTAACCCACACCCCATACACATACATAACTAAGATATTCACATGTTTATCATATGCGCATTACGATAAAAGGAAAGTGAAAAATAAAGTTTAACAATATACAACAAATCTCATATTGCTGGAATCGGATAGAAGTCAGCTATCAAAATGTGTAATTCAAATTGAAATTTCAAAATTCCAAGAAATAACAATTTTCGAAAAAATTTCAAATTTTCATGTGAAATTGGGAACATCATGGTTTCTAAATTCGAAACTTTTGAACTGCAAATTGGTCAACAATGCCCTCAACTATACAAAAATATAACTTTTTCAAAAAATCGGTTGGAAATTAACATAATTATGGACAATATTCAATTTTCATGCTTGTTAAAGATTTTCTACAATTTTGAACTGCTATCTGATCAACAATGTCCCAGGCTATACAAAAATATAATTGTTTCAAAAATCGGTTATGGCCAATTTTCAATTTTCATGCACGTTAAAGATTCACATCACTTCAGGTCTCCTCACAACAATCAATTTAATTTTAAATAAACACTCATAGTTCAAATATTGTCACTTTGTCAAAAGTTCTGTATATGCTCTATAATAAGGCAATTTCCACCAATTTTGACCATTTCTGACTTTTGTCAGCTATTCAAATATGTAACAGGTTCAAAGATAGGTTGCCAGACAACAAGACATACGCCCACAGCAGTTAAGTCGTCCGGGCCGCAACGAGGGTTGTTGCATATTTTGTTCTTTTGACAGAAATGAAAACATTTACAACACACTAAAATCTGATTACAAGTAACAACCCATTTGGCTTCTAGTTCTGCCCTATTCTAAAAGCAATTGCCATAATCATCTGAAATCTTTGAAAATCGGTAGTCTTCTTCATCTCATGACCTTAAACACTGTATAAATATAAAGTCAATTTGATATTAACTTTAGTCTCTAAGGCATCCACAAGAATTTTCAAAGAGATCAAGGGCCTTAACTCTAGCAGTAATTATTGGAAATTGTTGAAAATCAATAGGATTCTTCATCTCATGACCTTAAACACTGTGTCAGTCAGCTGCAGCAGATATTAACTTTAGCCTCTAAAGCATCCACAAGATTTTTCACAGACATTAAGGGCCATAACTCTAGCAGTTATTCTTTGAAATCGTTGAAAATCAAGAGGCTTTTTCATCTCATGACCTTAAACACTGTGTATAAATTTAAAGTCAATCGGATATTAACTTTAGTGTCTACAGCGTCCACAAGATATTTCAAAATGATCAAGGGCATAACTCTGGCAGTAATTATTAAAAATCGTTTTCATTTATAGTTTAAGGACTTATTTAGCCATTCAACTTAATGTTTCCAAAGTTTTAAAAAAAAATAAAAACTCTACGATTTGATCAACATGCTAAAAAAAAAAAAGAAAAAAAAAAGGAAAAATCAAAATCAATATTTCACAACAAAACTGATATCGTTGGAATGGGTTTTAAATTCTGAATAGCTGACATCTATCCGATAGATGTCAGCTATCCAAAAATGTAATCAGAATTCTAAAAAATACCAATTTTTAATTTTTTTGCATTTCTGCTATGCGCACAAATTTCGAAATACCTTTAAGCACTAATCATCACCCATTTTCCGAAAAGAAAATCAAACTACAGGCCCCTCGCTATCTCTTATATTTGCTGAGAAATAGGCGGAATGGAAAAATAATAAATAATAATCTTAGTACTGTCACTGTCATAAAGAACCAACTGTACATAATCACCTGAGTTAAAACTTAATGACCAAGTAACAATAATATATATGACAATAGATCATATTTTTGATCAAGTGCAATGTATTTTCAGGTTTTAACAGGATTGATTGGGTTTTCTGCTGAAGATAGTATTGTAAGTATTCATTTAAAAAGAGAACTCTGGCTATATTGTATATTTTAAAGAAATTCTGATAGATAGAACTCTTAAATTTTACAAATAATAAAGAGAAAAACATAGTTCACAAATTGATTTAAACTATTAATTTAAATTTCTTTTTAATTAGATAATGAGGAAACAAGCTAGAACAGATTCTTCTATAAAAGATGTTCTATTAGAGGTTTGTAAAATTGTTCTTTTCTCCAAATCACTACTTCTGCACATATATATATAAAAAATTATTTTTGAAATTTTTTTAAAATTTAGCACACACTTGACTCATGGGTTCATCTTAATAGGCAATAGGCGAAGACTGAATGAAATTTGTGTCGTAACAAGCATTCTGCAATTCAACCCCCTGCAGTGTTAAAGTATTAATATTTGAGCTGAAATTTTGGATTTAGTGTTCCTTAGTGAAATAATCCATTTTAAAATACAGATAGATGTTGCATGTGTTTGTATATTAGAGGAATAATTGCTTAGTAAAGCCTTTTCTTTAAAAATGAATATTAACAAAAATAATTGTACTGTATTTAAGGAAAATGTCAGTGTTGTATATAATGTCTTTTTAAACATTTGTGTGTTTTCAGGGAATTCAACAATGTCAACAGAAATTGGTGGATTTATCTTGCATATTAGAAATAAAAGTGAAAGCGATTTCAATCCGACCAATGATAACACAGATAATTAACATTAAAAACCAGCACTTAAAATCATTATTACAACGAGTTGAAAGAAAATTAACAGAAATATGATAATTGTTCAGTTGTATTGTATTATAAATAAATTTATCAATTATAACATGACAATGTTATTATTTCCTTTATTGATTTGTGAAAAAATTCGTTGGTACAAGGGAGTTAACTGTTGACCAACTTAGAGTAATCTCCCCTTAAGCTTTCTGAGCTGAGGGTGGTGGATATGAATATACTCTTGCAAATGTTTGAAGATTTATATAATGCCACTTCACTTTCATTGAAATAAAATTGTTTAGGAAAGTGTTACTTATGGCATAAACCGGGGATATTGTAAAAATCAGCATGAATAATCCTAAATGTGGTCAGAAAAAGAAAAGGAAGTTACCAGCATGGATGGGCACTGTGTATAATGATGGTGATCCAAAAACTGAAAAAGAACCTGAAAGGTTGTCTGATCACAAACCTGCATGTAATCCTGAAACTCAGAATACTAAGCAAACATTTCAACAACAAAAGAGCAAAACATGTGCTAGCCTTAAATCATTTGAACCAACTGAAACTATTGATGACATAATATCAAAATCTTTACCTTATATGGAATTTAAAGGTTCTATTATTTATTCATATAATATCAATGATTGCTGTTTATTGTGTGATGACCTGTTAGAATCTCTCAACCCAGATGAAGATTTCTTTGTTGGTTTTGATATTGAATGGCCAGTAACATATCAAAAAGGCAACCCAGGAAAAGTTTCCCTGATACAAATTTGTGTTAGTGAACAAAAGTGTTTCTTGTTTCATGTTGCAGCAATGCCGGAATTTCCTAAAATACTCAAGAACCTAATTGAAAATCCAAAAATAAAGAAAATTGGGTTAAACATCGAAAATGATTTTTGGAAACTTGACAAAGATTGTGACATTAATGCTATGTCCATAATCTCTCATTCTATGTTAGAATTAAAGACATTGGCTAACACAAAATTAAAATCAAATGAAAATTGGAGTTTAGATGGACTAGTTAAAAATGTATTAAGGATGAAATTGAATAAGGAAGGCAGTATTCGTTGTGGAAATTGGGCCAACTTCCCCCTTTCTGAGGAACAGCAAGAATATGCAGCTATTGATGCCTTTGCTTCTTTAAAACTTTATAATATTCTTCAGAAAAAATAACTGTTTAATTTATTTAAAAAAATGAAAATATCAATTAGTTGTTGCATTACATATGGAACCATGAATTTACTAATTTAATTTTTGAAATATTATCTTCTAAGTTAATTACTGTAACGATCTTTAAGTTATTAAAAGTTTTGATGTTTAAGTACCGGTATTATATTCCTTTTGCACCAAATCTATTGAACTGGTGGTGATACAACACTAATTTTCACTTTTCTGTCATTGCATTTGTTTGGCATATCCACTCTACACCCCGCAACCATGGAAATTATGTAGGCCCAGCGTAGCTGAAGAAAAAAAGATATAATACATCTAATGAAGGATAAATGATACAAAACAAAATGGAAAGAAGCCAGGTTGAACGTCTTAAGAGGTTTGAGCTCAAGAATTTATCGGGTGCTGCATGGAATTATTTAAGAGGCCTGGGCAGTTGGAATTTGATAGAATTAAACATGCGCATTTTTTAGCAGAATAAACTCTCATTTGGCATACGTCAGATGTAGGCTAATAGAGGAGCCACAGTGCCTTATAAATTATAGCGATGGCTCAATAACCACTGAGGCCCAGGTTCGATCCTGGTGTTGCTGAGAAAGTTCCTCTGGATTTTCTTGTCTGGTTACGGATTGCATTGGCAGAATTCCCCTCATGGCTCATGACTCCTAGTCTTTGTTTATCCTCTTGGTGAATACAAAACAAAAGAATGACATAAAAAATCTCATTTCATAATTCATTTCATATTTATTGCCCAAACTAGTCAAAAAGTGACGGGTTTGAAACGCCATATTATTACTAATATTAGCCTATACCATTCCCGTTTTTTTTCTCATTTTTTTTTAATTTGTGTGTGTTGGGGGGGGGGGGGGTAAATGTGTGCGGTAAAATATTCCGCCCTTATCTAGAACTTAGAACATTAAAATTTGAGGATGACCGAAAAAAATTTCGACGATATAAGCGACATTATAAATGACAAGAGACATTGACCTTTGACATTTGTTGCCATGGTAAGACGCCATGTTGGTTTGTAAACTAACAATTCTGGCAAAATTAAGGTCCGGTTTATTTATTAATTTTGCCGTGTGCATACTAGTAACAGATCTTAAGAATATGAGTTGTAAACACGTAAGTTTCTTGATTAGTCGTATTTTAATATATATCTGTGCAAAGCAGAAATGAAATCTAAATCTTATAATATAACTAAGACTACTGTCTGATTCATCGTAAATTTTAAACGGATTTCTTCGATTATGAACAAACTACTTAACGTTGGTTATTATAAACTTACCTGTGTGTTTGTAATGAACTCCCGTTCGATAAAATCCATTGCACAACTAATTATCACAACGATGAAAACAAGTTCTCTCTTGAAAAATTGAAATATCACAAACTTTTCCCAGAGAAAAATACCAATATGGAAGATGGTTACGTCACTCTGCGGAAGATATCATTTCGTATTAGGGGTGACAGCATAGGAAATTCAAGTACAATTACGACAAGAATCCATGACCACTCGGACCAAAGACCACTCGGTTCAAGACCAGTCGGACCAACTGATAGACCACTCAGCCCAAACAAATAGACTACTCGGACCATACAAAAAGACTATTCGGACCCAACAGAAAGACCACTCGGACCAATAATAAAATGTTGTTTTAATAAATTGATAATTGCGTTTGTTTTAATATAATTACTCGAACCAATAATAAAGTGTTATTTTAATAAATTGATAATTGTGTTTATTTTAATATGACTACTCGAACCAATAATAAAGTGTTATTTGAATAAATTGATAATTGTGTGTGTTTTAATATGACTACTCGAACTAATAATAACGTGTTGTTTGAATAAATTGATAATTGTATTCCAAATCGCAAAATATCGAGAACCACACTTGTAGTCACGTTTAAAAAGGGGCATATAAACGTCCGGTCTTCGTATTATTATGTGCTGTTTATATTAACGCATCAAGGGCGGATAACTTGAAAACGTGTCTCCACCCCCCACCCCCCCCATATATAGTAACCCAGGGGTTAGTGGGGTAGAACGGAATGAAACCACTGGGGATACCGCGAATGTGGAAAAAGTAAAATTAGGCTATCAGACAAGAACAGTATACCCGTATATGTAGAAACTGTCAAAAGTCTGGACATACCGAGTCTCATTGCAAGAGTAAAGAAAAATTAGATTGATATTTTTTTTTGGCACCATTATTAATTAATTTTAAAACTAATCGTTGATTTATTTACCGTACACAAAATTGAACCAAACAACTCTAAATATAAGAATTCCGTATAAGAATTATTTGCTTCTTTGTATTGTGATTTAATAATAAATAAATAGCATATTGTCTAGCCTTATAATATAATTTAATTGGTCCGACTGGTCTTGTTTTGGTCCGACTGGTCTTAGTCCGAGTAGTCTTTGGTCCGAGTGGTCTGGATACCTACGACAATTGGCATTGAGTTTGAGCGTTCGCACACATAACTACCCGCATTCCTGTATTTAGTTACCGTCTTTTACATTCTAGTAAAATCTCTGCAAATTTTATAGCTTTACTTTTTGAAATATTTTGTTCTAATTATTTGATTAGCGACTCGGATGGGATTATTTACTTTTGAACACGCATGCCGCACAAACACAACTATACATTCGTTTTACGGGCTTTATCACACTTCGGTCAAAACTGTCGAATCGAGAATTAATGTTCCGCTTCTTACGGGGTCATACGGGCTTAGTAGCATTATATACCCACCCGGGCACCCAATACGGCAATAGACACGCTGAGGGCTGCCGCAACACGCTTAAAGATGTTACTGAAGCGGTTATTATTCGATCGAAAGAATGCGTATAAAATTAAAAATACACTCAGAGAATTCGGAGGTAAGCTTCATGATCCTTGTTGAATTATTTATAACATAAAGAAGATAGGATATTTATAGTTTATTCATGACTTTATTTTTACGAGTATCCGTGCAATCAGTGATATTTTAATTGTGAAGAAAATTTGATAGACTGGCGATCAATGGTTTCCATATAAATCTCCTATGTAATTGCCTTCAATTGATATTTTTCGTCGCCCAAACCCATATACGATCAAAATGATCGCGCTGTCAAACTATCTTTCAATGTTAACAAACCCCCGCAACAGGTATATTGGATTCGACCATTACGTCACGAAGACATTGTTGACATCGACTCTGTCGAAATTACAAGTAAATTTTCAAATTTTTCAAGAGAGAAATTGTTCTCATCGTTGTGATAATTAGTTGTGCAATGGATTTTATCGAACGGGAGTTCATTACAAACACACAGGTAAGTTTATAATAACCAAAGTTAAGTAGTTTGTTCATAATCGAAGAAATCCGTTTAAAATTTACGATGAATCAGACAGTAGTAGTAGATACAAACCAGTAGGCCGAACTAAATATAAAATAATAACCTAGTACTGTTGTAGTATTAAACGTCAACAATTTTTTAACAGTTAGTGTTGGGCCCTAAAGGAACTAAGCCTTTTAATATCATCCAGTCTTCGACATTGCAAATACGACTTGTTTATAGCTATTATTGATATTGGTCAATTTTAAACCAACATTGATGCTGTTAATGTTATCTTAACCTGAAAAGTTGGGCTTTTGAAAATTTGATATCCAATTGATTGATCAATACTCAATAGCATATAGGCTAAGCCTATTTAACTTAAAAAATAAGACAAAATGAATATTTTAGAATTGGAACATGAATCGTGTGCCAGAATGCTTTTGAGCGCCAGTTGTACTGGTGTAGACTGGAATAACCAGACACCAGACTCAGTGTATTTCGCCGAACATAACTGATTAGAAATTACAGAGATAGGCCTACAATTGAATGTAAATCAGTTTATAGACTACATTCATATTGTACATTATTATGCGTTGCTACCCATTTGTGTCCATTTTTAGGTGCCAAAGAATAACAATTTAGCTCGTTAACTTGTTTTTTTACTCTCTATCTAGTATCATCTATGCTTGAACTTAATCTCTAAACCCCTGGCATGTTTTGGCTTTGAGTACTCAAATAATTGAGATAGAGTAAACTGTAAGCATCTCATGCATGGAATGGGGCACTGTCAAAGTTCTTACCGGTACTGTAGCCATTTTCGTCAGTTAAAGATACATTATGGGAGATTAGATAAAGAGCTGGCAGTTCTCACTATAAATTATAATAGTTAAAAACTAGGTAATGTAAAGAGAATTTGCTGAAAATTTCAGTCAAATTGATCCACTATGAACCAAGATTTTAGCGATTGAATTTTTGGCCTAGCCTCAATCATTACTAAAGTCTGTACAATAAAAAACATAGTCTCAATTATCCACTTCATGATTAAATCATGAGTGAAAGTTGAGCAGCAAATCGATTCCTAATCCAGTAAATATCGCGGCTAGCCAGGCCATCCAGAGTTGATTATAGTCTGGATAAGTTAATTAATGTCTAATTAATAATTTAAATAACATTTCAGGCCTAAAGAAAGAAATGAAATAGGCAGATTTAGCTCTTGCATAATGTATGTTTGAGGTACTATGTTTTATTGAAAATTTTCATTTGATGATTACCCTAATTTATTTAATTTATTTTATTTTCATTACCTTACTATAATTGTTTTCAGTAGGCTAAGATATAAACATCAATAAAAAGTCAATATGGCTTCCAGACCACTTCCAAATACTTCCCATGGGAGGTCATTTTCAGCCAATCGAAGTAATGGAAGTACAGCAGCTAAATCAACCCGGAATGGTCAGATGTATCCAGTTATTAAACAGAGGGGATATTATTCTGATATTATAAGTAGTGAAGATCCACCAGAAAGATTGGAGGTGCAGATTTATTTACTTTTTTTTTTACCATATAAACATTACATTCTTGCTCTTTAAACTGAGTTTAGGCTAATCTTGACAATTTAATAAATACAGAGGAAGCCATATGTATTGGAAATATTATTAATTTAAAAAAGGATTACAGGGACTAAACCTACCATTTAGCTTTAGAAATTTTCATTTGTGTGGATTTTTTTTGCATTTTAATTTTCTTTTTCAGGACATTTTAAGTGGTCCTGAGACTTTACAGGGTACACTATGGAAAGTTAAAACCGAGAAACACACTCCTTTAGGTAAGATAATTTAAAATTGCTGAATCATAATGTTTAATAACTGGTATTATGGAGTAAAATGCAATCCACTTGAAGTTATTTTCATTCTTGATTATTAACCATGTCATATACTTAATTAATAGTGGCTTGTCAGTGGTGCAGGACGGAGGGCCTGACAAGGACAGTTGTCTAGTCATTCAGATGGGACAAAAAACAAGGTCCTATGTACACATTGGCGTGCATGTAAAAGATCCCTTGGCAGTTGGAATTCGATATAAGAGTAGGCCGTAATGGTGCTGTCCGGGCAAAATTTCCCTCATAGCACACTGTATGGTGTATGCCCATCTTCATCAGCATAGTCGGAGCAGAACAGTACAACGTTAAACTTCATTTCATATATTTGATATTTTTAGTAACAACATTTAAAGTTCCCACAACAGAAGTTTTGGAGAAAGAATTAGAAGAACATGTATATGGACCAAGTACCGAGTTAACTACTGTAACTGTAAGTTGATTTTTATCATGACATTATCTATTTAATTTGTTACACTAATTGATTAAAACTCCATGTTAATTTGTGTAATCAATGCTTAATCATACTGCTAATTTAAGTCCATAAACAAATTGGTTGAAAAAGTGGGTGGAGAGCAGAATCATTACTTCACACTGTTTTAGAATAATCCAAGAATATATAATTTGCTTCCTGATAATTTTGATTAATGGGCTGTTTGCTTTTGGGAGATTTTAATACTGTTATCTTATGTATGTAATTTTTGTTGTAGGATTTCTCATTGAAAGCCTCCGAGCCAAAAGTCCAGCTCCCTTTTTACACTCAACCTGGTGATTGTCCACGTAAAATAGAGATTGAGAGGTATGCAAAACATAAATGCCTTTTCTGAATTTGTTTAGACCCACAAGGAGTTTAAACTCTAATTAGAAATAGTTAAGTATCTAATAGCCAATAGTATTTCAATGTTAATTGTTGACATCTTAATTACTTTATTGTAGGAGAAGACGCCATTATGCCCAACTTGATTTGAAAGAACTATTAGAAGAACTGAATATTTCCACAGATCAATTAATGCCAAGACAAATAGTGAACAACAATGTTATTTTAAATCAAGAAGAAGGTGAGGCAGCACCCTTTCCACCCTATTTACCTCTAGACATATTTGATGATGAAGAATATGATTGTAGAACACCAGATGAATGGATTAAACTTGGACAAACTAATGGAACCAGAAAACCTGTGCCTGGAAAGGCACTATTACCAACATTGGACAGTGATGCGAAAAGTAAGTCTAACTAAGATTATGATGGTGATTTTGATATTATCTTGGGTAATAAAAAGAGTAATTTCTGAAACTTCAAACTAATCCTATACATAAAATACAATACTTATTAGGGCTGAATAAATTTAATAGTTAAAAAAAAAAATATGCGTCATCGACTTGGAAATGAAATTTGGGTAAAACTTGGTACAGATTAGATACAACATATTGTTGATGTATTTCATTTAAAAAAAAAAAATTGAAAATTGAATCTGGTTTTTTTTTTCATGAGAGAAATTTGATGTTTTATTTGTAGAAGATCCAACTGATCCGTCTATTGTGTATGACTGGTTTAAAGTGGGTGTATTAGATTATGACTTCAAAACAAAACAATACCTTGTACAAAAACTTGATACTGATGGCCGTGTTTCAAATACAGTTGCGACACCAGAAAAAGGTAAGTAATTTGAGAGTTTCAATTTTTAAAAGATTTGTTTACATGCTTTTTTTTAAACACTGAGTTGGTATGTAATGCATGCCACAACTATGGCATAGGTAATATTCTCAAGCAATAAACTTCACTAGATGATTCCAATAAGGGTAATATTGTTAATTCTGGACATGTTTTTGCTCTTTAATCTCCAACTGTATGACTGAGCGGTATGTTTGCACTATACAGGGATTCTTCCACCCATCTTCTGTAGTTCCAGTAAGGAAATGATTCGGCAATCTTCAATATTGATTTTATTTATGTATTTTAGAAAAAGGTAAAAAAAATTTATTGAAGCCAGCCCATTCTTCACTAAGGTTTATTAGACATGGATAATTTTATAATAATAAGAGTCTTTGCACAGATGTTTTTCTTTTGTAATTTATAGGTGAGAGACCTGCTGCAAATAATCAGTCATGGATTCCAAGAATCCGCTTGGTGTTCAGTGCGGAAGATCCACGGTTATTTGCCAGACGTCTAGCCACTGCATTTGAAGAACGTAAGAAATGTGAAGCAGAATTGCGATATAATTTGTATATAGATTGTATGCCTATGGATGGTGTAGGAGAATTGGATCAAGCCTCACTTAAACGAATGATAGAATGGGCTAAAGGTGCACCAGGGTTATCTAAAGACAAAAAGTAAGTAACCTCAATACCCCAACTTGATCAATATTAGCTTTTCCTATCTTAATTATCTTCATAAGATTTACTGCCTGAAATGTTCTACTTCCAAATTTTATGCATAATAATCTTCAAGATTACTTTTTGTGCAACATCGAGTTCTCTCTTCCACTTATATTTAATCATTTCCCTGAAATGAATATACTTAAATTAAGAATAGTATGGGATATGATAATTAAGAGACCTTTATTAGTAACTATGTTCAAAAACTGAAAATCAGGTGTTCATTCTATTGTTTCATAATATGAGCAGGTTTAAATCGACTAATAAAGGGAAGTTTGATTAATATTCCCCAGTTATTAAAGGAAATAAAATGTAAAAGAATAATCATAAAGTTGAGGGTTATTTTCAAATATGGAACACTTTTTTTGCAATAAAATAAAAAATGATTTTATGTTTCAGTCTTGAAGATTATGTTCAAGTTTTAGAGAAAGAAGTGAACATAGATTTCTGTCGTTCAATGAACAGAATAATATTTGAACTTACCGTAGATCAAGATCCCGAGACATTTGCATTTGTCAGTGTACCTCCACCAGATATACAAGAAATTCCAGAAAAAGGTAAGAAACTTATTGGTTAATTCTTAGACTGGAGGTAGGGATGCTTATTTTTTTCCCAGAAAATATGATAACTAGGTTGATCTGTGAGATGGGTATTCATGTAGTTCTATTTAAATTCCAGTTTTGTATTATTAGGTGCATGTACACACATAAGCTACAGGTTGAATTTTCTGAGAAGTTTCAATAAAAATAAAAATCTCAGGGTTACTATGCACACTTCTATGTACAGCTCCCCATGAAGCTGTACATACGTGTCATAAATACCTGTGCAAAGAATTCCAGAAACTTGGCCAACAGTGTTTGTTAAATCAGTACTGGGTATTTAGGCTGATCTAGATATAGCTTTAAAATTAATTATGTCTTATCACTTTAACCTTTAATTAGCTAAATAAATATAACTTATTTTTTTAATAGCATGTTGTATGGATGTACCAGAATATACATTTGATGAACAGTATGACAGTTTTGCGTTTAATTCTATATTAACACGAGAAGAAAGTATACAAGCTACCGAGAGAGTACGAACAGATTGTAATAAAGTATCTGGAATGTCATTATTTCACATACCTACAGCTAAGGCTATGAGATTAGAAGAATTTGAACAAACACAATCTCAAGCAACTTCACAGGTATTAATTATTTAAAAAATAACTCCTGTATTAAATCTAGATTTTTATACGCCCACATTTTTAGTTTGTGGATTCCTCTAGAGGTCACAATTTTCTATCCGATTTTAAAACCGTTTAAGTATATCACCTTTCCACCATAATGATGGTTGAATTTCGGGAAAATCGAAATGAAACTGCCCGACAAAATGGCCGCTCTTTTTACGCAAATTGTCTAAAAGTATGCAATGCAAAGGTTGTGGACCCTCTAGAGGTCACAGTTTTTATCCAATTTTGATGAAACGTAAAATATATCTTTATATCCCAAAGATCTCGGTCCCCTTTGATATTTGCGCATTTCGGACCATAGCTTTCTGGATTATGGCCCCTGATTGTACAGAAAATCGCTTTTGTTTTTAGCTTGTTCTCTATCCATCTCTTTCAATATTTATGTATTCACTGTGAAACAGAGAAGTAGAATGAACCATTTGTTGGTCATATTGGGGGTGATCGTTTCATGGGACTTTTCAGAGTGGTGGAATGGCTATTGAGTGAAGCGAAATATAGTCTTGTCACAGTTCTGACGGTCTGTAAGTGGTGTGAGCACACTCATGATGTAATCAATAGTTTCACTATCATGTTCATTTGGTGCATTCAATTCCAGAGTTTCTGATCCACTTTTACTAATTTTGGCCTTGATTCCAGACTGTCTCAAGGATGAATAAAGTTTTTTGATATATTTTATTTTTTAAACAGGTATCACTGTTCCTGAAAGATAGTTGGATAACTAATCTAAGAAATCACATTAGAACTGCATTACGTGATGTTGTTAAAGGATGGTTTAACATTCATGAAACAAACTGGGAAGTTTATCAAATATCTAAATTAAAGAAATTTATGGAAATGGTGAAGTTTATTATGCAGGTAAACATTTTTGTGCTATCTTTACTAAATTGATAGTGTTAATCCTTTAGCACTTTGACTGATCTAGTCACATGAATAGCTGTGGCATCCTCAAGAATTAGTTGGAAGTAGTTTATAGGGAACAGTAGTTTCAGAAGATTTCTGGCTCTTTATCAGCCTGAATGGTTTAGCACTGATAACAGAGCAGACAGTGCTGCACACTTAGCCAAATATGCATCACCGACTGCACTGGCTGTATATTTTTATATACACCTGAGATTGATGTGAGGTAGTCTTCACATACTTAATTGAAAAATTTTTATATTATAGGATACCTTGAGGTTTTTGGTTCAAGATTCTGTACAGAGTTTTACTCAGATGGTGATTGATGCCTGTCACACAACTTTACAACTACAAGATGATTTTGTTTGGGGAGATGATGTCATGAAGAGTGTTTACAGGTACATTTTTTATGTCTTTTCCAGAAATAAGTTATTTTTCTCTCGAAAAAAATTAATTCAATTCATTAGTCAGAAAACTCTTGATCATAAATATTTGTATCACATGAATGTTAATTAGTATTTGTGCACACACCCTACTACTGATCTTTTGAAAGGTCCAGTCTGTATGTGGCTTGCTCTCATTCAGAATAGACTATTGAAAATAAGTTTTAATTGAAGATAACCGGTTTATTTCATTACAGACTATTAGAAAAAAATATTTTATATTTCAGACCGAAGAAGAATGCCTTGTTTCTAGTAGATTTAACTATGGATACCCAGGGTGTACATTATAGTACTAACTTAAATTCATTTGAAATAACTCTTGTATCATTGTTTGATAAAGGTATACATTCAACACAGAATGTACCACAATTAGAAAAGGTATGTACTACACATTTGGCTATTCTTAGATATCTCAAACAGTCAAGATGTGACAAACATTATTATTTAGATATCAGATAAACTTGTAACATACTTTTATTGTAGATGAATGTTTCTTATGTTTATAAGCTCATCAACTTCTGAACTGCTTGGTTTGTGCTTAGTCAGAAATGTATTTACCTGCAGGCACTCCTGGACAAAGTTAAACGTTACTGTTCATTGTCTCTCTTTTAAAAAAACTGAGTAATTCAAAATGCTGACACATAAAAATAGAAATTCTATTTATTTTCTTTCAGTATATATTAGAAGATATTTTCTGGTCAGGTACACCATTATTAGAATCTGTTGGAGAACATGAACCACCTATAGAAATATTACGAGATACAGTACGATCATCTATTAGACAAGCTCTTATACCTATGAAAGCTTATGCTAGAGAATACGAAAAGTACCTGGAACTAATGAATATGGATATAAATGTCTATGTCAAGTATGTTATTAATTTTAATATTAGAGAAGTTGAAAGATTTTTTCTCAGAACCCACATTTTTGAATTTATACATTTTTGCTTGTATTTTGTAATGGTAAATGTTGATGATAATTTAATACATGGTTTATGATGTTCAATGTGTTTTTGTTTTTGTGCAGTGGACGCTTACGGCTAGCCCCCGGATCCATTCTTTTTTTTGAAATGTCTGTGTTTTCCTGTGTATGATGTCTTGTCCATGTATTTGTTTTTTTTGTAAATTTTGTGTGGTGCAGTCCCCCTGCACTTACTATTATATAAAGCTTGACATATTTTGGAGGATGCATATGATTTTTTATTGTTGTAGAAACTATGAAGCCCAGAATCATACAGCTGCTGAGGTTAAAAGTGAGGTAGAGATGCATCTTGAAGAAAAAGAGAAAATAGAACAGTCCTTACCAAGCCGTATATCTATAGGACCATTTGAAATCAATACTGATACTATTCGTCAGGCTCTAGCTAAGAAGCGTAAAGCACTAGCTAATGCTGTATTGGAATTATTAGCTAGACAGCTACGTAAACAAGCTGATGATGTAAGTTATATTTGTACTTCTACAATTTCATTTTTTATCTCAATTAGAAGGTTTATTAGCTTGACAGCTATATAAACAAGCTGATGATTTAAGTTATATTATACTTCTAAAATCCTAAAATCTACTTCTACAATCTCATTTTTTATCTCAATTAGCTGGTTTATTAGCTAGACAGCTATGTAAACAAGCTGCTGATGATGTAAGTTATATTTTACTTCTACAATTTCATTTGTTATCGCAACTAGCTGTGTTTGAAGCAGTATTCATTGACTTTTTAATTGTTTTATTGCTACTTATTTATTCTTCTCAATTTTATTTCTAGGCATGTGAAGAATTTAAAGCCATAAGTCGAAAACTGTATGAAAAACCAAACTGTATAGAAGAATTGTCTGAAATTAGGGAATGGATGAAAGGAATTCCAGAGAAACTTAAAGAACATACGGTAATTCATTTGTTAAAAAAATATCAGATAACAAGATTATTAGTATCCCTATCTTATAACATAAACAATCTGTTATTTTTACTTATAATGTTAAAGAACAGTTCCATGTAGCAGGGGAATTATTACAACATTTTTAACATCACAGTTTTCTTGGTAACTTATAAAGAGAATGTTCCTCCTTCCTTATTTGTATCTTGTTTATTGTATTGTCAACTGATAATAGAATATATTTGTATTTCAGGAATTAATTGATAAAGCTATGAGTGATTATGAACTGATTGAAGAGTTTTATTATAACTTGCCAACAGATGACTTTAATGCCAAGTAAATACTTTATACTTTTAATTTAACCATTGAGTATGCTGCTCTTGGTTTTAGTTGTAAACCTCATCTTGTAGTTACAATTTTATCAAGACAGATACATTTGAACAATAGTAACATTTATTCCTTACTAAATTCTACATTAACAAAGGCAATGTTCTAAGTATCACTCATGTTACAGTAGAGTAGTGTGGTTCCTAAACTTTGGGGGGGGGGGGGGGGCATGATCCACCTAAACCAGCTTTAGCTGATTGATGTTTAATCTAGCCGATTGGTAAAAACAATCTACTTTCGCTAGAAAACAACAGGTTAATTATTACTTGTTAATTAAGAAGTCAATCAGCTTGCTTGTCGGCTATGACAATAGTCAGTGGTTCATAATCAGAGTAGCCTAATTAGCACATTTAACAGTAATTTTGATAATACGGTAAAAAAGCAAAACAAGCTTGCTGATTATTCATAACAGGTCAGTAAGCTGCTTTTGTAAAAAAAAAAACATGTGGCAAAAGAAGACGATCTTGGCATGGTTTGCCAATCAAGCGATTGCAGGAATTCCTCGTAGTCAACATTAATGGGTTCAGAAAAGTTTGTTCTTAATACATAATTTTCCTTCTTTTATATTCAATTTGTGTGATGTTGGTAATCACTGCTGTAGAGAGTATAGGTTGATATCTCTGTATATTGATTAGAGTATGTGATATATATTTTTAGATGGACAACTGTTGGATGGCCTCATAAGATTGAACGTCAAATGGAACAAACCTATCTCCAGCTAGAGGCAGATGAAGAACGATTCCGTAAATTACAATCCTCAGATCAAACTAACTTTGAAGATAGGATGGACAACCTTCAGGTACAAACATCATCTAGAAAAGAGATCATTTCAAAGATTACCAGTCTAGAAATTATTTCAAAGATTACTAGTCTAGAAATTATTTCAAAGATTACTAGTTTAGAAATTATTTCAAAGATAAATAGTCAAGAAATTATTTCAAAGAATCTAAACTTACTTCAAAAGATAACTAGTCTGGAAATTATTTCAATAAAAAACTTGTCTAGAAATTATTTCCAGGATAACTAGTCTATAAATTATTTCAAGGAATAACTAGCCTAGAAATTATGTCAAGGATTAATCAGTATAGAAATTATTTAAAAAATAACTAGTCTAGAAATTATGTCAAGGATTAATTAGTGTAGAAATTATTTCAAGGAATAATTAGTCAAGAAATTATTTCAAACGTCATGACTCAACAATTTAATGTCATGTTGCTACCATTAAAATAATTTGGTTGAATTAAAATCATTCTATATGATTACTTTAGATTTTCCGATTCTATGCATGTTTCATATAATATTTGTGTGTTTCAGATGGTTGTGGCTGGTATGGCTGCCTACACTGATATAACCAAGGCTACTGAAATAGCCAATGAGGTACGACGAGTACATAAGCAACTGAAGGAAGCCCAAACAATGTCTTCTGTTTATAATAATCGTGAAAGATTGTTTGGCATGCCAACTACTAGTGTAAGTGAACATAAAAACAATGATCAAGTTACTTTCTTATTTTCTCAATTCTATTTCAGAATGGATGCATTTTAATTTTTGTGATTGTTAACATTTAATTTCAGATCTGGTGTTAATCTAGTTCTTAGTTAATGTTTTGATAATTTCATCTTGCTCACTAATTGTTTTTTGAAGATTTTTTTTTGCAGTTTTTGTTTTAATTGTTAAACTAGTTTCACAACAATCACCGTTCACTCACAGCCAGAGGACAGTGATCACAGATGCTTGGACTTAATTTTGTTTACTTGGACGTTCTCGTCAAGTTTGCCAAATTATCATATTTAAAGAAAGAAAGGTTCCTCGGATATATAGCACACTGCATGGTAGATAATAGATAGACTGCACCACATAATTCGAATATTGTTTTATCATTAACATAACAAGTTTTACACCATGTTATTGTTAAAACAGTATGTGTATTTATTGAGCATGTTGACAATGTAATGCATGATAGATTAAAATATTTTGAGTTTTTCTAGATGTGATGTAGTAATGATTATTATTTAGTAAATGGCACAACATGTTTTAGTCAATTTCACAACATTTTTAGTAAATGACACAACTATTGGGTAAACAAGTTTAATCTCTTGACCATCAAAGAAGCCGCCACACCTATATACATGTGTTCAGTTATCTTTGTCACACGACTGAACTAAACTAAGGTTTTGCGTGTACATGTTATTTTTGGTATAGTGAAACAAACGGCAGAGAATTTTCTCGCTTTTTGACTCGTTATTGTTCTAATGTTTCCGAACCTTGCTGATAATAAAATTTGAAACAATAATATCAAATTAGGCATGCTTGTACATTTTATATGCCATATGAAGCCACATTTTTTTTTAAAGACGAAACGAAATGTCAAATAATAACCGCTTGAATTAATTATCTGGGGTAAATAATGACTTGGGGAAAGGTTTCAGCTGACTGCCATAAAACAACATTTCTTTCATTCATTTATTCCATGAAAATTGATTAGTATTTTACAATGACAAGTTTTGGGTTTAACATAGTTGATTAATATGATATGTCACATGGGATGTCTGGGCCAATCAGCAAACAAGTTTGCTAAGGTTGTTTACGTTTTTTAAACTCATTTCTACTCGATGAAAGTGATATCATTGGTGAAAGTGATATCATCGGTAAAAGTGCAATTAATTGATTGTCGTCTATTTATTTCGGTGGGGGACATCAGCCTCACTGTTGGCTTGTTTAGATGTGTGATGTTCTTTTAATCTTTGTATCGTACATGAAGAGTTTAAATGCAAAGTGCAGCTGATTCATTTTTATACGTCCACATTCATAATGTGAACGTATTATGCCGTCGCCCTTGTCTGTGTGTGTGTGTGTGTGTATGTATGTATGTGTGTGTGTGTGTGTGTGTGTGTGTGTGTGTGTGTGTCTGTGGTTCGCCTACAGGGCGCAATTCTTCATGGATTTTCTTCAAACTTGGTATACTTATTCCTTATACCCCAAGGAAGATCCCTATTGTTTTTGGTGCATGCCCGACCCCCCGGGGCAGAGCCACGCCCATTTCTAGTATTTGTTTGTTTGTCGTCTACAGGCCACATTTCTTAACTAATAATCTTGAAACTTTGCATACACATTCTTTGTACCCTAAGGAACATCCCTATCGTTTGGGGTGCATGCCCAACCCCCAGGGGCAGAGCCACGCCCATTTTCTTTTCGTGTGTCTTTGTGTCGCCTACAGGGCGCAATTCTTACTGGATTTTCTTCAAACTTGGTATACTTATTCCTTATACCCCAAGGAAGATCCCTATTGTTTTTGGTGCATGCCCGACCCCCAGGGGCAGAGCCACGCCCATTTCTAGTATTTGTTTGTTTGTCGTCTACAGGCCACATTTCTTAACTTATAATCTTGCATACACATTCTTTGTACCCTAAGGAACATCCCTATCGTTTGGGGTACATGCCCAACCCCCAGGGGCAGAGCCACGCCCATTTCCCATTTTCTTTTCGTGTGTCTTTGTGTCGCCTACAGGGCGCAATTCTTACTGGATTTTCTTCAAACTTGGTATACTTATTCCTTATACCCCAAGGAAGATCCCTATTGTTTTTGGTGCATGCTCGCCTCCCCGGGGCAGAGCCACGCCCATTTTTTGTATTTGTTTGTTTGTCGTCTACAGGCCACATTTCTTAACGTATCATCTTGAAACTTTGCATACTTATTCTTTGTACCCTAAGGAACATCCCTATCGTTTTGGGTGCATGCCCAACCCCCAGGGGCAAAGCCACGGCTATTTTCTTTTTTATGTCTGTGTGTCGCCTACAGGCCACAATTCTTAATCAATCGTCTTGAAATTTTTTCATATGAATTGCTTATACCCTAACGATGATCCCTATTGTTTTTTTTACCCCCAGGGGCAGAGCCACGCCCATTTTCTTTTCTTTTTCTGTCTGTGTGTCACCTACAGGCCACAATTCTTAATCGTCTTGAAAAAATTTCATATGAATTGCTTATACCCTAACGATGATCCCTATTGTTTTTGGTGCATGCCCGACCGCCAGGGGCATAGCCACGCCCATCCATTATATTTATTTATTTGTTTGTCATCTACAGATCGCATTTTTTTATCGTATCACCTTGAAACCTAGCATACATATTCCTTCTGTCCTAAGGAACATCCCTATTATTTGTGGTGAATACCCAACCCCCAGGGGCAGAGCTACGCCCATTTTCTTTTTTTATGTCTGTGTGTCACTTGCAGACCGCATTTCTTAATCGATCATCTTGAAAACTTTTTTATACTTATTCCTTATAGCCTAAGGCTACTATTTATACTTATTCCTTAATCCTAAGGCCGACCTCTATTATTATTTTTGGTGCATGCTCGACCCCTTGGGACAGAGCCACGCCTAATGTTTGTGTGTCTTGTGTTTTGCCTACAGACCGCAATTCTTAACAGATCCTTTTGAAACTTTGCATACCTATTCGAAACGCCATGCTTTTAGAATAAAGACATCGATTGTTTTAAAATAAAATTGTGTTCTGTTAATGTGAACGAAGTGTTAAACTGATAGCAGTCCTACAACCCAGTTTTATTTCACAGACCCTCAATGCAAACTGGACCATATCAAACAAAACAGGAATGTGGACGTATATTGCTGCGTTAGCGATGCTCTTGTAATCAACTTGATGCAACTTACAATTACAGTATATATTTAATCATTTGAGTAAGGTATTTAATCTGTGGTACCGGTATTTGATACTGCACTCTAATTATAGACAGAAAATAAAATCCCTAATATTTAGATCGACAATATATCTGACTGCACAATTTTTACAATTTATGGCAGGAATGACGTATACTGCATTTTGCATTGAAACTCTTTACATTAGCCTTAGCATGTGACTCTTTTATTTAGGAATTTTTTTTACAACTGATGTGAAAATAGGCTTTATATTTTAGCTGTTTATTGTAGATGTGTGGTATTATGTAGATGGTATATAAATATATTATTTATCGTGTGTTTCTTTAATATCTATCTACATCTATTATAGTGTCATAAAGTATAGGTGGGACCAATAGTTTTCTTTTTAAAATTACACATTTTGAACTATGTGAGATTTTATTTTGACCCTTTCCAAAACAAAATTGAAAGTCATAGCTCCACAAGCAGTTTGTGGGGTTTTTTAATATTCAGATGTTTTACTAATTCCAAACCTGTACTTTATGATTTGTAGAATTAAGTATATGTATATATGTGTGAAACCTATAATATATTATTATTAGATAATTGTAGCCAGCTTATTGCACACTATATATAGTATATGGGGAAGACATTTTGATTTTTTAGTATGATAAACTGTCAAGACTTGCCAAGGACTTTGAGCCTTTCCGAAATCTTTGGATCACTGTGTCTGAATGGCAACGTTGGCATGAAAGCTGGATGAATGATCCACTGTCTGCTATTAATGCTGAAGAAGTAGAGAAAAATGTGAATGAATCTTATAAAACGATGCACAAATCTGTGAAGATCTTCCAAGACATTCCCAGTAGGTTTATTTATTTTTATACCTTTATGATGGATTACTGCTTTTTTTTTAGAGGGGGGTGGATGGCTGAATGGTTAGCGTGCGCGCTGTACCATAAAGTCTGTCATTGAGTCAACTGGCGTCGTTTCGAATCACCAGTTGTACGTGGCAAGGAATAGGTTCGCCTGTCCAACCTTGTGGGTTTTCTCCGGGTCCTCCGGTTTCCTCCCACTGCTAAAGACCCCTACGCACAAGCGAATTATTGAAATAAAATTAAACCATATGTTAGTCCCGAAATGACCTAGTTTGTGTCGAGTGGACGTTAAACCCCATTTCTCTTTCTCTCTCTTTTTTTTTAGACTTTTCAAGTGATACCGCGGAGGGCCTGACAAGGACAGCTGTCTAGTCCTTCGGATGAGACAAAAAAAACGAGGTCCCGTGTATATATTGGAATGCACGTAAAAGATCCCCTGGCAGTTGGAATTCGATATAAGAGTAGGCGATAGTGCCGCTGCCCTGGCAAAATTTCCCTCATAGCACACTGTATGGCGTATGCCCGTCTTCATTAGCCCAGTCCGGAGCAGAACAGTTGGACGTTAAACCCCATTTCATTTCCAAGTGATACCGATGCATGACTTAGAATGGGCCGAAGTGACTTGCTTTTATTTACCAAGACTGTTTTAATAGGCATGAGAGATATCCGGTTCCAAAATGATCTTGTAATAATTTTAAGTTTACATTTGTATAAATATCTTGCACACATACTAGGGTATGGTCCGGTCTCTTTTTTCCAGTGCAGAGTTGAAGCCCAGTATTTTAATGTCGTATGTGTATGATTTACTTGACTGGTATTTATTTTCTTTGTGATATATTTCAGGTGTTCAACTAGTTCCTACAGAGATAAAACAAGCTATAGAAGAATTTAAACCATTTATACCACTGATTCAAGGTTTACGTAATCCTGGTATGAGAAACAGACATTGGGAACAGGTAGATTGTTTTATATAGTACCCAGTATCCAAACTGACCATAGAGGAGATATAAAGTGGCAGAATAGTTTATTGTATTATTATGCGATAGGCCTACATATTTTCAGACAATCTAACAAATCTTTTAAGCTTTAGAATCCCCTTCATATTTTTTCTCAAAATTATTTGGGGACTGGAATATTTTTCTTTCTTAATATAATTTTCTGAGGAGTGAAGTTTTCTCTTGATTTATCTGATATTTGTGTAAATGAAAATAAATACTGTTTTCTAATATAGCTATCTGAGGATCTGGGATTCCCAGTAAGACCAAAAGCTAATCTGACATTTTCTAAATGTCTAGAGATGAAACTACAGGATCATATTACTGTCATAGCAAAGGTAGCAGAAGTGGCAGGAAAAGAATATTCTATTGAAAATGTAAGTATCTCTCTGGAATTAATTTCTTGTGTTGAGATAATGAAGATGTCGTGGCAATTTGTTTAATAACCGCGGGACATTATTCTTCTTCCTTACAGCTGTTTATAGCACTAATCATTTATTCGTCTTTCATTTTAGGCTTTAGATAAAATGGAGAAAGAATGGGAACCTGTTAGTTTTGAGATTATGCCATATAAAGATACAGGAACGTTTATTTTACGTAGCTCAGAAGACACATCACAGCTATTAGATGATCATATTGTAATGACACAGAGTATGTCTTTCTCTCCATATAAAAAACCTTTTGAAGAGAGAATCAGTAGCTGGGAGAGTAAATTACGAACAACTCAGGTTTGTTACATTTCTGTTACATTACTGGCACTTTAATCACAACCAGTAACTAATACATCATCATTATTAGCCACAATTTGATTTAGTGTAATAATAATGGTGTACTCAAAAGTAATATTGAAAATTGTTCCATTTTATTATAGGATGTGTTGGATGAATGGCTACAGTGCCAGAGAGCATGGCTGTACCTGGAACCTATTTTCAGTTCCGAAGACATTAATCGACAACTACCCGTAGAGAGTAAACGTTATCAAACTATGGAGAGAATCTGGAGAAAGATCATGAAAACAGCTAAAGAAAATCCACAGGTTAGATAATAAACTCTGCCAGGCAAATCTTTCCATCATTCATAACTTATTTTAATAGTTACTGTCCTAATTCAAGATTTTTATCATCAAAGAATAAAAGGAGTGTAGTGTGATGAGGGGAAATAAAAGTTAACTTTTTATAATTTAATTTATTTGAAATAAAATAAGTATACATTTGTTTTTTGGGTTTTTTTTTTCTACAATAGGTCATCTCCTTGTGTCCTGATAATCGACTATTGGATAATTTACGAGAATGTAATAAATTATTAGAACAAGTACAGAAGGGATTGAGTGAATACCTGGAAACGAAACGTAACTCTTTCCCACGATTTTACTTTTTGTCTGATGATGAACTATTAGAGATCCTGTCCCAGACTAAAGATCCTACAGCTGTACAACCCCATCTTAAAAAATGCTTTGAAAACATTGCTAAGGTATGTCTTACAATTTCGATATATTTCAAATGATGGTCGAAAGGTTTACTCCTTTTCGTAAGAATCCATTAGAATTTTCCTTTTAATAAATATTTATTTCTAGACCTGAAATTGGAAAACCAAACTTTTACTCATTCTCTGGATTTTTGAAATTTGACAGTTACCTTTTAAAATGTTAATGTTCACTTTGCAGCTTAAATTTGAGGATGATTTACGAATCAGTAAGATGTTTTCTGGAGAAGGTGAAGATGTTGAATTACGTGAGAAACTATATCCAACTGGTAACGTAGAAGACTGGATGTTGGAGATTGAACGTATCATGAGAGAAAGTTTAAGATTGATTATCAAGGAAGCTTTAGTTAACTATACAGAAGTAAGTTGTTTGTTTTTTTTATTTTTAACAGAATATTTAAGGTATAAAATGCCCCAGGAAATGTAGAATAAGAAAAATAATTGTGTAATATGAGCAAAAGTTGTCGGATTCTGAAGCACATCAGATAATTATGGATGAATTTGGGAAAAATGAAGTATTTGCCACATGATGGCACCACTCACGCCGTTAGCAAGTAGTATCAGGCATTTTGAAAAACTAAGCATACACTTCCTCCTGCAACACAACTGTCGCAACTGGTGGCTATATGGTCAAAACTTTTATCAATGTTCATTTCTTCGATGATATATTTGTTTTTGTAATTTTCAGATTCCTAGAACAGAATGGGTTCTTAACTGGCCTGGTCAGGTGGTCATTGCTGGATGTCAGACTCACTGGAGTACAGAAGTTACAAAAGCTTTAGAAGAAAATAATCTCAAGGAATTGTTCCAGCATTTATTATCTCAATTAGATGATTTACGAAATTTGGTTCGTCAGGATATTAGTAGAATTGGAAGAATGACATTGTCTGCTTTAATTGTAGTGGAAGTACACGCTAGAGATGTTGTTAGTAAGATGGTAACAGAGGAAGTTTCTGGTGCCAATGATTTTGAATGGATCAGTCAGTTGAGGTAGGCTTTGAGAATTAACCCTGATCATTTTAAACTGATTTGTTGACATTTTATTATTGTTCAAATTTCCATACATGTACAAAACCTTGATGGCTGCTTTAGAATGAAAAGGAAAATGGAAATAGTCCGATACCTAAACTTATGACTTTTCGAAATTTCTTGCTAAGTTAAAGTATATCTTTTTTTTTTTTTCAGATATTACTGGTTAGAAGATGAGAATCTATATACCCGTGCTGTAAATGCTCAGTTTAAGTATGGTTATGAATATCTAGGTAATACTAGTAGATTGGTTATAACACCATTAACAGATAGATGTTATCTTACATTAACTGGTGCTCTTCATCTTAAATTTGGTGGTGCACCTGCTGGACCTGCTGGTACCGGTAAAACAGAGACTACAAAGGTAAACAACTTAATTGGTGCTTTACTCATTTCAAAAGTCTTATTTTATGAAAAACTGAATTAACTAGAATAAAATACAAGTGCTGAAATACCTAGGTCAAGACAAAACTATATTTTGAAGCTAAAACATTCATAATGTAATTTCTACATAATTATTATACCTTATTTCTACATAATCGTTATACATTATTTCTATATAATTATCATACATTATTTCTACATAATTATCATTCATTATTTCTACATACTTATCATACATTATTTTCTTTCTACATAATTATCATACATTATTACTATACATTATTTCTACATAAGTGTTATACATTATTTCAACATAAGTATTATACATTATTTTTACATATTTATCATACATTTTACTATACATTATATCTACATATAAGTGTTATACATTATTTCTACGTAAGTATTATACAGTATTTCTACATATGTGTTATACATTATTACTATATATTATGTCTAAAAAGGTTTATGCAATGTTTCTACATATGTGTTATACATTATTTCTACATAATTATTATTATTATACATTATTTCTACATGTGTTATACATTATTTCTATGTCATATATTATTTCTACATTATTTTATTACTATTTCGGCATAAATATTTTACATTTTATCTACACCATTACTGTACATTATTTCAAAGCTGCTAATTTAATATTTTTCAGGATTTGGCTAAAGCTATGGCCATTCAATGTGTTGTGTTTAATTGTTCAGATCAACTGGATTTCATGGCCATGGGAAAGTTTTTGAAGGGTCTTGCCAGGTAAAAATTACTGTTTTTCTTCATCATTTGTTAAAATTGAAATATAAAAGAAGATGAATTGTAATTTAATTGAAAATGTCTTTAATCCTATTTTTAGCTCTGGAGCATGGGCATGTTTCGATGAGTTTAATCGTATTGATATTGAGGTGTTGTCTGTTGTGGCTCAGCAAATTACTACTATACAAAAAGCCCAACAAAATAGGGTGAGACATAGAAGAAATTGTAGCAGGCCTCCTTTTATTATAGCATTTAGCTTTATTTCCTTATATTATACTATTTTCTACTGGATTCCTTGTAGACTTAGTAAATCCTTAGACGATTCACCTGTTGTTCTCTGACTGTAGCTTATATCTGATATCTTTAGTTAGTTAGTCATACTGTTTCGCATTTATTAATAGAACTGGAAATACACAGGACACAATTCTATGAATACATTTACTGTATGTTAACTTGATAAACATTATAAAATCCTAGTCGAAACATCACTCAGAAATACACAATATTCCATAGAATTGTCTGTGTATATTTATACAGTTTTGTCATATTAGACAATATTCCATAGAATTGTCTGTGTATATTTATACAGTTTTGTCATATTAGACAATATTCCATAGAATTGTCTGTGTATATTTATACAGTTTTGTCATATTAGACAATATTCCATAGAATTGTCTGTGTATAGTTATACAGTTTTGTCATATTAGTCAGTGTTAAATGTAGTTGTAAGTCATTATATATATTGATATAATAGCCTTATGTATACCTTCTAATTACCATCATAGTTTATATACTAATTGAACTAGATATACAGTATAGTTAATTAGTCAAGTTATAAACCTATTTCTGTGTAAACTTGTAAAAGTTTCTTTGGTCTCCTATAAAATATAGATTTGAAGATAGTTTGGAAAATAAATTTGTTTTTACAAAAGACAAACGAAAACAAATTAACTTTTACAACGTTTTTCCGACCTTACCCTGAAATAAAGTGACTGTTAAATCTTCTAAATATTTTTTTTATTCAGATTTTGTTGAATTTCTAGCTAGTAGATTAAGGTTATACCTGGATTAGTAAACCTTCCCTTATTTCCTTGTCTTATGTATTTCTATCTGTATGTATAACTTCTTTCCTCCCTTAGTACTGGAGCCTGGGCTTGTTTTGACGAGTTCAATAGAATTGATATCGAAGTACTCTCTGTAGTGGCTATGCAAATTATGACAATTAACAAGGCTATGTTAGAAGGGGTATGCTTTGCTTTTACTTTACTTTATTTTATTTTCATTTATTTTTAGATAATGACATATACTATATGATTACATATACATATTTACTTAGATTTAGAGAGAATATCTTTTTTTATATCTATTCTATTGTTGTGTCCAAAATATATCAAATACATTCTATTTTTTTTTTTTTTTTTTTGTAGCGATTAATTTATTATCTTCAAAATTTTGAAATGTTGGCATGTTGCTATTCTATTTTGGTATAAAAAAGAGCTCTTGTTTTTATTAAATGTGGATTTTTTTTAGGTTGATAGATTTATATTTGAAGGCGTTGAATTAAATCTGAAACCATCATGTGCTGTATTTATTACTATGAACCCTGGTTATGCTGGACGTACAGAATTACCTGATAATCTCAAGGTAATATCATTACTCCTACGACAATATCGCACAGAAATATAGTGACTCACTTCGTACAGAATATATACATCATATAATACAGTATTACGAATGTTTTGACTAATTATTCATATGATCTTGTTATTTTCAGGCCTTGTTCCGTCCAGTTGCTATGATGGTACCAGATTATGCCTTGATTGCAGAAATCAGTTTATTCTCTTTTGGATTTTCGGATGCTAAAAAATTAGCTAAGAAAATTGTCACAACATTCAAACTGTCATCTGAACAGCTGAGTTCCCAGGTAAAATTTTCTCTCTATATTCCATTGTCCATGAAGTGTCTCACCATATTTTGTTTTTGTGCCTGCTTGTTAATGTAAGAATTCTGTATTGTATTTTATCATTTTAGGATCATTACGATTTTGGTATGAGAGCTGTAAAGAGTGTTATCTCAGCTGCTGGTAATTTAAAGAGACAATATTCCGATATGGATGAGGTAAGAGAATAAAACCTTTTTTCTGAATTTGTGAAAATTTTAAACTAGCCTCCATTAAAATGGAACTTGACCGCCAAAAAAAATCTTCTACAGAAATGCTAACTGCTTTGAAACATATACGAAGTGGATGGTCTGAACGTGAGTGAACTTGGAACTAGCCTTTCTTTCATATTCACATACAAACTTGTTGTTTGGTAATAAAGATATAAATACAATTTGTTTTTGGGATAAGTATGAATTGTTAATGTTTTCAGGAACTGATTGCTCTGAGAGCTATCCGTGATGTTAATGTACCTAAATTTTTGATAGATGATTTGAAATTATTTAATGGTATTGTGTCTGATCTGTTCCCGGATACCAAGTATGTTTACACTTTATTACTTCATTAATTTCACTAGTTTCACTCTGGAAAAATATTTTACTGACCAAATTATACAGCCATATTTAAAGTTGTGATCTTCATTTGCGTATTTGAGACAAAACTCGTGTAAGTGGCGCTGCCTTTTTTATAGCAATGGCTGAATGTTGCAAGATTTTTAATCCTGGACAGAATAGAAACATTTTTGGCCTGATACTCCTTTTAGAGATTCAACTACAACAAGATATTAGTTTGCTTGGGATTCAGAATCCCTCAAATGACGACAGTGGCTTTAATTGATGTTTTGAAGCATGTGGTGGATATAGTATGATTTACATGGAATATTTATTTGAAATATTTAATTTTATCAGAGAACAACCTATTGATTATGGAGTATTAGATACATCATTACGAAAAACCTGTCTTAAACTTGGTATTAAAGATGTACCTGGATTTATCAAGAAATGTATTCAGTTATATGAAACCACCGTTGTACGACATGGTCTTATGTTGGTAGGACCAACTGCTTCTGGCAAAACAAAGGTATGGAGTTAAATTAGATGAAAAGATATTACAAAACTTCCTGAAATTGTTTCTGGTTAGGAAAAATGATGTGAAAAAGTAAAATGGTGTTTATCTGCTCAACACATACAGTTCATTTTTAGAAGGTCATCTTACCTATTTCAATTTTGACCATGCGCTCTTTTACTGTGGGGAAAGATGAAAACATCTACAAACCATTAAAATAAAGCAGAACAACAATCCACCAATGAACCCCAGATTTATAAATATACTGATATCTATTTTACTTTCAGTGTTACGAAGTTTTACAACATGCTATGAGTGCCCTGAAAGGTCAAATGTCACCATCAGGAGAAGAATTTGTACCAGTACATTCATACGTACTTAATCCAAAATCTATCACCATGGGACAACTTTATGGTGAATTTGATGCTCTCACTCATGAATGGTAAGTTCACCCTTTTATTTGGAGATATAGAATTGAAAAAAACAAAAAATTGAATCTAAAAAAAAAAACGAATAAAATATCTCTATCTCAGTAACAAGGTGATTTGATTTGACTTTAAAAGCTTTTTCAGTGTATCAAAGATATAAATTTGTTGAAATTTTCCAGGACTGATGGTATTTTGTCGACATTGATACGAGGTGGTTGTTCAGCTACTGATAGTGATAAACGTTGGTATGTATTTGATGGACCTGTAGATGCTGTCTGGATTGAAAACATGAACACTGTATTAGATGACAACAAGAAACTGTGCCTCAGTTCTGGTGAAATTATCAAATTGACAGACGTAAGTACATTATAAAATGTTAATTAAGTTGAATGATGATTGAAATCACAATGGTTTATTTTATCAGTTTAAAGGGTATAAGGCTCTATTTTTTTGGAATCATAGATGGGTTTAATTAATGTAATATGAGTGTATATAAAGTGACTTATATTCATTTTTTTTTTTTTTTAAATGTAATTTCTAATCCATTATGAAATACGCAAACAATCGAAACTAAACAACAATCGTTTACGCCTATTATTATTTTATCATTTGTAAATTAACTATAACTATTTACTGCTGTACTGCTGGATTCCACATTTTCATGGCATCATAAAAACAATATGGATTGAAATGGATCGGTATTGAATTCTAATTTGTTTTTAATTTCAAATATTATGGAAAATATTGAGTTAGAGACTTTGCTCCTTTAAAATGATTTTTGATCAATTTATTGTTGACAGAAACTAAAAAGGTGGACTCTTTGTAATTTTTTGTCTTTCAACAGATAAGATATAAAATATAAGATAAGATTTTATTGTAGCAAATCATCCACTGGAACAGCATACAATACAATAAATGGTTATTGTTTGTATTGAAATTATTGAAATATACATGTATCATTGTTACTGTTTATGTTGTGGTATGTGACTGTTATTGTTTATAGGGGGGTTGAATGGCCAAATGGTTAGCACGTGCGCGTTGCGCTGTATCATACGGTCTGTCCTTGAGTCAACTGGCGGGGTTTCGAATCCCTAGTTGTACGTGGCAAGGAGTAGGGTCGCCTGCCCAACCTCGTAGGTTTTCTCCGGGTCCTCCGGTTTCCTCCCACTGCTAAAGACCCCTACGCGCAAGTGAATTATTGAAATAAAATTGAACCACGTGTTAGTCCCGAAATGACCTAGTTTGTGTCGAGTGGACGTGAAACCCCATTTCTCTCTCTCTCTCTTTATTGTTTATATTCTATATCGTAGTATATGACTGTTAATCATTATATTCCAGTAATCACTATATTTTGATTGTAGTATAGTATATGATTATGGTATTGTCTATATAGTGAAATATGACTGTACATGATTGTTTATATTGCAGTATATGACTGATTATTTATATTGCAGTATATGACTGATTGTTTGTATTGCAGTATATGACTATGATGTTTGAGGTAGCTGATTTGGCTGTAGCATCACCAGCTACTGTTAGTAGATGTGGTATGGTATATTTAGAACCTAGTTATATAGGATTAGAACCATTAGTTGATTGTTGGTTAAAGAAACTACCTGATACAATATATGACTATAAAGATCAATTAAAGACATTGTTTGATACATATATGGAGGTCAGTATATTTTGACTAGAAATTAAGATTTAAACACCATTGATTAAGCTATATTAAAAATATTCCAGTTCTCTGATACTGCCATGTCACTGAGTATAAACAGATAAGATAAATGTAGATCCTTGAAATGTGATGTTAGTGATATGTCATTTAGAAACACAATTCTTTGACAAAATATAAACACAGAAATAAAAACATTCCCACCACATCAGTGTTTTTAAAAAGTTTACCACTATTTTTATCTAATCTTGAAGAAACTTGAAATATAGGTTTATATCTCAAAGATCTCGAACTGAAATTTCATGGATTATGGCCCTTGATTGTACGAAAAATTATGTTTTTAGCTTGTGGACACTCTGTCCAACTCTTTCAAAATGTGGGTGTATCTTGCATGGCAACCGCTTGTTACTGTGATGTTAATACAAAATAAACCAAATAATGTAGAGTTGAGTGAAAAAGTTGAATTAATGTTCCTTTTGTGGTTTATCTTGTTCAACATGTTCTGTTTTGTTTTTAGCCTTCAGTAGACTTTGTACGAAGTCATGTTAAAGAAATAGTGGGTACTGTTGATGCTAATTTAACATTTAGTTTATTGAAAATGGTAGAATGTTTCTTTTCTCCATTTATACCTAAGGAGGTAAGATAAAAGATAACTTTCTATAAACACATCTTTAACAAACATTAAACAATGTGATATCTTGCTTAATAATATACATCACAAAATTATGTTATGATCCTTTCACATGACATCTCAATTAAGATATAATATACCTATTGTGAATTGATTTAACCCCTTCTTAAGACTAAGCCACCCTAGTTGATTTACCCTGAGGTTTTATATCCATAAGCTAAATCATTTTGTGAACGAGAAAATTTGTCCTATAGGTTATAGATTTTCTGGCCTACGGAAAAATCCTTAGGTTTAGAACAAGTCCTACTCACGTAGGATTTGTCCAATCAACTCACTGTATGACCACAAAAACCTAGAGTATTTATCCTTTAAGACTTTTTTTTAGGATTTGTCTTAATGGAAAAATCATCTAGTCTGACTCGACCTTAAGGAGTGTTGTGTTTCTAACTACAATAATTTTTACAAATTCCTCTTGCACTTCAACCATTATCTTTGCACCAGTAAAACAATTAGTTTTATTTTGATCAAACATAATGAAAACTTTAATGTGTGTTGCTCTATTAATGTTTTTAGTTGCTTAGCTTTTTGAATATAATGTATGTATATTTAACAGGCGACAAGGCGTCGTGTGGTAAGGCTAATGAAAGATAGATATATTATGCTATAGAGATATACTTATATAAATATTTCATATTTTGCCAATAGTATTGTAGAAAGTTTCTAGACTTGTAACTAATATTCAAGAAGAAATCAAATGAAATTTGTTCATCTCTGGTGATGAGATGTAAAAAGAAAACCGAAATAGCTGGCAAATTATGAATTTGAATCCTTAGTTGATTATAGTGAATCCTATTATTATTTTCTTTCTTTATCTATGGGTTATTGGTACATATTATATTCTAGTTTACTTTGATAATAAAAGCCAGGCATAATCTTGCAACTACATACACAAAATTACAAATAGTTCCGAACTCTGCTGCCAGACTAAAATATGACAACATTACTCCTATACATTTGACTTACACTGGCTCCCTATATGTTGTACCGCATTTACTTTCAAATATTGTTACTAGCTGTATCTTCAAAATCTTCTTGAAGTTTATGTCCCCACCAGAAAATTGGTTACCTATGGACAATATTTTTATATTGTAAAGCGTCTCAGAATGCTTTTGTGAAAGAAGAGCGCTATAACAAATTACGTAGTAATAATAATAACTAAATCTGCCAGGCAGATATGAAAGGTTTCATATTCACGGTCACTTCCTGTCACATGTCATGGGTTATTTATAAAATAATTATTGAAATATCTCAAAAATTTGCAAAGTTATAAGCTTAAATGTAACGAGAAACATTTCACCCGGGCGAAAAAATAATCTGAGAAATAACTGAGATTTTTGTAGTGCTGTAATCGGATTGATGTCCTGTTCCAGAAGTTTCAGAAAAATTGATCAAGCTGTTTAAAAACAGGGTGGATTAGAAAATGAATCGAAAATGGCGGGAAAGAACTCAAACATGGCGGGAAAATATCAAAAAATAAAATGAGACAACTTTGAATGGAACTTATATTTTTGGAATTAAATTGACCTCAGCTGTTAGAATATTTAGGGTAATTTTAAGGAAATAAATTGTCCGGTAAAAACTTTAGTCATCACGAAAAAGGTCAAAGACGAAATTTGAAATTTTGACATGCCAAAAATTCAACCCTGGTCTAGGCTATCCAAACTCAACAAACTACGGTCTATTTTGTTTATTCATGCCCGCTAATGTAGATTTTTCATATTCACTTCAAAATTGTGACCATCAGTTAACCTAATTCAAAATTGTGACCATCAGATGAAAATTAGGCTAATATTAACGAAGTTGTCAAATTTGCTTTAACTCCCGGGACGAAATGACAGCGACAAATTTCCGAAAAAAATTCAAAGTACTCAAAGAAAAAAGAATTAGTAAAATAGGTAAAAAAAAGCACAAAGTTACAACAATACCCTGTTATTTTTTGCAGTTCGTAAAATTCGCCGATTTTGGATTCGTAAGACGTTTTGAAAATAGTTTTAATCCATAGTCACCACTCATTCTTGTAGGGGGTAGGTCAAGATTTCAGAAAGATTCCATGGTTTGATTCTGAGAAATAAATTTGTGGGAAAATAAAAAAACTTCAAATAATAATCTTACAGAAACAATAAGTTTTCATATGAAATATGAAATCTTAATAATAATAATAATAATAAAGTGGATGAATGGAGACTCCTTGTAACAGGATTGCAAAGCTGTATATTATGCTGAGTTATAAGGAAACTTAGTAGTTTTTGATTTCAAGGCAAGATACAGAGTTAAAAGGTTATTTGCTAGATTATGACCTGAGTTTTATAGAAAATTCTTAGCTTCGTACTTTATTTATGCATCTTAATAGTATGCCTTGTTCACACATAGAATTCTCAATCCATTAAAAAGGGAAAACTTTATGTTTGACTTTGGTTCTAGGGCATGCAATAATTATAGCAGATTGTAAGAGTTTAGTGAACAAGGTATTATTCTGTCTAATGCTTGTACTGTAGTTTATTTTTACCTTCACTCTATCCTGTCTTTCTTTCCTTCCCTCTCTCTATGATATAGGGTGGTTTAGCTGAAGAAGGTGGCATGGGAGTAAGTAGCTATCTATTAGATAATATATATAACAGTAGGCTCACACATAGTATAGTTTCATTTCTTTTAATTTGATAATTCTCTTATGCATATTGTCAAAAGTTTTTATGTGAAAAATTATCTACTGTAATACTGTATTGCTTTGGTTTTAAATTTGTAACAGCCAATTGCCATAAATAAATGTACAGAATGTACAGTATTTATTTTTATTATTATCACTATATTTTGGCTGAAATGATAAATAAAATCATATTGTTAAAACTATATTTCATTCAATTATAACTACCATAATTTATCCAGGGAGAGAAACCAATACCTGAAGAGCGATTAGCTAGAATTGCTGAACTTATTGAACCCTGGTTTTTCTTCTCACTGGTTTGGAGTATTGGGGCAACAGGAGATAACTCTAGCCGATCCAAGTTCTCTGTTTGGCTAAGGGAAAAAATGTCTGAAGAAAAGGTAACAATAGGTTTATTCAGCATTTAAAATTGATAATATCCTACTTAAATCATACGAATCAACAAATTTATATATTGATCAATCAGTTCTTCATAAAGGCTCTAATCCTTATTTGAGGGATTTCGAACATCTCACAACTACAATAATGTGAAAGTTAAATATCAAAAAGGAATATTAGTCCAAAAATGGTTCTATTCTATTCCATTAAGTATTTGCAAAGATATGATGAATTAAAAAAAAATGTTATATTCAGCATACTGTGCAATCGATATATAAAGTTTACCTAGATTCACTTTGGGAAGAACAGCCGGAAACGCAATTATCAGTAATGGCTTTAAGGTATCATGTGTAGTATAATAATAATTCTATATTAATTTATTCAATATATAAAACAGGTTCAGATGCAGTTCCCTGCCGCTGGTCTAGTATATGATTATGTATTAGATGATGCTGGTATTAGTTCAACTAACACTGATGATATGGAAGAAGACGATGCCGGCTCTAAAGAAGTAAGTTAAATTTCTATTACTATTTGACAATAACATGCTATCAACTAACATTCAGTGGTTGGTGTTCTGGCGGTATTAATCTCGCAAAACAATTATTTTGCAACTGTAATTGGACGTTGGTCAATGTTTATTGTACTTTTGTTAGACCTACCTGATACATGCGAAGATGACAAAATTCTATATTTTATATGTTAGAAAATTTGAATATATAATGGGGTTTTGTTTTATTGTTTTAGGTTAGATGGAGAAGTTGGTTTCATGGACAGCCAGAGTATTCTATTAGTCCTGATATGAGATATTCTGATATTATTGTACCTACAATAGATACTATTAGAAGTGCTTATATACTAGAATTATTACTTACCAATAAAAAACAGGTATAGAAATCTTATAATAAATTCTTTCTTTTAACATTAGAATTATTGTATTTATCAAGGACATTTTTATATACTGAATCAAATGTATTCATGTAAAAACGTCCTTGCTTTTAATATATCAACAGTTAAATATTTGAATTCCTGACAAATGATTTCTTAATTGGACGTTCTGAATAGAACTTCAGATGTTTGAATCCTGTTTTGGTATTGCATAATGTTTTATCTTTTAGGTTCTAAGTATTGGTCCAACTGGTACTGGTAAAACCCTGACTATAGCAGATAAATTATCTAGGAACATGCCAAAAGAATATATTCCTGATCTGATTGTTTTCTCCGCTAAAACTAGTGCCAACCAAACGCAGGATCTTATTGATGGTAAACTAGATAAAAGGTAATGTATTGATTCTAAAGCAGATAGTCATGAAGGAATAAGAATCAAAGTAAACACCCATCATAGTTTTGTATCTTCAGACGTCATAAATTATTTTCTTAACTTGTATGTAATTAAATTTTTATATATTTACTTCTTTTTCTTTTACAGACGTAAGGGTGTATTTGGACCACCGCTAGGCAAATATTTCATATTTTTTATTGATGATCTAAACATGCCGGCTCTTGAAGTGTATGGTGCTCAACCACCAATAGAACTTATACGTCAATGGACAGACTTTAAGGGATGGTATGACAGAAAAGCAATTGGTAAGTAATTCTATATTCTACCATCAATTTTTTTGTAAGAAACGATGCCAAGTTGACCCTATCATTCTTTAATGTAAATCTAAGCAGAACTTGAGTAAAAAAAACAACAGATTTTTAACTCCATTCTAAGTTACTGAAAATGAAATGACCTTCAAATATCAATAGAGTATTTGGACAGAACTCTTTGAAAAATTCTTTAAAATATCAAATAACATCAAATTGAACATTTATTCATACCTTTACAGGAGATTTCCGTCAGTTGGTGGATGTTAATTTTGTATGTGCCATGGGACCACCTGGTGGTGGAAGAAATCCAGTTACAGCTCGACTTCTGCGGCATTTTAACTTTGTCACATTCACAGAAATGGAAGATTCAAGCAAGAAAACCATTTTTGGTGCCATTTTAAAATCCTGGATAGGTAAGAATTGTTTGTAAAATCAGTTACAAATACAATTTAAAAATCATATAATTTAATATTTCCTACTAAAATGTAGTGCTGGCACAATATATCGTTGATTCGATATATCATAATTCACCTTCTCACGATTCGCGTATTGAATCGCGAGACGCTGAAACGATATATTGCTATTCTTTTTTTATGTTTTTTTTTGTCACTTCAGTAAAAAAAGCCTATCACTCTTGATTATCCTCGTCACATTTAATCTATAGGTACACAAACACTCTTAAATTGTTTTGGTCCTTATTTTGATCTATGTCGTGATTTAAAACACTTTTATTTTGACTGCAGTGGTAATACCCAGCACTACTAAAATTTAGTTTTAAATTATTAAAATACTATAAATTTGGTCTTTTGTTTTATTCTACAGATCAGGGGAATAGTACAGGTATCAAATTGTGTGCTGTTAAATATATGCAATTATTATATATGTGCAGCTGATCATATCTCTTTCAATTGCCAATTATTACCTTTTTGCATACTATTGTTACAAAGTCCATCTGTGGCTGTTTTCTTTTGCCTGTCTTTGTATCTTTGAATGTCGTTGACCCTTTCCATCTTGTCGGAATGTTCACAATTTTTATCCGATTTTGACAAAACTTAAAAAGTATGCTTATAACCCAAAGATCTTGGTTCCTTTCGATATTGGCATATATTGGACCATAACTTTCTGGATTATGGCCCCTGATTGTACAAAAAAACACATTTTTAGCCTGTGGGCCCTGTAGAGGTTACAATATGTATCCAATTTTAAAAATGTTCAAATATACCCGGACCGAAACTGCCCACCAAAACTGCCACTCCCTTTACACAAATGGTGTAAAAGTATGTAATACCAGTGTTGTAGACCCTCTTAGAGGTCACAATTTTTATCTGACTTTGATGAAACTTAAAATGCAGTTTTATATCCCAAAGGTTCCTTTCTATATCGGTGCATATCAGACAGTAATTTCCCAAGTTATGGCCCCTGATTGTACGAAAAATTACGTTTTTAGCGTGGTCTGCATCCATCTCTTGCAAAGTGTAGGTGAACCTTGCATGGCAACCACTTGTTTAATGTTTTGTTATCCACCTGTTGAAGTTATTACTGTTACTATTTATTAAGTTGAAAAAGTTTTTTAATTTTAATTTTCATGAAATAAACATTAACAAAACAGCTCAGATTTTGTAATGGTTATTCAATTCAAAAAGCAATACTTTCTCAGCAATATAACAGCCAAAGAACAATACAACATTTATAAGATTCCATCCATTTTATATTGAGGAGTTTCAATCTCCACTCTCCTGAACTTTTTCAGGAATGTATTTTATGCTCTCTTGCGATTTTCAAACAGTGAGGCCTGGGATGTTTTAAATCTGACATTTCCAAATCTGTTAACTGAATCTTGGAGTTCATGACATTGTCAAATTTGTCTGATCAAAGTTTTTATATATCTCTTCCCTAGTCACACCATAATTATTTGTTCATTAAATGTTAGGTGTCCTACAATTAACTACCTGATATGAAATATAGAGTTTGCATGGGTTGAATCCCAACAAAAACACAGAGCACAACTATAAATCCAAAATGCCCAACACAATGGCAAAGTTCCAAAATGACCACACATGTTTAGAAAAAGTAAGCATACCCTGCTCATTTACTATAAATGTAATTGACTATTTTTTTACTATGTTGTATTACAGATCAGAATAGTAATTTAAAAGAACATTGTGAGAAAATGGTAGATACATGTATATCTGTATATAATACTATAACAACACAACTATTACCTACACCAGCTAAAAGTCATTATACATTTAACTTGAGAGATTTATCTAAAGTATTTCAAGGTATATTAATGGCTGAACCAAGTAAAACTGAGGTAAGATAAACACAGCTAAATCAATCACCTGCTTATTGTAAGGATGATCTTCTGTTGTCAATATAAAATATGCTTTAGCATCCTACATTTGTATACCAATCTGATTAAAACACAGATCCTATTTCGTTTTGTTTTTTCATGTGAGGAATTGGCCTATGAAACGGTCTGTTATGAGTTGTTGGCGTGCTCTGCACAGAACTGTGGGTAAACCCCTAGAAACATCAATGCTGATTGATTAATCAATGTTTGACATCATAGGGTCGAAAGCCGCTCATATGACCTCTGACGCGACCTTCCAGTACAACAAATCAGATCTTCATGAAGTGTACGCCATCGAAAGTATAAAAAAAAATGAAACGAAATATAGATCTGTATTTTAAACAGATTGTTTGTAAACCAACTGAACTAATGGTGATATGTATCCATTTTTTTTCCAATCTCCATCAAATTCCAACAGTCAAGGTTTCATTTATGTGGAGGCCATCGTGTACCTGGGTCATCTGTTTTTTCATCCCATCCAAAAGACTAAACACTGTTTCTTGCTAGGCTGTTGTCTTCCTATATGGTCAGCAGCAAACTTACTTAATCCTAAGATAGTATATTATATCAGAAGCTGTGTTATTTGATTCAAGTAGCTAGATTGTGTGCAGAGTAAAACCAGTAGAGCTATAAAATAAATATCACTTAGCACTGTTGATATGTTATGTATGTGTAAACAGTGATTATAAAAATATGAATATTTGATCTAAAACTTTTATTTTCAGGCATTGCCAGATCTATTGAGATTGTGGTACCATGAAAATTGTCGCATTTTCCAAGATCGTTTAGTAAATGATGAAGATCGTCTTTGGTTTGAAGGTCTTCTGAAAGAGAAGATGAAAAGTGATTTTGACATGGAATTTGAAGATGTTGTCAAAACTCAGCCTGTTTTGTTTGGCGATTTTATGATAACTTCATCAGATATCAGACCTTACTTGGAAATTGAAGATCACGAAAAATTGGTGAAGGTGTTAGAAGATTATCTTGAGGATTATAATCAGATTACCACAGCTCAGATGAAACTGGTATTATTTATGGATGCTGTCAAACATGTTTGTCGTATTAGTCGAGTTATACGTCAGCCTCTTGGTAATGCTCTGTTACTTGGGATGGGAGGCAGTGGACGTCAGAGTTTAACAAGATTAGCAGCACACATGTAAGTTGTTTACTTGTATCTGACTTGGTGGGTTCATTTAGGTAAAAGAGATTGATTCCCTTTTAGCATGATCCTGGTGTTGGCTGAGAAAGTTCCTCAGGATTTTTAACCGTCTTGTCAATGGTGCTGGTCTAATATGAAAACTTGAGGTCCTATATATGCCATTGGAGAGCATGTTAAAGATCCTTTAACGGTTGGAAATCGATATGAGTGGAATCCATAGCTCTGCTGTGGGCACAAAATTATCCTCATTGCACACTGAATGGTTGATACACATCTGCATTAGACATGCTGGTTCAGATAATTCCATTTAATTTTTAAACAAATCAATGTTATTCGCCTCATCAGTTCTTTACTTATTTGAGATTAACATGATTATTTCTCATTGATGTTGGCAGTTTGTACCATCTGATCACAAACTTTAATAATCTGTAAATCTGATAAATTTTGAACTATATTTTATCAGGTCTGAATTTGATTGTTTTCAAATTGAACTGTCTAAGAATTATGGTGTAGCTGAATGGAGAGAAGATTTAAAGAATGTTATGATGAAAGCTGGGTTAGAAAGTAAACCTATGGTGTTTTTATTCAGTGATACTCAGGTATGTAGTAATATTTAAATCAATAATTTTTAGATATAATAGATAAAATCAGAGAGCTTACAAAATTTAATATTAATGAATAAAAGCATGCCCGAGAATATGGTATTACCCGGTATTTGTTTTTCCTAGTTTGTTGACCCTTCAAACATTCTGTTACATTGATGAATGGATGTTTCAATAAAAGTATGTCAAATTTGGTATATATGGAAAGTATAGACACCCAATCTTACTAGAAAAATACTGAATTACCTGAAAAATGCCCATGGGGCAAGCACTGGGTAAAATTGTCAGGGTATCACTAACTGACAACCCGACTGTTATCTGTCAGCTTATTGTGTGCCAGCTTAAGTGAGGAAACGGTTGTTATCAAATGTATGGGCGGTTTTGGGAACATTGAGGGGCGTCAACGTACAAAAAGACTGCAAATAATACATTCTGAAAAGTGGACCCTCCCACAATGAAGGTAAGTTGACAGACATTGCATCTAACAACAGCTTACGTATAGCTATAGGTATCCCTGGCAAATCCAAAGTTTTGAGAGGGAATTGAAGCAAATTTTTGATAGATTGGTTACTTTAAATATGTTTTTAGTCCAAATATATCATCAAATCACAAAGTCTGTACGCGGGAATGTATCTTTAAGTTTTTGAGAGAAATTAAATTTTCTTTTCTATTTTTAGATAAAGGCAGACTCCTTCTTAGAAGATATCAACAATATATTAAACTCTGGTGATGTACCTAATATATATGGTTTTGATGAATTAGATCAGATTTATACAGCTATGAAACCCATTGTAATGGATTCTGGTCTACAAGCTACTAAAACTAATTTATTCTCAGCTTATACGAAGAGAGTTCGTAGTAATTTACATACAGTTATAACTATGAGGTAATTGTCTGGAGTATTCTTATTATCTATGTGTGTGGTGGTAAGTGGCTCAAAACCTTCCACAAGTCTCCAAAAATGTCTTCTATTTGTAGAAAATGTGAAATCCTGATTTCTTTAACATTATGTTTTCTTTAGCTGATCATATTGATTGATTTTAAGTAATCTATTACTAATATTATGGATTTGAAATTGAAAAATAAAAATATTTACATTTTTATTTCAGTCCTATAGGAGAAGTATTCCGTGCCAGATTACGTCAGTTTCCAGCTTTAGTTAATTGTTGTACTATAGATTGGTTCAGTGAATGGCCTAAAGATGCTCTTCAATCGGTAGCGATGAGATTCCTCAATGATATTACTGATTTAGACGCATCTGATGAAGTCATGACTGGTTTGGTATGTACATTTAAATTAATACAATTTTAAGTTGGATAAAATTAATACATTTTTGTGCGTTCAAATAAAATCTTCTAGTTTGACAAAAATTATTTGAAAAGATCAATATGTTGTTTCTGTCAGTAGCCCATTTAATATAATTTCATTAAGAAACCACAATTCTGTTTTTCTGCCTCAAATGGAAAGGTGGGAATAAAACTAATAATACACGTTCATATTTTTCTTTTATTTGATTTTTTTCAGGTCAATATGTGTCAAGCTATTCACCAATCGGTCGCTAGAAATTCTGAACGCTTCCTTGCAGAGTTATCTCGACATAATTATGTAACACCAACAAGTTACCTGGAGTTACTGGGTATTTTCTCTAATCTTGTTGGAATGAAGAAATCTGAATTAAATCTGGCAAGAAACAGACTTAAAACTGGTCTGGATAAGGTAAGAAAGGGCTTATAGAATATATGTTTCTTGATTGTATAATGTAAAACCAAATTGATTTGATTTAAGACAAACTAAAGTATTAAATTTTGTTTGTCATATGTGTAATTTGGATTAGACATGGAATATACCCTGTATGATTTAATTTTTTTATTTAATAAGAAGCATATTGGTTTGCTAATTTTAGATTATCTTTGCTTCTCAGCATTGAAGTAATCAACCTAAATAGAGAATGGTATTTGAGAATGATCATTTGTTCAGTTTTCTATGTTGTCTACAGTTGTTAGATAAAGATTATGTATTTGTTTTATAGTTATTGACAACAGCAGATGAAGTAAAGAAATTACAAGAAGAACTCGCTACAATGAGACCATTATTAGAGGAAGCTGTTAAAGAATCAATTAGTACAATGGAGAAAATTTCTGTTGATACGGTAAACATCTTCACAATAGATTTTCTGTTTCTGTGTCATAAATCATTATCATGTATTCAAAAATGTCCCGATTGACAAAATTTTGAAGTGAGATGACTTTTTAGGTATCCACCAAGACTCTACTTTTGTTCATATTGACTGGCATTGAAATTGATAGGGTAGAGAATTTACATGCCATAAAATTGGTTACTTCAAAGAATTCAACCGGAAAACGCTATAAATGTAGTGTTAAAAGTTGATTGATAAATTGTTGTCATGAAATTTGATAAAAATGTCTGGTTACTCAGAGGTAAACAGTATAGACAAGAATGAAGTGAAGGTCATAACTGTGTACAATTATATACTCTGGATCAATGCAACACATGGCATGATGTTTGACAGGTACTGTCATAGGATCAAACTACCAGCTTGCATAGATGACAGACTAATCATCAATGTATGATATAAATAATTATGTTTTTTTGTATTAATCAATAGGCTGTTGCCGAAGAAACTAAAGCTATTGTACAGAAAGAAGAAGCAGCAGCTACTATTAAAGCTGAAGAAACAAGAACAATAGCTGATGATGCTCAAAAAGATCTCAATGAAGCTTTACCTGCTCTCGTAAGATTTTACTCTTAAACTATCTTTTTCTTACACATATTTACTTTTTATACACAATTTCGGAAGGTTTAAATCTCACATATTATTGGCTGTTTATGGTGATTGGCCGATATTTAATAGATACCACTACCTATTCCACAATGATGTAGGCTACTTGTTTTGTTTGATCAACCGGTGAACAGTAACCTAAATCAAAACTATAAATTTCTCTGCAAAGACCTTTCAGTAATGAATGTTTCAATGATTCAAGTTTATGTTAGGATCTAATGCAAGAAGCAACAATGATTGTTCCGTCAGAACCGAGTATTAATGATAGTTATACTGTAGGTCTCTGTGTTGTCCAACTTCAACAGATCCTTAAGTTTGTTTACTTGTAATTATTTATAGGATGCTGCTTTGACAAGTTTAAAATCGCTGAATAAGAATGATATTGTTGAAGTGAGAGCACTACAAAGACCACCAGAAGGTGTACGCCTGGTAATAGAAGCTGCTTGTATCATGAAGGGAATCAAACCAAAGAAAATAGCAGGAGAAAAGGTAATTCACTTTTTACGAAAAAATGTAGATCACTGTTTTTATTTAGATTATCCAGAAGCAAGTAGTTATAGGTCAGTGTTTTATGCCCACTAGTTAGTGGAATCACATTTGTCCGTTCACTGAATTGGAGAAGATTTTTATGGTTTATCTTTGCATAAAATCATTGTACCTGATTTCATATTTAACTATATTGTTACTGTCATTTCTTCAAAAACAAAGACTTTTCCACATTTAGTAAAACAATCAAAGAAAAAGACATTTGTGACCAAACAGCCTAAGAATTTAAAGGAGCATATATGTTATACATCACATATATGGAGCTTATCAATTGAATTATAACCCTTTTGCTTCATCACAATTTGTATATATTTATAGCCTGGTCAGAAGATTGATGATTATTGGGATGTTGGTAAAGCTGCTATTCAGGATCCAATCAAATTCTTGGAATCTCTGTTTAAATTTGATAAAGACAATATACCTGATGATGTCATCAAGAAAATCCAACCATATATTGATAATGATGCTTTTATGCCAGAAAATATTGCCAAGGTAAAATTTCCATGTTACTTTTATATCCATGGATATGAAGAATAAAAAAATATTTGATATTTTCTGTTGGAAAATTAAAGTAAAACTAACAATATATGACCTTATGGTTCAGGGCACTGGACTCACAACCAGAGTATTCTGTGTCCAAATCCCCTTTGGAAACAGAGAACAATCTTCAGGGTTTTCCAGCCCTATTTTTACTTATTTGGGATGCCGTCTGCAGATTTTGTAAAGAAAATTTTAAGTTGTTCTGTTTGAGCAAAAAACCAAAGTTAAAATGAAAGAACAATAGGTAGAAACACTGCTGTCCCAGAAAAATCCTTGCCCTCATATTGCACATGTAACCATTGGAAGTTTAAAATAACTGTATATTAGTTTCAAAATGATCTAAGTGTTGATGGGTTGTCGAGTCCTACTCTATTCCAGTATGTGAAGAATATCTGATGGTTAACCAGTTAGTATTTCTATAAATTGTAATTTATTTATATTACAGGTATCTAAAGCTTGTACATCTATCTGTCAGTGGTGTCGAGCTATGCACAAATATCACTTTATCGCTAAAGGTGTGGCACCTAAACGTGAAAAACTACGAATAGCCACAGCTGATTTAGAGGAAACACAGAGAATGTTAGATGAAGCTAAAGGTAGATTGCAAGAAGTAGAAGAAGGTATCGCAACGTTACAAGCTAAATATGAAGACTGTGTTCGCAAGAAGGAAGAACTGGAGAATAAATGTGAACAATGTGAAGGTCGTCTAGGTCGAGCCGATCAGGTCAGTAAATATGTCATGATGTAAGCTGGCTCAGTGAGTAAGACTGAGAAAATTCCACAAGATTTTCCATCTTTGTTTCCCCTAGTCATTCAGATGGTATAAAATAGTGAACCCTTGACAGTTGGAATTCGATATAAGAGTAGGCCATAGCGCTGCTGTCTGGATAAAATTTCCCTCATAGCACACTGCATGGGGTATGCCCGTTGCCATTAGCCCGCTCAGTGCAGAAAAGTAGGATGTTAAACCCGATTTTATTTCCTTTCATATTAATTTAAACCTATTTAATGTTTATATTATTTATGATCCCTCCTCCACCATTGATATTTCGGCCAGTTTTAATAGCACTTAATTTTCAAAGAATTGAACTGTCTGCGAACTGTCTCCAAAAAACGTACATAAATTTAAATATATGTAAGTTCAATAGAAACATTTTATAAAGTCGAAGTTGTGAAAAGGGATCCAGATTTGATAAAGATATTTTACCCTACCAAAACTACAAAGATTAGTGTCATGTATCTTGTAAAAATATAATTCACTAAATTCTGCCATGTTGAATTTCTACTACAGTTGATTGGTGGTTTAGCAGATGAGAAAGATAGATGGAGAGAATCTGTAGATAGATTAGAGAAGATTGTAGATAATATAGTAGGAGATGTATTAATATCATCAGCTTATATAGCTTATCTAGGTCCTTTTACGGTAAGTTATAGCATGTATTATTATATAGTTTATCTAAGTCCTTTTACTATATCATGTATAAAATAGTGTATTGAAATATAATAATCTATCTGCTGACTGTCTTGGACATAGTAAATGTACACAGATATTCGAGAAAATTAAAACTTTCTAATAAGCCTACTTGCACAAATAATGTGATTTAATACGAAATTGTAAAATTTCAAATTTGTTACGTTTAATGTTTTCTTGATGTGTTTTGGGTTGTTTTTTTTCAGGGTGAATACCGAATAAGAATGCAATGTGAATGGGTGGTGTCATTAGATGAACATAAAGTACCTCGAACAGATGATCCTAATTTAACTAGTACCATGAGTGATCCTGTTAAAATACGGGCTTGGCAGATAGCTGGCCTACCTAAAGATAGTTTATCAGTAGAAAATGGTGTAATTATACAGTTCTCTAGAAGATGGCCTCTCTTTATTGATCCTCAAGGCCAAGCTAATAAATGGGTTAAAAATATGGTATGTTTACGTTTGTAAGATTAAAATAAATCTTCGTCACCAAAATTGATTCCTACTCAAAAATTCAAGTTTTCAAATACTGAAATAAAAGTCAAGCGAAAATTGAACTTTGTGTCAGGACATTTGCAATATCCCAGTTCTTTGGATGGTTCAAAAACAAGTTTTTTATATATTAGCATTCCTTTGAAAGTGTATTGAGTAAAATACCCAGAACTGAAATATTATTATGGTTAGCTTTTACTATTAAAACCTTTATTTTAAACAGGAAAAAGATAATGGTTTAGATGTGATCAAATTATCTGATCGTGATTTTTTGAGAAGTTTAGAGAATGCTGTAAGATTTGGTAAACCTTGTTTATTAGAGAATGTTGGTGTTGAGTTAGATCCAGCTCTAGAACCAATCTTACTTAGACAGGTAAATAATAACTTGTATTATTTACACCTAATAATATTTATATTTAACTGACAATTCACTGACCAGTTTGCTAAATTTATATATTCTTTTCAAATTCTTTTAAACATAATAGACTGAAATCAGTTGCAATACATTTTTAATTTTCGAAGGAAACACGAGTAGAAATGTTACAATAAAAATAATTGATCTATTTTAAGCAAGACTGGACAAAAGGCACCTGTCAGAGACTTCCTCGGACACAAATTATCACACAAAGTTTTTATTATAATATACATTATGTGATAATTTGTGTCCGACAATGATAATACCATTTAATGATTTAATTTAAAAATGGATAATCAAGACTTTGTTTATTATTGTAACAATAGTAGCCACAAAAATCGAGACTACGCTATTCTTCAAACAGTCATAACTTCGCTCAGAATGAAGTAATTTGATTGAAATTTTCAATATTTTTTTCATTATCGATTTTTAAACTATTATAATAGAGAGAACTGTGTTTAAAATTAATAATATTTGATAAATTTCGTAAATCTTGGCCATCCTTTGCTTATTTCAGACATTTAAACAACAAGGTAGTACTGTAATAAAACTAGGAGATGCTGTTATACCATATCATGATGACTTTAAGTTTTATATAACTACTAAATTACCTAATCCACATTATACACCTGAAGTTTCTACTAAAGTTACTATAGTTAACTTTACACTATCACCAAGGTAAATTTTAAACTTTGCTCTGTTGATCAAATCTGCTGTTCATCATTTGAGGGATTTTGATGAATCTCTTACGAACTACAATATTGTGAAAGTTGAATCTCTATATAGAATATGGTCCAAAAATGGTTCAATTCTATTCTGTATAAACAGACCAACGCAACTGATAAGCCTCTTTTAAATATTTGAATCCTAGCCAAGAGATTATCTACTATTCATATCTTGGTTTGGTGAAATAATCAATTCAAATTTAGCCTGCATTAAGAAATAAAAATTTAATTCAAAATGTTTATAAAATGCAAATGACAATATGCAGCTTAAGGTTAAAATGGCTTAAACTTCACAACGTTCTCTGTACAATTATGGCTAGTGCTTTTATGGTGCAAGATCAAATTGTATTGTTTCTGAAAATGATATTTTGTAAATTCTAGTGGTTTAGAAGATCAGTTACTGGGTACCGTTGTAGCAGAAGAACGACCTGATTTAGAGGAAGCTAAGAACCAATTGATTATCAGTAATGCCAAGATGAAGCAGGAACTAAAAGAAATTGAGGATAGGATCCTGCAGCGCCTTAGTAGTTCTGAAGGAAGCCCTGTTGATGATATAGATTTGATTCAGACATTGGCTGCATCAAAAATCAAATCTCAAGAAATTCAAGTAAAAACATTAATATCTATCAAAATCATGTAGTAATTTTATACAGTAACATTGTAGATCCTTTTTATGTCTCCAGTTGTTGTGCATGTAAAACAACCCTTGACATTTAGAATTCAAAATTATTTGTAATACATAAGGGTAAAAGTTTACTCATAGAACACAACATGGTGCATGACCATCTTCAGTTTTCATTAGCATGGTTGGTGCAGAAAACTAAGATTCTTAATTCAAGATTGTTCTCCACAGTGAAGATGCAGACTGACCATTAGTCTTAATTTACGATATGAAATCATGTCTTCTTTTTTTTTTTCTAGGCTAAAGTGATAACAGCCGAAAAAACAGAAAAAGATATTGATCAGACAAGAAGTCAATATATACCAGTAGCTGTGAACACCCAGATTCTTTTCTTCTGTGTTGCTGATATGGCTAATATAGACCCTATGTACCAGTACTCTTTAGAATGGTTTATTAATATTTATCTTAATGGTATTGCTAATGCTGAAAGGGCTGGTAAGTAAATAATAATGCCTTGAGATTATCCTGTCAATTTTTCTGTCTCTATCTATATACATGTATGTTGTAGTTCCCAACTTTTTCCACAGAGCACTATCAGTAGTGAATGTCAGCGCAATATAAATGCATATATTATTATTATTATTATTTGACCTATTGGGACAATTTACAAATCTACAAGGACCCCCACATCTGCAATTACTTAGTTTAATCAAATTTACCACCACTTTTCAGATTAAGCTTGGATAATTATGTTATCAACATGGACCAACTTAATCGGAAACATCAAATATTATGAAACAATTAAAATGAATGAAATATGTATTTTGATAAATTCGTACATTCCTGTTTGTGCTCTATTCACACTCACTCTCCAGTGATTGCCCCAAACTTGTATCAATCCCAGCAAGAAGTTATTTAATGTGACCATGATATCATCTACTGAAATTCTTGGTCTGAATGCATCCAATTTCATACTGAAGTTCCCCCTTTTTTTCCTGGTAAACTGTTCAGACCTCAAGAATTCCCAGGTTTTTAAACACTGATGTTGAGAGTACCATCAATGTTGTCTCGTCTAATTAACTATATTAAAGAAAATATTTTCTATGTTTTTCAGATAATATAACACTAAGAATAGAGAACATCAATAAATTCTTCACCTTTAGTTTATATAGTAATGTTTGTAGAAGTTTGTTTGAGAAACATAAACTATTGTTTGCTTTCTTACTCAGCTCTAGAATTAGAATGCATAAAGGTTTGATAGATATGGTAAGTTAACTTAAATTTAACTTACCAACACACATAGGAGAGAGAGAAAGGAAGAAATGGAGATGAAAGTCTAATCAACTTAAATCAACTAATGTATGGTTCAATTTTATTGCAATAATTCGCTTGAACAGGTGACCCTACTTATTGTCACTTAAGAAGGGAATCAAAACATCACCAATTGAATCACCAATTGTGATCTAATGTGCACACGTTAATCCAACCGAACAGTATAATCAGGGACTTTCTGATTATATATAATTTGGATCTTGAACAGAAATGAAAGGGTTACTTTCATTGTCAATCCAGATGTTCTATATTGGCTTAATTGCAAATGGGTTACATAGAATTGAGTCCTGTCACGGCTTTGCCAATCTTGAAAACAGAAGAGATGTAAGCAGAATCGACATGGGACCATATTCGGTTGGAGAAATTCTTATTGCACAAAAAATTGTTTTGTTTCCTTAACTTATATTTCAAAGAATTCAATTCCGGCACATTCGATTGAGCATGGACAGAGTAATGATGGAGTATGGCTTCCTTCCTTCCTATGAAGGGTATATTAATAAGTAAATGTATTTTAAATAATGATATATTATTATAGAATGAATGGAGATATTTGATAGCTGGTGGAACAAGTAAACCTAAAGAATTAGATAATCCTTTCCCTGATTGGATCACAGATAGATCCTGGAATGATTTCCTCACATTAGCAGCTTTACCTAAGTTTGAAAACTTTGCTGCAGATTTCAAGAACCATATGGAAGGTTTTAAGAAAATATTTGACAGTGCAGAACCTCACCGGTAAGATTTCTCTCTTTCTTTCATTTATACAGACTTTTGGAGAAAGCAGTGACTATTGAATTGGATTTGTCTGACTGACTATGACTCTGCTTCTAATTCATGTAGAATGTTCAAATATGGTGTAAACAATTCTATTATATATTATTTCAGAGAAGACCTCCCTGGTTCCTGGAATACAGAACTGGATGATTTCCAGAAGATAATTGTATTAAAATGTCTTCGTCCCGATAAAATAACGAATGCTATGCAAGATTATGTTGCGAAAAATCTAGGACAAAGGTTCATTGAACCTCAGGTAAGAATTTTTATTGAAGTGAATAAGAGTGTAAATTTAATAGTTTTAGACCAGGATATTGCATCAAGACAATTGTTTTTTACATAAACGGAAACTAACTTCTAAATATATATTAATATTATAAAATAATTTAATGTTTTTTAGACTGCTGATCTACATTTAGTATACAAAGATTCATCACCAACCACACCCCTTATCTTCGTCTTATCACAAGGTACAGATCCGGCTGCAGATTTATATAAATTTGCTGAAGAAATGAGATTCGCAAAAAAACTCAATGCCATTTCACTTGGTCAAGGACAGGTTAGTAGTTGCAAATTGTCTTTTCTGTCTGCACTTAGAGGTTTAATTTTAACGATAATTTAGTCAGTTATCTTTATTTCATGTTTATGAATAAAGAAAAGAGCAATTACTAATAGGATTTTAAAGGCTCTGATCCCCATTTTAGGGATTTTGAATCCCTTATAAACTTTCATATATTGAAATATCAATCCAAAGTACTAAATAATTTAGTTGAGTACATTTTAATATGGATTAATCTGTAAAAAATTTGGAATCGGGATCGGTGGCTGCTACAAATGATATCTTTAAGAAATGCCGGCAAGAGAAATAAATGGTTTTCTTGCACATTAGGGAATGTGAACCTGGGGGGGGGGGGGACAATCTAATTTGGAATCTACCACAGTCTTCAGTATGAAAAAGGGTTTATGGATGATCCATCATACAATCAAATAATGACAGAAATTGTATTTTATTTTCAATTCAGGGTCCAAGAGCTGAAGCTTTGATGAGAAGTGCCATGGAGAGAGGTAAATGGGTGTTCTTCCAGAATTGTCATCTATCACCCAGTTGGATGCCTTCATTAGAAAGATTGATTGAACAGATTGATCTAGACAAGGTATTCATAACTTTTCAAACATCTCAATAAAAATCCAGTCAAACAATATAACTAGAATCTGGAAATCATTAGGACTTGTTATTTCTAGGATATTATGAGGGACTGAACAAGAAATAATGATACTAGTTTGTACAACATTGTGCCTGATATTGTCAATAACGGGTAATATTTAATTGATTTATTTATAGGTACATCGTGATTTCCGTCTGTGGTTAACCAGTATGCCAAGTGATAAATTCCCGGTTTATATTCTACAAAATGGTTCCAAAATGACAGTGGAACCACCCAAAGGAATCAAAGCCAATTTATTAAAATCTTATAGTGGCTTTAACGATGATTTCCTCAATTCATGTGGTGAAAGGGTAAGAAATTAAAATGAATTTTTTTTATTTGCATTTAGTTATAAATCTCACTGTACATGAAAATATAAAACATTGTGATTTAGCTTATTGTAATAAAGGTTATTTTGTCTTTTATCTTAAAATCTACACTTACACAAAGAATGATAGTAACTTGGACTAAATTTTATAATAATAATAATAAGCAATTCAACTTTAGTTCTTCACGGTCTTGATAATTAAATAGCCACTCAAATCTTGTAAACAATGTTTTGTTTAAACAGTTTCAAATTTAAAATTGAGCAACCAAGTACTTCTTGTTTCTACATTATTATTCCCTCCAAGAAATAGGAAACAAAAATTGTTATTTATCCAAACAACAATGAATTCAAATAGCATACTAAACTTAGGCTGTCTGTTAGGACCACTTGAGAACATACCCTAAGCTAGTTGACCGACATTTTAAATCCTAAATCAACAATTTTAGTCAAAAACACTAAGTATACTTTGATAATTTTGTTACATATTTATTATGCTTCCATTTAATAAAGTATATATTTAGTCTTTGTGTGTATGATAGATGTGAAACAGATTAGAACCGCATTACAAAACAGTATACTCATTTTTGGATATGGCAGCCATCTAGGCCAGAGATCTATTCTCGAAGTATGAACTAGGTGGATCTGTGTGCAGAATGTTCAAATTGTTTTGTTATTATTTTTCAGACCCCTATATTTAAACATCTACTACTATCACTGTGTTTATTCCATGGTGTTAGTTTAGAAAGACGTAAATTTGGAGCTCTAGGGTTTAATATACCCTATGAGTTCACAGATGGAGATTTACGTATCTGTGTTAGTCAGTTAAAGATGTTCCTCAGTGAATATGAGGATATCGCTTATAAGGTTAGTCACTATTTACGGCATATTTAAAAATAAGCTTTCTGCCCCAGAGATGGATTTTACTTTGTGATCCCTCTGCATTTTTAGGATAAAATGGATTAAAGGGATAAAATGTCTTAATCGTGGACCTGCACAGCCCTATGGTTAAGAATTATACTATTTTTGCTCCAAATCTTGCCCTAAATACAGTATTTTAATTTCAAAATGCCCTTATTATGTTAATTAGACATTTAATCCCAGACGTGCTATCTCTTTACATAATTGAAAGTGAACTGTGATGATGAAATTTTAAAATTTTTATTTCAAACAGGATTTTGGATTTTTAAGAACAATGATTTTATCTGTTGTTTTATGATATATTCTATAGGTGTTGATATATACTGCTGGTCATATTAATTATGGTGGACGTGTAACTGATGACTGGGATAGAAGATGTTTGATGAGTATTTTACAGGATTTTTATGTACCTGATGTACTTAGTGAAGAACATGTTTATTCTCCATCAGGAATATATAGACAAATCAGTCCATCTATGGACCATAACGTACGTTCATATAATGGGAATATTCTTAGGGTTTTATACTCACCAAATATACATTTCAGTGTATTTTGAACTTTGTTATTTATTTTAAGCAGATTATTTTCTCTCACCTTTCGAATAAAGCAAGGGCTTTTAGAATGGTTTCTTAAAAATAAAGTTGTAAAATGTTTTTGATCCAGTCATTTTGAATTCTAAAACAAAATCAATTTGATCAATATTTAATGTACAAAGTAAAATACTAATTATATATAAATGTATTATTTTTATACAGGGCTATATAGCTTATATAAAGAGTTTACCTATTAACGATACACCTGAAATATTTGGTCTACATGAAAATGCCAATATCACCTTTGCGCAAAATGAAACAGTATTTAACTTGACTGGTTTACTGCAGCTTCAACCTAAAACTGCAGCTGGTGGTGGAAAATCTAGAGAAGAGGTACAGTACTTTATTATTGTAGACAAAAAGTGTTAAAGAAAGAAATTTAGTAGTGCCCACAATATAAGCCTTCAGTTCTCTCCATCTTCTTATTTGTATATAAGTATTTTTTTGGTTTAGGTTATGGAAGATGCTGCGAAAGCTATATTAGAACAAGTACCACAACCTATAGATATCGCTATTGTTATGAAGAAATATCCTGTTTTATATGAACAATCAATGAATACAGTGTTAACACAAGAAGTTATCAGGTATTTTACTTACATTTATTTTGTCTGTTTATAGTGTTCATGTTAGTCATATGTTTTTTTGTCTCTAGTGTGGTTCCCCCCCACCCCGGCAGTTACCCTTAGGCTTACTAATTTTTGATGTAATTGTTTAGGGTTTCAGTTTACATCTGTGCCTCAATAATCTTTCTGTTATCTAAACATACAAAATTTTATTTCAGATATAATCGTCTATTAAAGACCATACATCAGAGTCTACATGATTTATTAAAAGCATTGAAAGGTTTGGTTGTCATGTCTCAGGAATTGGAGAAAATGGCCAATAGTTTGTTTAATAATGTTGTTCCAGATATGTGGTCTGGCAAGGTTGGTGAAACTTACAATGTTTAAATTTCAACATCTATTTTTATCTTGCAGTTGTAGTAGTAAATGTTCAGATATTTGCTTGTTTTGTTTCTTGGAGAATATGTGTGAAGATTAAACAGGCATTATACAAGAGCTAAATCTGTCTTTCTTTATGCCTTAAATGTTATTTAAATTATTAGACATTAATTTACTTACCAAGACCATAATCAACTCTCGATGCCATCGGATACTCTCAATTTTCAACAGATTTAAATACGATTGAAGTTAATGATTTAATTTAAATGGATTATTATGGTAATAACAGTAGCAATAACAATTGAAGCTACGCTGTTCTTGTACCGACGATAATTTGACTGAAATTTTCAACATATTCCCTTTTGTTTATCTTTTCATTATAGCGAGAACTGTCAGCTCTTTAATCTTACATAATTAAACTTAAAGATGTATTTTATTTATTGTTTTATTAGGCTTATCCATCACTGAAACCCCTTGCTTCATGGGTTGTAGATTTAGTAGCAAGGATGAAATTTATCCATAATTGGATTGATGATGGCATACCTCCTGTAAGTCACTTATATTTTAATCACAAACAACTTCTAACGAAAATATTAAGAAAAACAAGAGATTGATTATTTATCTTAAATACCACCAGACTAACCCCCATAGCAACTATTGATGTGGTGGCTATTCCCATATCAACCTCCTATCAAGTCATTAGGAATAGGGTTGATATTGAGGTAATATTAATAACAAATGAAATAACCAAATGCTTTGAATTTCATGTGCACAAAGTAAGCAGCGGTTGATACTCCATGATAATCGTTATTGCATCCTATTTCCAGTATTGTTACTTAAAATAAAAACCCAGAAAGCAGTTGCCATCTGCTACTAATCCTAATACTGGGTGTTTAAAGGGAAGTAACTCTTTGGTTTTGTCGTGTGTGCAATATTATCTCCCCTTAGACCACATCCTTCTAACTTGAGATTTTTGATTCAAATTATTATTTTGATTTATTTATATGTTTTATTTTTAGGTGTTCTGGATATCAGGATTTTTCTTCCCTCAAGCTTTCTTGACAGGAACCTTACAAAATTATGCTAGAAAGATGAAGATCTCTATTGACACTATCAGCTTTGATTTTAAAGTAAGTGACAACTTTTTATGTAAATTGTAACCACTTGAAAATTATCCAAACTACTCATTCTAAATTTTCAACTTGTATATTTTGTTGTACAAATAATGTATCTTATGAAATTATCATCTCTTTGCTTTGTTCAAAACTGAGTTTTTATGCCCATCAATATATATCCATTAGATTAATCCAATATATTATTCATTGAATATTCTAGTGATTCAGTTTGAATATTTTATTTGAGTATTTGTATTGTATTATGAGTGAATTGGGAGAATGAATGGGTTTAAAGCCTTGTACTGCTGATCATCATGGGTTACAAGTTTGTTAACTATGTTAATGATGCCTGTCCCAAAATGAACTAATTGTGTTTATTGAATCATTTTTTTTTCTCACTCTATTATACAGGTTTTGACAGAGAATGTCAGTGATTTAAAGGAAACACCAGAACATGGTTGTTATATAAATGGTCTGTTTTTAGAGGGAGCTAGATGGGATTATGACAAGGGAATGTTAGCTGAGTCAAAAGCTAAAGAATTATATACAGATATGCCAGCTTTATGGTTAATTCCAGCTGCTAATCGTAAAGCACCTGATTCTGGAATCTATGAATGTCCTGTGTATAAAACTCTTACAAGAGCTGGTATGTATTTTCTTTTTATTTTTTTATATAATATATTGTCTTAAGATGCTGCTTGTTTGTAGATCTGGTACTTGTTCCTCAAATCATGGGTAAAATTCCACAACCCCATTAAAACTAGGAACTCATTTTGTAATAGTACTAGTATTTTTTCCTCACCCTTAGATGAAATCTTCATTATGATGGCGGTTAAGCTGTATGAATAAACGCCCTTACTGACCATTTCAATGTAAATTCAGTTTTACAGAATTTATTATATCTATATTTCTATTTTAATTATATATTCACAGAAATGTTTTCGTAGTATCTGCCGCTTTTATAAATGTATGCATTGTAAAATTTGTAGAGAACATGTATTACTTCAGCAGTACTCTCGGAATGCTTGTTTGTTCATCGTGTATTTTAAGTTTACTGTTTAGCCCCGTTAACAATTAATATCCTTGAGGTTTTTCATTTGAGGTCCATAGTATGCAGTGTTTGATTTCATGGGCTCTGTAAATGCATTATTATTATTATCAATAGTTATGTAAAAATTTCAGATTTAAGTGACCTTTGCATGACTGACTTTAATCCTTCAAATAAAAAGATAACTTTTATTTTTGAAATAATCTGCAATATTTAATTAATTTCCCTTTAAATTACATGGCATAGGATATGCTATCATCTTGATCCCAGTTGCTGCTAAAAAGTAGGATATTTGATTTTAGTTTATTCATTCATTTATTTCTTCAATGAGATATAGTATCTGGTTAACGTTCCCAAGTACAGTATACATGTATATTATAAACTTATATATCATTAAACAGTTTATTATATGAATATTATTAATAATATCACATATAAATACCAGCTAGTACAGTGACAGTATTCATATTTCTAATGTTAATGAGGTATAATTGTAGTGTAATTTGATACAGTAGACAAACATTATGAATTCAATTCACAATAGTCATGTTGTATTGTCCAAGGGTTTTGATTGAAAATATTTTTGATTAATTTGTTTAAAATTAAAAAAAAAATTTCTGCTAATGAACTTCCTTTCGAATACATTTACTAAAAATAAATTTGTAATTTTAATGAATAACGAAGATCATAATTGTTAGTTTCCCTGTTTCTCTGAGTTGTTTAAAGGAGCTTAATCGCTAATATTTGGGACCTAGAAATTGACCCAAATGGGTCGCAATGCATATAATAATGTAATCTGATTGTTTATGAACTGATTTATATTCAATTGTTTCCGTTTTGACTCTAATTTCAAATCAGTTAGGTCCAGCGAAATACGGCACGAGTCTCAACCGAATAGAAATTTCTAGCGTCTGGTTATTCCAGTCTATTGCGCATGCTCTCCAGATAAGTTATGGCGTCGCCGTATGACATGAGTTGTGGAATATGTCTAGCCTCGCTCTTTCTGGTCACTTGTTAAAAATGATGATGAAACGCACTATGGTACACGATTCGTGTACCAATGGTAAAATGTTGGGGTTTTTTGTAAGATAACAACATCAATGTTGATTTGAATTGACAAATAATTTGTGTTTTCAACGTGTAAGACTTTGGATGATATTGAGTTAGAGATTTAGCTACTTTAATTTTCTGTGAATTGTTTTAATTAGCTGTAATAGAAATTCTCGTTATAGATCAATAAAACATGGTCTAATGTTTATATTATACCAGATGGTACTTCTTTGTTATAATCAATATTTCTATCTATATATAATACTAAGTAACATCTAATAATAACAACTATAGTCATCACCTTGGTTTTAAAAGGACATTATGCCAAAACGCTATATAATTAAAACCATTGCATATCATCAGCATAAAATAGTCATACATGACAATAGGAAAAATAACAAAAAAGAGTGGAGGTTGTAAAAGCTTAGCACTTTTTAAAACAGCCTATAAGTTATAAGCGGTAACATAACAATGCAAAAATCGGAAGACGCAAAATTTCACAATATCAAATAGCAAAATACAAACTCTCATCAGGCTAATACCAAAATAAATAGATGACACACATTACTTACTTGCACTTTTATTTTTTCGTAAAGCATAAAGGATTCAAATTACTTACATGTATTACTCTGCTTAACCTAAGCATCATCAAACTTAGTCAAGGTATTGATGTAATGAAAGTATACACCAAGTTTCATCACTCTAATCAATGTTCTCATTTAGTTTTAAACAAAGATGTCAACACCTAATCCCCTTAATCCCCCATCAGATTGCTTTCTTATCTGAATGCGGCTTTATTAAATTGCTTTTATTTTAGTAGCCCTATGGTTAAACGTAAAGCATTGCTTTGCAGAGCTTTAGTCTGTCGCCCTAGTCTTTCGGATGGTACGAAAAACCGAGGTCCTGTGTACACATTGGCATGCACGTAAAGATCCCTTGACAGTTGGAATTCGATATAAGAGTAGGCTGTAGTGCCGTTGTTCGGGCAAAATTTCCCACATATCACACTGTATGGTGTATGCCTGTTTTCATTAGCCCAGTTCGGAGCAGAACAGTAGGACGTTAAACCCTGTTTCATTTTAATCTGTCGCCTAAATACAGCTTTGGATTTTTTGCTGCATGATCGGTCACCTGCTAAACCTTGTAATGGGTCTTCTCTAAAACAAATTTCTAAAATAAATACCATAAGTTTAATGATTAATCCCAATTTGATATACGGTAGTTTAATCGAGAGGACATTTGTCACCATTTCTCTGTTACAATTCATTAAAAAATTAATTTCAACTATAAATACGAACATCATATTTTCTAGTAAATGTTATGATACAAGATATAGATAATAATATTAGAATTTGACATAAATAGCAATTTATTTGATTTATAACTAAAACAACAAATTATAAAACTATGAAATGCATTTCTGTGTTACTAAGTTGGTTATTTTAATTCATTAGGCATCCATCGGTCTGCTAGGTATGAATACTATGATCATTTTCATCAAAATTATGAGCATGATCTAAAATGATTTTATGCTGGATGAGTACTGTACTCATTCTTGTGAACACTCTACACACTACATTTATTATTTGAAATTTATATATATTGTTTACATTAGTGAAATGAAAAAGCCTATTTAACTACAAAAGTGATTGTCTGATCTGTATTAAATTAACATGCATTATTTAAATTAGTAAAACAAAGAAGCCTATTTACTTTCAACAATTTCCGTTTATAACTACACTTTTTTGAACCTTGTGAACACTCTATCGACAAAAGTTATCCGATTTGTATGAAATGTATATGCATTATTTATATCACTATCAAAGAAGCCTATTGAATTTCAGCAATCTCTGTTACTAACACACTAACTCTATTTATGGAATAACAATCACTGGTTTATTAACATGCAACGTTTCGACGATGATACTCTCGTCTTTATCAAGCTTGATAAACCAGTGATTGTTATTACATAAATAGTGTTAGTGTGTTACTGTTCAATTACTAAATGCCACTTAAAGAAGCTCTGTTACTAACTTCTACAGTTATGACCCTTGTTTAACTTTGTTGAACCTTGTGAACATTCTATCTGTATCTTGTAAATGCTCCTATTACCTACAAAAGCATAAATATGTGACAACACTTGTAAACTGTTCCGACGATTTAGCTGCTGTGGGCGTATGTTTCGTTTCCTAGGGGCAACATATCTTTATTAACGGTCATAGATACAAATGGTATACTGACGACATGTAGTAGCCTACTTTTAATTCCTTGTATATGGTGGGGATATTCCTAGAGGCAACATATCTTTATTAACGGTCATAGATACAAATGGTATACTGACGACATGTAGTAGCCTACTTTTAATTCCTTGTATATGGTGGGGATATTACTTTAACTAATAAAATTCACAATGAAGATCAACTTTTTAATTCGACTTCGGTCCAGTTGCTAGTTTCAGTGTTTTTAGAACTAATTTTCCATTTCATAAAATTGTGTTTCAGTAAAAAAAAAAAAAAAAAAAAAAGAAAAGATTGGGTCTTATTTCAAGATAAAATTTAATACTTACTGCACAGATGTTATAGATTCTGTCAAACAATTTTCCATTTCATGAATTTGGTCAATTATATCCAATATAAAAAGCACTTTATAAACCTGAATAGGAGAACCCAAAAGGAAAAGTTCAATGAAGGATTTATGCGATGGCCCAACACCACCACCATCCCTTTTTTTTTTTAATTAAAAAAAAAAGTAAAAATCTAAAACACTCAATTAATTAAATACCAACTCAAAATTTTGTCTGAAAAGTAAGGTGGTAGCTCCAGAAAATTGAACCTACATGACTTGACCAGATAGGGCACAGTAATCAGTCAGTAAAACAACTAAAACGTTTCAATCAGGGTAGGACTGGGGGCTAGTACCCCTGAATCTGACCATGTAAGGCTTTTGTTACCCAACTGGCATTCGTTATGGCTAGTTTAGCTCTCCCATGCTTCATCCCCTGTACATCTTTTATTTTTGTTTTTATTATGATAGAAAATTCTCACACAGGATTAAAAATCTAAAAATGAATGTTTAAGTTATTGTCATTAAAACTTATAGAGAAGCGATGTTGCTAATAAACTATTTTATTAATTTACTTCTTTGCAACCAAAGGAAATTACAGTTTAAGACAATTTAATTAATATTAGATTACAGTTAGTACTTTTCAGTTTGTTTTTCTGATTTTTACACTACATTGTAATCTAACCAACATTATATATTTATACCAGGAAGAGGTTTATATTTATAGCGGGTTAAAGAAACCCAACCTAATACCACTCAGAATAATACCCATATACCGGTACTGGTACACTTAATCATAAATCATCACAATAGGCAAGCTTTATCAGTACTGACAAATTGATTAATGCAGAAGTTCATAGGGATCAGAAAGTACGGAAATTTCTCCATTAGTTCATATGACTCGCTCATTTTAAAAGTTAAACATTTTCCCATGATTTAAATTTAAAGATAAATTTTCATCATGAAAATTTGCAATTTATTACCCAAATGTGAGATTATAGACATTTTTTTAGAAATTGCATATGGCTGTTGTTAAGGATATTTAATTCTAGCTAATAGTTTATAATAAAGTATACGATATCTACTCTGGTACAAGTAAATATTATTATCTGTTGAATTGAACACATACAGATTTTTTACTGGTTCAACAAGTTTATATGTTTATGTTCTTGCTCCCCCCAGGCTGAATTAAATATTACATGTATTAATCTTCTTATTAACTGTCTTGACCACAATACATGAAAACATATAGTAAACTACAGACATAATTTACTAGAGACTATTCAGTATATACATGTGAAGTCATATAAACTATAAATCATGTAGATATATGTTCTATACATGTAAATTTATATAAGTATTCTATAAATGACAGTACTGAAACTATTTAAAAATGTTGTTTCTTGCAGTGTACAGATAAGTCAGATTAGAAACTAGAATTTATAAATATTTATTGTTTTGCACTTGTCTATTCAATAATTGGTATGAAGTCTGCTCACACCACATCCAATTAAGGGACTGCCGGAAATCCTACAGGACTAAATTTGGTGTGGCTCGATTGCAATTCAGCCAATTCGGAACATTCCAAACTGAAAATCGAAACACACACCACTACCCTTGTTAGTATCTAGTTTGAACTAACCATACATGTTACTTATAAAGTTTTAATTTATTAATGTTTGTCTATTTACAGGTACTCTTTCAACAACTGGTCACTCTACTAACTTTGTGTTTGCTGTAGAAATACCAACAGATGAAGCTCAAAAACACTGGATAAAACGAGGTGTAGCCATGCTGTGTGCTCTTAATTATTAAATCTTAATACAAACTACATTAATTATTTAAGTATTACTTTGTACCAGTAAAACTAATGTCAGTTCAGCATTCTATTCATGTCCTAAATTATTTTTTGATGTAAAAATTGTAATTAATTTATACTTCCTTATCCGGATGTTTTTTTAGCATATATCTTTAAGATTGAAGTATTTTCAAATGTAAATTACAGCATTATTTACAAAAATTAGTACAGAGAGAAATTTATTATGTTTTGGATATTCAGGTTTTAATTCCAATCAAATTGTATTCTTTTAGTTTTAATAGTTCAATTTACATTACCACAAGTATTAAAATTATCAATTCCATCCATTTTTTTCAATACAAACAATAAGATATATTATTTACTATATATTATTTATTATATTATCTGTGATATTTAATTAAATTATAAAATTTGTTTAAAATTTAATTTGTGTTTTATTTTATTTACATATTATGGTACACAGACTTTTTGTCGAGTGTTTGACTATACCGGTCATAGTCATAAAAAGCACCAATTAAGAACCATGTTAAACATTAGCTAGGAATCCCAGAGAAATGTTGATATAATTCTAATTAAACTGTGTCAGAATCAGTAGCAGATAAAAGTAGCAGTAAAGTGTGTCACCAGCCTCTGAACTGATAAATATATGGAAAGTATAAACTTACACCAAAAATCTGGGAAGAAAATTTAATGGTCCATGAAAATGGCCCCAAGTTCAGAAAAATGACCCCCGAAGTCCAGGAAAAGAGTGTCTGACTTTTTTCTCGCCTTAAAAGGAGAAATTCTATATAAGTTCCATGTTCTGTTACTTATATCCTCCTTTAATATTATCATCAAAAGCTTGTATGGATAATAGATTATTATACACCCACATGCTCTACATGACAAAATATTTTGAGAAACTTCCTTTGATTTAAAGGGGAAAGAGGGAGATGGGATTTAACAGCCACTAAACACAAACTAGGTAATTTTGGTGCTAACATATGAATTGATTTTATTCAATAAATCAGTTGCATGTAGGAATAGGAGTTTAGGAGTAAACCAGAGAAACCTACGAGGTTGGACAAACAACCCTACTCTTTTCTTTGTCACATACAAGCTGGGAATCGAACCCATGCCGAGGACCACGTGGCTAAGTGGGTAAGGCGCTGGCTCGCTAGCCTGGAGGTCGGGTGTTCGATCCCTGCATTGGCCGAGAAAGTTCATCCAGATTTTCCGACGTGGCTCCCCCTTGTCAGTGATGCAGGACGGAGGGCCTGACAAGGACAGCTGTCTAGTCCTTCGGATGAGACGAAAAACCGAGGTCCCGTGTATACAATGGAATGCACGTAAAAGATCCCTTGGCAGTTGGAATTCGATATAAGAGTAGGCGATAGTGCCGCTGCCCGGGCAAAATTTCCCTCATAACACACTGTATGGCGTATGCCCGTCTTCATTAGCCCAGGTTAGGAGCAGAACAGTAGGATGTTAAACCCCATTTCATTTCATTTCATTTCAAATCCATGCCAGTTGACACAATGTTGATCCATTTGGCCATCAAACCCTACAAAATTCAAGTCAGACATTGATCTTATACAAAGTCATTGCTTGTGTCAACAACAATTTTTTGATTTGTTCGGCTAGTCATAAGAAGAAAATTTAGTGATGTTCAGAGTTACACATAGTAACTCTCTTAAAGATGCATTATGTAAGAGCTAAATCTGCCTATTCCATGTCTTTAATTTGGCTACAAATGTTATATATTATTATTTAGACATTTGTATGACAAGCCTTTAATCATCTCTCTAGATTATCAAATAACCAAGATTCAAATGGATTACAACACCCACAAGGTTTTAAAATTGAACGATAAACTGGATAATTGAGACTTGGATTTGATGTCAAACCTTCCAACACTTACAACTTATCTTAGGATAAAGGAATTTGAATGTATTTTTCAATATTTCATTTTCTATTTTTAATAGCAAGAACGCCTATCTAACATAATGCATCATTAACCACACTTCATTAGAGAATTATTTAATCAAACCTGCAGTGCAGGGATTGTTTGGCTGGTGATAAGGACTAACAATTTCTAAATTCAATGAGGGCATCAATATCTCTAGATCCTTTTTCTTATTTATATATCTAAATGGCAAGGCGTAAAAAGCTACCCTTGAGCTTCACCTTCTGAAAACCAAATCTAAACCATTGCTCCATATAATTACATTGTTGCCTGGCCACCAGTCTTTTGAAATTACTACCCTACTTATTTCATGATCTGGTACTAATTTGATTGTCTTTAGAAATGGGGTTTAACGTCCACTTGACACAAACTAGGTCATTTGGGGACTAACATATGGTTCAATAGGGGTCTTTAACAGTGGGAGGAAACCGGAGGACCCAGAGAAAACCCACGAGGTTGTCACATACAACCGTGGAATCAAGACCACGCCAGTTGACTCAATGACAGACCTTATGATACAGCGTGAACACCCTAACCATTCGGCCCACCACCCCCACTTCTTAGGTGGCTGTATTTTCCAAAATGACTGACATCAGAAATGAGTTTCTTATTAACATAACCTGTTAATCCAAGTCCTTGAAAAGAGACTATTTTCCTTTAATGATCAATAATTTCGACCAGATCTTGACTGTAAATCCCTGCACTTGCATAAAAGGTACAGTCTTATAACTGTGACACGACAAAGAGAGAACAAAAAATTCCTAATATAAGGGAGGGTTGTATGTCGTCAGTGAGCTTTCGTGTGTGTACTCTTTCTAGAACACCTGGGCCCTGTTTCACGAAATTTTAACTAAAGATAAAATCTAAATTTTAGTAGATAGTTAAATTTTGATTGGCTAAGCACTAAAATCAATCTAGTATTATCCAATCAAATTACTAAAATTTGGATTTTATCTTAGTTAAAATTTTGTGAAACAGGCCCCTGATACCAATACTCATTTGACTTGTTAATTATTTTTCGTACGTTTGTATCCGTAGTAGTAAAATATGTCTGAATCATCATCATGACTGTTATTAAAGCCAGTCAATGAAATGGTCAAGTTTGTCAAATCTCCCGTAATCTATGAACCGTACAGTCGGTGTTTTATATTCATGAATTATAAAATGTCTGTCACACAAATGTCAAACTATTATATCGGTCAATGTCCAGTCGGCCAAAACTTTTAATAATCGGATGAATGACCATTTATTTGACATCTTCAGTTGCAATTCAACCAGGTAATTGAAGCGTACCATATTTGCAGCATTTGTTTAAGAATGATTTAAGTTTGATAAATGTTTTGCATTACTGGTATTGAGACTAATCAAACCATGTATTCAATCAAAAATGCCATTTTGGTTAATAATTCGAAAACGAATGCTAATATTGAAGGTCGGTAAGCATTTCCACCCATCATACAAAAAAAACCCCAACATTATCTCCTATACATCAATGGCATCAGTGTGAAACAGATTGCATCAACAGATTGGTAGTTCGCGAAGGGATCCGCGGGCGCACGTACAGGGGACCCAATGACACCTTTGAAACATGGTTTTACTTTTTCTGGCCCCTTGAGGGGAGGGGGTTGTATGGTTGAATGGTTAGCACGTGTGCGCTGTATCATAAAGTCTGTCATTGAGTCAACTGGCGTGGTTTCGATTCCCCGGTTGTACGTGACAAGGAGTAGGGTCGCCTGTCCAACCTCGTGGGTTTTCTCCAGGTCCACCGGTTTCCTCCCACTGCTAAAGACCCCTCGCGCAAGCGAATTATTGAAATAAAATTAAATCATATGTTAGTCCCGATATGACCTAGTTTATGTCGAGTGGACGTTAAAGCCAATTTCTCTCCCTCTCTCTCTCTCTCTCTGGCCCCTTGAAGTTTTATGCCTCCTCTTGAATAGCTGTCTGTCGAATGGAAAAAAAATCAGTTTCCAACTCTATCGGCTCAAGCATATTCAACACACACAATACCCAAATGTCTCTCTCCCACCCCAAAACCTCTTAACGATATATATTGGGGCGGGGATTGGGCGGGTACCACCAAAGCACCATGCACCGCATAAAAATTGAGCGGGCACCACGCTCAAATGGGCGTTTGTTTTCAAAATACATTTTAATTCATTCAATCATATTAAATTAAGATGGTTCATGTAACAAACATGTAAGGGTTATCCAACGACTATTGTGGGGGTCCTCTTGTGGCAAAGGATCAAGAACCACTATTCATAACTCTTGGTGGGGGGGGGGGGGTATTGCCCCACTCATATTAAATTAAAATTGCATTATATTTTCGTTGAAGTATTGGTATGATTGTTATTCAGTTTTACAGCAGATGTTACCAAGACTTAATAAAAGTGGCATATCAATATATTGACTATAAAACAGCTGGAATAATATATATACTGTAAGTAAAAGGGTCTATCGATTCCAGCGTATTGATGTAATCAATTTTCTGTGTGTAGGAATACAACCAACAGCACGTGAAGCTGAACTACCATAACCGTATAAGTTAATTAAAGGGATAACTCAATGTATAAGCCCACGTTGAAATGTGGTCGTATATTCTTGTCACTATCGTCCGCCGGTCTTCCACAATTGCCCTAAAGACTAATATTATTCATCCGATTGAATTAATATTTGTATGGTTCGTGGGACGAAGATTTCTGTTGATATTCAACCATTTCTTATAATTACTGTAAATGACTTACCGCCCTTGATCAATTTGAAAAATCTAATGGACGCTCTGGAGGCTAAAGTTATTTTCCGGTTGACTGAATTTATACACAGTATGAAGAATCCTATTGAGTTATCACCTGATTACCGATACATGAAAAAGGAAAAACAGTGGAAACCATTGAAATTTTAAATATTCCTGATATCTTGTACATGCCCCAATTACATACAAAAGAATATATTATTTGTACGCGACAACTAGCTTGTGGACGAATTTTTGGTCACCTGACAACCAATATTTTAACTGAAGATCGTAATCCCAATAGTAACATAAAATAGAGAGGTGCAATTTCTAAAGACTTAATGAAATCTGTTTCTAACTAAAATGCGATTTTCTAAGTTAGTCATGATCGATATTGTCTTGATTCGAAACTAGAAGCCATGGTGAGTAAGGCGCTCTCCCAATGACCAGGAGGTCAGGCCAGGGGTTCGATCCCGGTGTTGGCCTAAAAAGTTTCACCCTGATTTTCCGTTTAATCTTTCGAATGGGACAAAAATCGAGGTCCCTTCTACACCCCGTGGTGCACGTAAAAGAACCCTTGATAATTAGAATTCAGTTACTGTCCGGGTAGAATTTCCTTTATAGCACACTGTATGGCGTATACCCGTCTTCATTAGCCCAGTTGGAG